TTGAGACATTTTACACAATATAAATATAAACATACACAAAAAGATGAAAAAATACAAATTCAGAAAAATCAGGATCAAAATACAGAAATTTAAGGGCAAACCAAGCACATGAGAAAGTTATAATGCAGTCATGCACACTTTGTGATTCTACACAGGGGGCCGGGGGTGGTGGCTCACCCTGTAATCCCAGCACTTTGGGAGGCAGAGGTGGTGGATCACTAGAGGTCAGGAGTTCAAGATCAGCCTAGCCAACATGGTGAAACCCTATTTCTACTGAAAATACAAAAATTAGCCAGATGTGATGTGATGGTGCACACCGGTAGTCCCAGCTACTTGGGAAGCTGAAGCAGGAGAATTGCTTGAACCAGGGTGGCAGTGGTTGCAGTGAGCTCAGATCACAGAGTGAGACTCCATATCAAAAAAAAAAAAAAAAGGGATTCTACACAGTACTATACTTGCATACACATTCGGCAGTGAGCTTCCTAAAAATCAAAACAAAAAGTGACAGTTACTCTCTCCATAAAGAAAAAAGTACACTAGGAACTCAAGAAAATATTAAGCTTTCCATGGCAATCAAGGCAAGTATGGATCATCATATAGGAAATAACGAGTTATACTGAAAAAATAATCCTCACAAATATTCTTACAGTAAATGCCACAGCAAACTTCTAAGACTGTTTCTTCAGACTATTTCTCAGGGCAGGCTAAGGACCAAACACTTGTAACAAATACTGGTTAGGTGCCCACCAAACCTATTTCCTCTTCAACCTAGTCATATACTTATATATGCACCACATTTTGCAGCCTTCCTTGAAGTTAGATGTGGCCCATGATTGCACCCAAGGCAATAAAATGTGAGCCATTTCCAGGCCTCATTTGCGAAAACCCACATTTTCCCATTTGATAGCTTGATGCAGGCAAGCACAGGGACCTTAGTAAAGCTACATACTGATGATGGAGAATTACTAGATGGAAGGAGCCTAGGGCCCTACATCACTGCTTGCAGGAAAACTACTCACCTATAAGGCTCCATGGATGAAAGTAACTTCAACTGGGCAAAGCCATTTAGATTTGTGGGGTTTATCTGTTACAGGACTATATTAATCAAAAACCACATACCTGCAAGGACCAAATGATATCATTCAAGTATTCAGTTTTCTTTTCTTTTCTTTCTTTTTTTTTTTTTGAGATGGAGTTTCACCTTTGTCCTTTGGGCTGGAGTGGCAATGGTGTCATCTTGGCTCACTGCAACCTCTGCCTCCCAGGTTCAAGCAATTCTTCTGCCTCAGCCTCCCCAGTAGCTGGGATTACAGGCACCCACCACCACACCCAGCTAATTTCTGTACTTTTAGTAGAGACGGGGTTTTACCATGTTGGCCAGGCTGGTCTTGAACTCCTGACCACAAATGATCCACCCACCTCGGCCTCCCAAAGTGCTAGGATTACAGGCGTGAGCTACCATGCTTGGCAAAAGTATTCAGTTTTCAAGTCAGTCTTGATTCTAGTGTAAGTCTAAATCGACTAGAGCAGCACTGTCCAATAGAACTTTCTGTGATGAAAACGTTCTATAGTCTGCACTGTCCAATATGATAAGCCCTAGGCACATGTGTACTAATTATGTAAGATCTGGTTAGTTTGACTCAAGGTGGCTCATGCCTATAATCCCAATACTTTGAGAGGCCAGTGTGGGGATGGCTTGAGCCCAGAAGTTCAAGACCAGCCTGGGCAACAAAGTGAGACCTTGTCTTTACTGAAAATAAAACATTAGCTAGGTGTGGTCATGCAGGCCTGTAGTCACAGATCCTTAGGAGGAGATGTGATAGGATCGCTTGAGCCGGGAGGTTGAACCTGCAGTGAGCCATGATCATGCCACTGCACTCCAGCCTGGGCAACAGAGCGAGACCCTGTCTTGAAAAAAAAAAAGAAAGAAAAGAAAAGGAAGAGATGCCAGGGATTGCTCTATCTCTCTCTCCCCACCACATGAAGACACAGAAAGAGGGCAGCCATCTACAAGCCAAAAAGAAAGTCCTCACCAGAATTCAACTATGCTGGCAACCTGATCTTGAACTTCTGGCCTCCAGAACTGCAAGAAATAAATTTCTGTTGTTTAAGCCATCCAATCTATGATACTGTGTTATGGTAGCCTGAACAAAGACAATATCTACGAAGATTAATGCAATGCAGTATAAATGGAAAGTATCTACCAAATGGTGGCTGTCACTATTTGCTTGAATGCAAAACTCACATTACTCAATTGAAACTTCACTCTTGCAGAGGGCCAAGGAAAAAAACCCTGCTCTTCTGTGATTCTGGAGCAAGGAAAAGATTAAGACTGAGATTGGATTGAGAAGCAAAGACAATGGATGGTGCAGACAGATGGAATAGACATACTTTTCTCAATTTCTCCCAATAAACACAGCCAAGCACAAGGCAAAGACAACTCCTTTCTCTGACTCTAGCAGCACCTTCTTTAATATAATTAGAGCCTTTAGCAGTCACTCTACTTTGCTAGCGATTATCTTGAAAGATGTTTGCTTCACAGCTAGTGCTCTGAAAATAGTCAATAAATGAATAAACTGTCTGCCTCAGTCAAATGCACAGCTCTCTTCTTTCATTCTCCCATTCATACCCAACAGTCTTAATCCTAGCTCCAGACTTTGTTCAGGCTGGGCACCGTGGCTCATGCCTATAATCCCAGCACTTTAGGAGGGCAAGGCAGGAAGATTGCTTGAGGCTAGGAGTTCAAAACCAGCCTGGGCAACACAGTGAGACCCCATCTCTACAAAAACAAAAATATTTAAACTTACACAGACATGGTGGCTTGTACCTATTGTCCTAACTTCTTGGGAAGCTGAGGTGGGAGGACTCCTAGAGCCCAGGAGTCCAAGGCTGCAGTGAGCTATGATCACGCTACGGCACTCTAGCCTGGGCAATAGTGAGATGCTGTCTCCAAAAAGGAAAAAAAGGACTTTGCTCATCTTGCTCCCACTGTGAGAAAACCTTCTCTTCAATTTTCTTTTTTTTTTTTTTTTTTTTTTGAGGCAGTCTTGCTCTGTCACCAAGCTGGAGTGTAATGGCCTGATCTCGGCTCACCACAACCTCCACTTCCTGGGTTCAAGGGATTCTCCTGCCCCTGCCTCCCAAGTAGCTGGGATTACAGGTGTGCACCAGGACATGCTGGTTAATTTTTTTGTATTTTTAGTAGAGAAGGGGTTTTGCTATGTTGACCGGGCTGGTCTTGATTCGCCCACCTCGGCCTCCCAAAGTGCTGGGATTACAGGCATGAACCACCATGCCTGGCCCTCTTTTCAGTTTTCTATCTGCCCATACCTTACCCATATGCTAAAGTCTTAATGTTGTGTCACCCAAAATTCATATGTTGAAATCCTAACTCCCAAGGTGATAGTATTAAGAGCTGGGGCTTTTTTGGGAGGTGATCCAACCCACCTTCATGAGTAAAATTAGTGCCCTTTTTAAAAGATGCTCCAGAGAGGTGCTTTGCCATCCCACCATGTCAGGATACAGCCAGAAGCCACCTACGAACCAGGAAACAGGCCCTCACCAGAAACCAAATCTGCTGGTACCTTGACCTTGTACTTTCCAGCCTCCAGAATTGTGAGAAATAAATTCCTGTTGTTCATAAGCTACCTAGTTTATGGCATTCTGTTACAGAAGCCCAAATTGACTAAGACACCAGCTTTCATCGCTTGGTTTAAGTGGTTCTCAACCAAGAAAGATTTTTACCCTTCTCCCAACGGACATTTAGCAGTATCTGTAGACATTATGGTTGCCATCTAGTAAGCAGAGGCCAGGGATGCTCGTAAACATCCTACTATACACAGGACAGCCCTCATCACAACCCCACAGCAAAAAAGAATCTAGCCTAAAATGTCAATAGTGCGTCCGGTTAGAATAACTGGTTTAAATCAATCTCTCTTGGATGTCTCCCCAGCTAATAACACTGATCTTTTCTTCCCGGTACCTATGATCTCCAAGAAAGTTTAGAACAAGGTTGTGCATTTCCTGAGTTTTTTCTCTGCATGTTATTTATAGACAATATGCTGACTTCCTTTAAATCCGTGGGAGCCTTGTACAAGTCAGCAAGAGCTGCCTCTTCTTTTTCAGCATGCAAGGATATACCCCTCTCTGAATCCTTCTCTCATACAATAGCCTGTTCCTTCCCTCATGCTACCATTATCCGTATCACATGCACATACTCTTACTATGAAACTCATCACAGCTATTTGCTCACATGTCTGCAGCTACTTTATTCTGAGAACTTCTTAAAACTAGAACCCTGATATATGCTACTGCATATAAAGCAGTTTCTCACACAAAATGGGGGATCAATAAAGATTCGGCAAGTTACAAAAATAACAACAGACTTCATCATTTCTAGGTCACCTAGAATGCCATAAACTGGTGTCCCGGCACTTCATTCTCCTTATCGCCAATTCTCAGCGCAATCTACATAAGCGAAGAGGAAACAGATCCAGAGAGTTTATTCAAATGACCTGCCCTTGGCCTTGCTTTTAAAGTCAGTTCAAACTAGATCTATTTGGATCAAAAAATCTGTGGTCTTGCCCCTACCCTCCACACCTGGGGCTAAAGGATGGAGATGGCGTCTCGGACAGGAGGGTAAACTGTCCCAGACTCACTACTGTGGCGTGAAAAGTGCCACAACCATAATCCAGGTCGAAGGACCCCCGGCTCAGGGTCCCCGTGGAGCGCCCCGGAAGGAGGCGACAACTCCCGCCACCCTCCCCAATGCTGTCCCCCGCTTCTGCCCTACCTGGCTGCCTGAGCTGTCTCCGTCTGGTGCCACACCGACTTCCCCCACCTGGACCCACCTCCTTTCCTCATCCCCCTTCGCCTACCTCTGTAAAGTGAGCGCGGGCTCTTGCGTCATCAGCCGTCGCCGGCGAGTGATCACATGACGTCCCTCCCTGTTCCCCGCCGCTTCGGTCATGTGACAGCCTTGGGCGTCAGGGGGCGGAAGCAGTACTCGGACCCGCTCCTGGTCGGGGACTGTAGGTAGAAGAGGACCGTCACCGTGAGGGAGGGGTGAGACCAAGGTGCGGACTCGGCGCGCGACCGCCTGCCCTGCGCGTGCGCCGCTGGCGCGGCCCTGCTGACAGGTGAGTGGGGATGCGGTGCCCGCTCCCCGTTTTTGCACTGTCCTCTTCCCCTCCCCGCTGTGCCGCGCTAGCCACAGGGAGGTTTGCAGCGTCGCATGCAGTCTGGGTGGGAGACTTGGGATGGAGGGCTTAGGAGTCTTCTGGGGCGGGGGCTGCAGTCCAGCTCTTCGTCTCCGCTTGGGGGAAATCATTTTGCACACCCCTTCCTCGCTTTAGGAAGCGCCGTTCCGCTGCTTGGTCCGAATCTCACCCTCCCAAGTTTCCGGGAACACTGCTGTGTGGATATCGTCGTTATTTCTCTATTTGCTATTGAGAAAATTGAAAGGCTAGTGAGGACTTTTACAGTCTGACGGGCCCAGGTTTGCATTCTAGTTATGCCATGGGCTGTGAGTTTGGGCAAGTCATTGCTGTTTGCTGCGCCTTAATGCCTTCACCTGTGACAGACTGATGCCAAAATCCTCTTTATTTTGGGGGGAAAAAAAGTTCCCAGGGTCCTGATTCCTCTATGATCGGACAGGAAAAAGAAAAAAGTCACAGAGCCATGCAACTGGGTCTCCTGATTGCAAGTGTATGGAGCTCCTTCAAACATCAGCAGGAGGTAGTGAGCGAGAAGTTTTACTTACTGTCTTTGTGCACGAGAGCCACCTTCTCTAATTGTCCTTCACCTGCCTTTCCCATGATTTCAGGATCAGCCTCATTTCAGAACTTTTCTGGAAAACATATGCAGCTTGCATTTATCTTGATCAACAACCATTATATTTTGTTTGTGATAATGTATTTATGGAGATTAGTGCTTCCTTTATGGAACTGAGGTTTGGCGAAAGGCTTAAAAATAAGAACTGCCTTCTTTTATCCTCTGAATAGGGTAAACAGTGTTTTCCCACGACAGTTGGATTTCCTTAAGAAATATTGTTCTGTACTCTGAGTAATTGGTGTAATAATGCCATGCTTCATTCTTGAAAGCATGTCTTTTGATTAGGATTGTCTCCCAAACTGAAAATCACAGTTCCATGCCAAATTCTTAAAAATGAAGTTACCGGCACTCTAACTTGTAAAAAAAAAATATATATATAGTGGGATCTCTGGTTCCATTTGATGCCAATGGTAATATAGCCTGTATTGAGAAAACTGATCTTTCAGAGTTTTCTTAATCCCTAGCACCAAGAGAACCTCTGAAAGGATAATTTAGCATTGCTTCTTCTACAGTGTTTATTTGGACCTAATTCTAAAGCGGTTTTTTAAGACTTAACTGAGTCATAACACTTTGTAAAGCTATCCACCTACTTCTTAGGTAGCTGCAACTTGCTTAGGCTTTTTTTTTTTTTTTTTTTTAGATGGAGTCTTGCTCCTGGGTTCAAGGGATTCTCCTGCCTCAGCCTTCCGAGTAGCTGGGACTATAAGCATGCGACAAGACGCCCAGCTAATTTTTATATTTTTAGTAGAGACGGGGTTTCACCATGTTGGCCAGGATGGTCTCAATCTCCTGATGTGATCTGCCCACCTTGGCCTCCCAAAGTGCTGGGATTACAGGTGTGAGCCACTGCTCCTGGCTAGGCATTTTTAGTGATGATTCTTAGATTCTGTTCTTCACGACTAGTACTTCAACCAACTGAGGGCTATTTACCAGATACTCTAGCCAATTATATTTGTGCAAATCATGGAAATTCCATTTGTTACATGGAAAATATAACTAGTCCAGGTTAGGAGGTCTAGTACATAAAATGTAACTAAGTGATTTCCTTCTTTCAGATAATCTTGTTTTAACCCCTTCCATCTTCAAAAACTTAGCAGGAGATACTTACACTATTAGAAATAGAAAACACAAGTGCTCTTCATGGGGCAAAAGAGATTACAAGCAGTGAGTTCATTTCAGTAACTTTGTTAAATATAATTCATATTTTGCTTTGGCATTAAAAAATTTAATATAAAGTTTATATATAGAATTTTAGAAGGTGATTCACCTAGGTATTAAAGACCCATAATATTTGTTTTACTATTGCCAAACATACTTGATTATTATTACCCTTCTCATGTTCCTTTAAAGTCATCTACAGTATAATTCTAGAGTAAGGGCCTAAGGATTAAAATAGGAGATTGACATATAAAGGCCTTGATTTCTGCCATTATCCCAGACTGAAGCTTCCCTCAATGTGTGCATGCAGGTGCTGAGTCTGTCTGTCCTTCTGTATGTTGGGAGAGAGTAGAGTCAAGGGCAGGTAATGTTACTTTGCTTTGAGATGTTTTTCCCAGGGACAGTGTTGCCCTGTCATGGTATCCAAAATCTGGCAGCCATTGGAACTGTTCATCATAGCTTCCCCTCCTCTTCATGAGTCTAGATCAAGGGTTTCCAACCCAAGGCCTGCAGGCCACATGTGGCCCAGGATGGCTTTGAATGTGGCCCAAGACAAATTTGTAAATTTTCTTAACACATTTTGAGTTTTTTGCAGTTTTTTTAAAGATCATCAGCTATTGTCGGTGTTAGTTTATTTTATGTGTGGCTCAAGACAATTCTTCTTGCAATATGGCCCAGGAAAGCCAAAAGATTGGACACCCCTGGTGTAAAGTTTTATCCTACTTAGACCTGCGTTAGTTTGGTGGTCTTCGGAGGGCTTTAATAGGTGATTCTTTTGTGCATTGTCCATTATTTCCCTTTCCCCTCTCCTTTCCCGAGCCAGACCATAGCCATGCAGAAAATAAAATTTTCTGAAATTCAGCCTGTTGTGGTTTAACAAGCAGGCATCACAGAGGAAACTAAAAGAACTTGTTAATAATATATGCCTTAATGTATATTAGTGGATACCTTCGTGAGCGTTCTAGACGGCTGTAGTGGCTTCTTGGCTCTCAGACCCAATCCAGTCTACTTCTTCTGTTTCTGTCCCTAGCTGACTCTGCTTTAGTCAGCTTGCTTTTCCTTAGTACATCTAGCACATTCCTGCCCTGGGGCCTTTGCCCTTACTTGTAACCTCTGCTTGCAATGCTATTCTCAGGATCCTTATCTATTGCTGCATAATAAACTATGCCAAAACCTAGACAATAAACTTCATAGTACCTATGGTCAGGAGTCTCTTCTGGCTTAGCTGGCTGTCTTTGGCTCTGGGTCTTTTAGAACTTTGCAGTCAACCTTGGAACAAGGGGCTATGGTCTTATCTGAAGGCTGGACTGGGATTATAGAGATCTGCTTTCAAGTTCACTCAGGTAGTTTTTGGCAAGCCTCAGTTCCTTGTCATATGGGCTCCTCCATAGGGTTCTTTCACACCATGGTATCTTGCTTCCCCTAATCTAGCAAGCTAGAGAGGGTGACCAAGCCAGAAGTTAGTCTCTTTGCTATCTAATCTCAGAAGTGGTATCTTTCATTTCTATCCTATTTCCTCTTCTTTTCTTTTTTTTTTTTTCCTTGAGATGGAGTCTCACTCTGTCACCCAGGTTGAAGTGCAGTGGCATGATCTGAGTTCACTGCAACCTCTGCTTCCTGGTTCATGGGATTCTGCCTCAGCCTCCCCCTCTGCATGCCTTCCCTTGCAACAATCATTTTTCTTAGTTCTCAGGGCTAGGAAGGCAATCTGATTATAATAATATGGTAACTGGTTTCCAAAGATGGTTCCCAACAATTCCCTGCCATTAAGTCAGCGCATACAGCTCCTTAGGTGAAGGAGTGAACCTTATTTTCCCTTTCACTTAATCTGGATTGGGGATGTTTATTAGTTTGCTTGGCTGCCATAACAAAGCACTACAGACAGGGTGACTTAAACAACCAAATTTATTTTGTCACAATTCTGGAGGCCAGAAGTTCAAGATCAAGGTGTTGGTATACTGTTTTCTTCTCAGGCTTCTCTCATTGGCTTGTAGCAGGCTATTTTCTTTCTGTGTCTTCACATGGCCTTCCCATTGTTCCTTTCTTTTTATAGAGATAGGGTCTCACTATGTTGTTCAGGGCAGTCTCAAACTCCTGGGCTCAAGTGATCCTCCCATTCCAGCCTCCCAAAGTGCCCCAATTATAGACATGTGCTATCGAGCCTGGCCCTCCTTTGTATATTTCTGGATCCAAATTTCCTCTTCTTACAAAGTTACCAGTCATATTGGATTAGGGCCCATCCTAGTGACTTCATTTTAACTCAATCACCTCCTTAAAAACCCTGTCTCCAAATATAGTCATGTTCTGAGGTACTGAATGTTAGGAATTCAACACAGAAATTCTGGGGGACCCAACTCAGCTCATAACAGCTTGTGTCTTCCTTCCTTCAACCCAAAGAATACTGTAGAAGTAACTCTCTATCAATTCTAGGCCAAAGCCTTGAGAAGGCCTGGCAGTATCTCCTTTGGCTCTCTTTGGGTGTCCCAAGCTGCCATGTAAGATGTCTGGGAATCCTGCTAGAGAGATCACAGGAGTTACAAAGAGGAAAGGCCATGGTGAGGGAAAAGTCCTGACACGGAAGAGCATGAAGAAAGCCAGCAGACAGCAAAAACTGAAGTGCTGACGTGAGGTCCACTCAGCACCCAGCTCTTGAAGTCTTCCTAGTTGAAGTGCTAGACATGTAAGCATTCAGCTACGGCAGCCAGTCAAGCCCTCTGTCCCTTTTCCCAATTCCTAACCCACAGAATCATGACAAATTTTTAAAATATGGTATTGTTTTGGGCAAATAAGTCTTCGGGTAGTTTGCCATAGTACTGAGATAGTTTTGAGGACTAACAGTACAAGTTGTCAATTTAAACAGCATGCTGATGCTGTTATTGTGATGTTTCATTTTCTATAATGCTGTGCAATAGTCACTGCTTCTGTTTAATAATGTCCATGTAGATATTTTTGTATTGTGCTGCTGCATTTTCCTCCAGTCTCTTTCTTTTCAGCTGTCTGCTTCTGAGTATTACAATTGCCTTATAGGAATTGTGCCATTTGTCTTATCTTTGGAAAAAGAGAGCTGTGTCCTAAAAACCACTAGAAGTAGGTGAGGGAACATTCTTTAGAAATGTTTAGGCCTGGCAGCAGTGGCTCACACCTGTAATCCCAGCACTTTGGAAGGCCAGGGTAGGAGGACTGCTTGAGTTCAGGAGTTCAAGACCAGTCTGGGCAACAATAGTGGTAACTCATCTCTATTAAAAATCAAAAGAAATGTTAGCCAGATATGGTGGTGCATGTCTGTAGTCCCACTGACAAGGGAGACTGAGGGTGGGAGGATTGCTTGAGCCCTGGAGGTTGAGGCTGCAGTGAGCGATGATCATGCTACTGTACTCCTGCCTGGGCAAGAGTGAAACCCTGTCTCAAAAACAAAAAGGTTTTCTCACATGCCAAGTATAGGAGATTCTTGCTATCAAGAATAGTTCACATCTGAAAAATGCTAGAGTGATTCTAAAGTATGGAAAAACATTTCATAAAAAGGAGAAGAAAGGGTTTTGATTACAAACATATCTTGAAATTTATGAAAGTGAGCTTTGTATATCAGGTTGTGATAAGTGCTGTGAAGAAAAAGCATAATAAAGGGTGGAGCGTACTAGTTTCCATAGAGCACCTTGGGCAGAAGTCAGAAGGAAATGAGAGAGCAAGGAGTATGTATATCTGGGTATATCAGATGGTCAGCAGCTTCTAAAGCAGTCCCTAATGATCTCTGGCTCCTGGTATTCATGTCCTATATAGGCTCCTTCTCTTGAGTATAAGCTGACTTACTTACTCTCTCCTAAAGGAGAGAATAGGGCCAGGTGTGGTAGCTCATTCTTGTAATCCCAGCATTTTGGGAGGCTGAGGCAGGAGGATCACCTGAAGTTAGGAGTTTGAGACCAGCCTAGCCAACATGGTGAAACCGTGTCTCTACTAAAAGTACCAAAATTAGCCAGGTGTGGTGGCATGTACCTGTAATCCCAGCTACTTGGGAAGGCTGAGGTAGGAGGATCACCTGAGGTTAGGAGTTCAAGACCAGCCTAGCCAACATGGTGAAACCCTGTCTCTACTAAAAATACAAAAATTAGCCAGGTGTGGTGGCATGTACCTGTAATCCCAGCTACTCGGGAAGGCTGAGGCAGGAGAATTCCATGAACCAGGAGGCAGAGGTTGCACTGAACTGAGATCACACCACTGCACTCCAACCTGGGTGACAAAGTGAGACTCCATCTCAACGAAAAAAAGAAAAGAAAAGAGGAAATAGGATAGAAATGAAAGATACCACTTCTGAGATTAGATAGCAGTGGGGTACATGGAAGCCACACATGCCCAGGGGTTCCTTCTCCCTAGCTCAGCGATGAGTTATATTGTACCTTTTCCTCAAGAGGAGCGGTGGCTAACATGTTGAAGAAGAGGCCAAGGGTGTTAATCTAGCGAAGTCCCTCCACATGGCAAATATGAAGAGTGAAGGATAAATACCCTTTCCCCCATAAAGGAACTCATTATTTCTTACAAATTTTAGTGAGTTTTGGAGAAAAATATGTGTTTCATATGGGTACACATGTGCTTCCTTAAATTGAGATTTTCTTTTTTTTTTTTTTTCTTCTTTGACACAGCTGAGCAAACCTTCTGCAGGAATAAATTGAGATTTTCATACTTTTTTTTTGGTTACAGGTTTTTTAATGGAGCAGCCAATCTCTCTGCACACCTGGTTTCATCTAATAATCTGCAGACACCATCTCTGAGGCCATTTAATCATTCCCAGTGTCCAGGCACGGAGTAGTCAGTCCTGCTCACAATGGTGGACTTTCTAGCCGAGAACAACCTCTGTGGCCAAGCAATCCTAAGGATTGTTTCCTGTGGTAATGCCATCATTGCTGAACTTTTGAGGCTCTCTGAGTTTATTCCTGCTGTATTCAGGTTAAAAGACAGAGCTGATCAACAGAAATATGGCGATATCATATTTGATTTCAGCTATTTTAAGGTAATCTTCCTCTAGAATTTTTATTGTTGTCTTTTCTGCAAAAGCATATTTTCTCTGGGTACCATGAAACTGTAAGGTTAGGTAATTATGGAAAAAGCTAAAGAGAAAAGCTTTTGGACTAAATTTAATAACAGCTACTAACTTGAAAGTAAGTTGAAGATATTATGTGAAAGCCCTAACACAATATAATTGTATTTTTAAAAGATAACTTTGATATTTCACATTTTAGGGCCCCATACTCAAAGCATGCTATTCTTGGTTGCAATTCAAATTTATTTTTCTCAAAGGGATTTTATAGCTAAGCTTCTGTTATCTTCATTACTTTCTGTTGCTCTGCTTTAAGTTTGAGATATTTAAAAACATAAGAACAAATTTTTAGGAGACTCTTTAGAAATTGTCACCGACAAGTATGCTTTTACTAACATTTCACATACATGTGTTTTTTTTTCTTAGGGTCCAGAATTATGGGAAAGCAAACTGGATGCTAAACCAGAGCTACAGGATTTAGATGAAGAATTTCGTGAGAACAACATAGAAATTGTGACCAGATTTTATTTAGCATTTCAAAGTGTGCATAAATATATTGTAGACTTAAACAGGTACTGATCAATTTAGTAATAGCTTATTCTGGTAGTAAATAGTGGAGAGGGAACAGGACACGCAACAACATGTAAATCTCTCTGAGTTACTATAAAATTTCCTACTTTATACCATATGTAGTTGTCTTTTTCTTCCTGTGGCACTGGTCATCTTAAGAATTTTAAAGTTGTGCCGGGTGCGGTGGCTCACACCTGTAATCCTAGCACTTTGGGAGGCCAAGGTGGGTGGATCACCTGAGGTCAGGAGTTCAAGACCAGCCTGGCCATCATGGAGAAACCCCATCTTTAAAAAAAAAAAAAAAAAAAAGAATTTTAAAGTTGTACTATAATGTCCTGCTCTTGTGAGGTATCATAATATAACTTAGTTTATGCTAAGTCATAGAGCTTCCAATCCTGTCATTATCATATTCTAGTGTATTATATGTGAAAATTGGGAAAAAGAACTTATTTTTATCATTAACTTTCTGTCTCTTCTATATTTCTTAAGAATTCATTGCTCATTAACTTTTAAACTAAATAGATATTCCATGTTTTTCTCCCTTTACTCCTGGATACTTGTAATTCATAAATCAGGACCAGGGAATATTTGTGTTACTTGTAACAGCCATAAATATCAAACTGTGGCCCTAAATCAGTTTATAAGACTCCATTCTTAAGAACATGAAGGACCATGAACTAGTTAAAGGCCAGAATGCCTGGTATCCTGCCTTATCTTTTAAAAATCTTTCCTTGTTTAAAGATGTTAAAGTTTCTATTATAAATTAATAACTTGCTCTGGGATTTTATTTCTAGATACCTAGATGATCTCAATGAAGGGGTTTATATTCAGCAAACCTTAGAAACTGTGCTTCTCAATGAAGATGGAAAACAACTTCTGGTAAGTAATAGTGATTATTTAAAATGAAATTCAAGAATATCAAACTTAGTACCACTTTTTTTTTTCCTTTAAGTCACAAATACATATGAAATACCATGTATTAAAGAGAAGTGAAATGAGCTTTTAATTATCTTCAAACTGGCAGGTCCATATCTGAGTTTAGAACATAGACTTTGAACAGAATTTAAAACGATTAAAAAGGAAGTTATGGGCTTCCTCATTGTAAGAATTCTGTCTTACTTACTTTTTGCATCCCAGGCATCTGTCCTGGTGCCTAGTACCTACTGATCATTTAAGAAATGCTTATTGAATAAGTGAATGACTTTATGATGAAGAGGTATTCACAATATTGGGATACTATTTTGGTGTCCCAAGCAAAACAGCCAAAATAGGCCAACTGAAAGATCATCACTGGGAATTAAACTCTATTTCACATAAACTTCAAGGCCCATTTTGCAAGAAGGTAAGAGCTCTTTGGAGGAAGCCTACTACCTTTTCCTTGAAATCTGAAACTTTTTGGAGAAATGTGATTTTGGCTTTTGTCCTCTTCTCTTCTTAGTGTGAAGCACTATACTTATATGGAGTTATGCTACTGGTCATTGACCAAAAGATTGAAGGAGAAGTCAGAGAGAGGATGCTGGTTTCTTACTACCGATACAGGTATTCCTGGGCTAGGACTGTACTTCCAAAGCACAGCTGTTGGTAAAATGCAGTTTATGTTCCCATACTCCTTCTACTGTGAACAGCAGTTGTAAAAAAATGAATAAGAAAGTATATGATTCCGGCTAGGCACAGTGGCCAGCAGTTTGGGAGGCTGAGGTGGACAGATCACGAGGTCAAGAGATTGAGACCGTCCTGGCCAACATGGTATTTTTGTACAATACAAAAATTAGCTGGGTGTGGTGGCGTGTTCCTGTAGTCCCAGCTACTCAGGAGACTGAGGCAGGAAAATTTCTTGAACCTAGGAGGCAGAGGTTTCAGTGAGCCAAGATCGCGCCACTGCACTCCAGCCTGGTGCCTGGCGACAGAGTGAGACTCTGTCTCATACAGTTCGGCCAGGTGCGGTGGCTCATGCCCATAATCCCAACATTTTGGGAGGCCGAGGCAGGCAAATCATCTGAGGTCAGGAGTTCGAGACCAGCCTGGCCAACATGGTGAATCCCTGTTTCTACCAAAACTACAAAAATCAGCCGGTCTTGGTGGTGGGTGCCTGTAATCCCAGCTACTGGGGAAGTTGAGGCAGGAGAATTGCTTGAACCTGGGATGTTGCAGGGAGCCGAGATCACACCACTGCACTCTAACCTGGGCGACAGAGCAAGACTCTGTCTCAAAAAAAAAAGTGTAAGATTCTTATCTCTTCTGAGCTTATTTTAGGAATATAACAATTATGCCCTATTATATTTCATAATAATAGATTATAGATTATAAAATCTATATATTACATATAAAATATTCTATATATTATAGATTATTATAGGTATGGATTATACTGTCCCTAATGATAAATACAGTTTTAAAAAGGAGTCTATATTGTGAACTTTCTTTACCTTGAGGCGAAATTTCAAAGTCTTAGAAATCTAATGAAGATTGTTTTTGTTTTTGTTTTTGAGTAAAAGCAGCTAGAAACTCCTTGGCAGATATAAGGGAATCAGTGTGCTTTCTGTTGTCATTTTCAGCTTGATGACTGAAAAGTTGTCATTCAAAGGCAGGTTGAAAATGAATTCTCTCAAATATTTGCATAGAAACAAAAGCAAATCAAGCAGTAGCACATATCCACAATTATTTGTTGTGTCTATCTAAACAGAACTGTGATTCTTCAGGAAGTAAGGTTTTGAAACCAGGAGCCACCTTCCAGCTTTTTAATTTTAGTGTCTAATACACAGGTTTTCAATTTGTGGAATGAGCTAAAAATGGAATACCAGGTCAGTGTTGGAAATAGTGAAGATTCAGAGAAGAAACTGTCAGTAAGAAGGAGTCAATTAGGAGCTTGAGCTAAAGATGGAAGGAGTAGAATTAACATTTTCAAACTTAAAAATCAGGACAAAATAAACAAGCAGACTCTCAAGGAGAGGGGGTTCTTTGGGGACATTGTACTTTTGCGATACCCGTTACTAGTGTGTCCTCAGCAGGAAATTAATCTTAGGCTCCTCAACTAGCCTTTTCCTTTCAGCTGTATCAGTAGGCGAAGGGGGTTTTCTATCTGTGTTCATTCATGTGAGTTTGACCAAGTTGTATTTTTTTTTAGACGAAGTCTCGCTCTGTTGCCAGGCTGGAGTACAGTGGCACAATCTCAGCTCACTGCAACCTCCCCCTCCCAGGTTCGAGCGATTCTCCTGCCTCAGCCTTCCGAGTAGCTGGACTACAGGCGCAGGCCACCACACCAGCTAATTTTTGTATTTTTAGTAGAGATGGGGTTTCACCATGTTGGCCAGGCTGATCTTGATCTCTTCACCTCATGATTTACCCACCTCGGCCTCCCAAAGTGCTGGAATTATAACCGTGAGCCACTGCACCCAGCTGACGAAGCTGTTTTAACACCCATGATTTTGAAAATGAGATTCGAATGGCCTTTCTTGTATTTCTGAGAGTACCTGGAAAAACTAAAACTATGAATAGTATAAAGAAGAAGAAAAAAAATATTGGCTTATCAAGCCCAGTTTGAAAATACGGCTTTATACAACATCTAATTCATTAGAATGTGAGCGTTCATTATTGAAGTGACAGTGAACACTTCCAAGCCACAGTCATGGCAAGAGAGATTCTTACAGCAAATAGGAGGTCATCCCCAAGTCTCAGATTCTTTGAATCTAGTTCATTTCTTTCAGAGCTTACTGTTCTATCCTGAAAACCACAGACATGTTTATTAGATCTCTGTAGAAGGAACAGCTTGCCAAGAAAAAAGTTAGTATATATTTCAGTTTATATTGACCTAATATTTTTATTAATTTGTAAAACGTCAAGTTCGCCTTCTTTATCCACGGTTTTCAAATTCAAAGAGCTGTGAAAAAATGTATATACACAAGTACATACACCACACACATGTGTATATATGTCATAATTCATTTGGCAGCAAAACCTGATCTAACCTGAAATCATTTGGATTCAAAACTTGCCTGGAATAGATGTGAGGCTATCTATACTCTTCACTTATCTCACTTTTGTAAGTATTTATAAATTTTCCTCCAGAATTATTCACCTGTGTTGATCATGGGATGCCAATTCAGACCCTGCTGGAGTGTTATATTGTATATAATATATATTGTATATGATCTATGTGCCATATTACTTTCTTATATTTGAAAAATGCTATATTATGAAACAAATACAGTCCCAAGGATTTTGGAAAAGGGATTATGGACCTTTACATAGTATGAATACCCATCTTCTAAATAGGCTTTCAGAAATATAATTTTGAGGCCAGGCACGGTGGCTCACACCTGTAATCCCAGCACTTTGGAAGGCCGAGGTGGGTGGATCAGTTGAGGTCAGGTGTTCAAGACCAGCCTAGCCAACATGGTGAAACCCCATCTCTACTAAAATACAAAAATTAGCCAGGTGTGGTGGCAGTTGCCTGTAATCCCAGCTACTCAGGAGGCTGAGGCAGGAGAATTGCCTTAACCTGGAGGCAGAGGTTGCAGTGAGCCAAGATCACGCCACCACACTCATGTGTATGTGTGTACAAACACACACACATAATTTTGAATCTTGAGGCTATAGATGGATCTATAGTCATATCTAAAACTGTATTGAGTCAAAGTAGAATGGAATTCTTCTCCTTTGTTGGACTTTTCAGTTTCTAATATATGTGGTTTGGGCCTTTGTTTCCCATTGTGAATATGACTCAGTGCTGCGCGATCTTCTGCTGATTCAAATATGGATGATATTTGTAAGCTGCTTCGAAGTACAGGTTATTCTGGCCAACCAGGTGCCAAAAGACCACCCAACTATCCCGAGAGCTATTTCCAGAGAGTGCCTATCAACGAATCCTTCATCAGTATGGTCATTGGTCGACTGAGATCTGATGATATTTACAACCAGGTGAGAATTAAATCTGTTAAGACCTATTAAGACAGTTTAACAGACTGATTTCACTTCCCTCTGTAATTACTCCTTTCCTTCTTTCTTTTCCAAAAGAGTGAAAGCAGGTAGAAACTTTTTAAAACCTTTTGAGCTGTGCTGTAGGATGATAAAGGAAAGAGGGTTATTAACTTTGGCAGAATTCGAGATTTCAGGGAGAAGATGGGATTTGAGCTATTGGGAAGAAGATGCATTATTTTAGTCATTCATTCAAGAAGTAGTTGTTGAATGTGTGATATGTGCCCATTCACATGCCAGGTGCTGGGGACCCATCACCGAAGAAGCCTGGCCACATCCCTACTCATACTGAGCTTGTAGCTTAGGAAGGACAGATGACAAGACTATAGTAAAGCAGGATGGGTGTTATCTTAGCGGAAGCAAAGGGTGCCACTAGAGGATGCAGCAGTAGCGGCAAGGTCACAACAGGTGACAAAAGGAAGGTAACAGGAAAGGAGGCAACCTGAGCAAGGCTGTAAAGATCAAGCAGCATTTGAAAATTGTCCCACTCCCCTTGCTGGTATGTGTAGTATTTATTATTCACTTCCTTTATTTATTTATTTATTTCTAATTTTTTTGAGACGGAGTTTCGCTCCCGTTACCCAGGCTGGAGTGCAATGACGCGATCTTGGCTCACCGCAACCTCCCCCTCCTGGGTTCAGGCAATTCTCCTGCCTCAGCCTCCTGAGTAGCTGGGATTACAGGCACACGCCACCATGCCCAGCTAATTTTTTGTATTTTTAGTAGAGATGGGGTTATTACCATTTGACTTCATTGTTCTGAAGAAAACATAATTTTAGATGTTATATTTTAAAATATTTGTACAAATTATTGTTAGGGAGTAAAGAGACCAGGTGCGGTGGCTAACACCTGTATCCCAGCACTTTGGGAGGCCAAGACGGGCAGATCACCTGAGGTCGAGAGTTCGAGAACAGCTCGAGAACAACTTGCATAAACCCCATCTCTACTAAAGTACAAAATTAGCTGGGCGTGGTGGCACATGCCTGCAATCCCAGCTACTTGGGAGACAGAGGCAGGAGAATTGCTTGAACCTGGGAGGTGGAGGTGTTGGTGAGCTGAGATCGCACCATTGCACTCCAGCCTGGGCAACAAGAGCAAAACTCTGTCTCAAAAAAAAAAAAAAAGGTGGAGTAGTAAAGAGGCCTGTGATAACTGTGGGTATCATTTATCACAGAATGAACCTGATCTGTGCAGTTTCTTAGGTAACTTGTTAATTTTTTGTGTGAATATGTTAAGTATAAATAAGAGGGGTTTTTTTGGTTGTTGTTTTAGGACAATTCAAAATCAGCAGATGCCAAGTCTCTGTAATAATTGTTGCCTTTCATTGAGAATTCAGTCCAAACCAGCGACAAAGGAGGTTTTGTTCCTATACCATTTCTCTGTTCCTCACAACAGCCCTGTAAAGATGGCATTATCCCCATGTTGCTGTTGAGAAAAATAAGACTTGGAGAGCTTAAATACTTTCCTCGAGTTCCTATTACTAAGTAGAAGAGCCATAATTGGAATTTGGTCTGTGTGAATTCAGAGTGTCTCATTCCTGATTGCCCCTTATTCCACGTCTTTCTGAAAGAGTGTGTTTCTATTTTCTCCTTGCCCTGTGATCTTTATTATTTATTAGGACAAGGGTTCAATTGTGGTTGTTCTGTGTGTCCACCCCACTCTCTGTCCTACACCTCCCCCATCCCTGGTCTTCACTGGTAGATCAGATTCTCTGTCTCCAGGTAATTTAGAATTGGGCCTGAGAACCAGTTTCTGGATTGGAGTTTACCCACAATATGCAAAACTGGGAGTCTGCAGGCAGCCTCATTCTGCCATGTATATGGAGAGTAGCCTGGAGGGAGAGAAAAGTTGGGCCCACACATCAGGGGGAGAAAGAAGGCATTTCCATTCCCAGCCCCAGCCCCTGCCTGTGGCCTGGCCAACATTCCTGCCTGCAGGTTTCATGTGACATGGCTATGTCTGTCCTTCTAACAATGTCTCTCCTTCTTGCTTCTGGGAGCTCAAGGTAATTAATATGTGCAGCCCAAGATTTCTAGTACATGAGGGGATGGACCCCTAGGTAACACTTGCATTTAAAAGGTAGAAGATGAGGACTCAGCAAAGGAGATTGAGAAGAGAGAGTGGTATCTGGGAAACCAGAGGAGGAAAGGGTTTCATTCCTCAGAGAATGTAAGTGAGAGTCCTAAAAGAAGCTGGCGAATTGGATAAGGTCATGAGCGACCTTAGGGAATTCCACTGGGATGATGGCGGAGGTCAAATTTCAGTGAGTTGAATAATAAACAGAAAGTGAGAAAATAGCAACAGCCAATAGAGCCTATCAATTCTAAGAGTTGTCTCTAACAGGAAAGATATGACAAAGGACAAGTGATGGGAGACACGGGGATAGGACTTTTTTTCTTTTTTTTTCCTTAAGAGAAGACTTAGATTTGCAGTACAGTCAAGGGCTGGAAGGAAGAGAATATTATGGGGTTAGGGATAAGAAGAAAGACCTTGGCAAGCAATGGCACAGTCTTGAGAATGACTTCCAGTGTCCAGGATCCTGAAAGGTGATGGGTTTGGGAGAAACTGATGTGTGTCCTACAACCAGAGTTTAATTTGAGCATTCTACACGCAAATCTTGCCAACAGCTCCCTCTTGGGGTGTTGTCTCAACATTGCAGGTCTCAGCATATCCTTTGCCGGAGCATCGCAGCACGGCCCTGGCAAACCAAGCTGCCATGCTGTACGTGATTCTCTACTTCGACCCTTCCATTCTTCACACCCATCCAGCAAAAATGAGAGAGATAGTGGATAAATACTTTCCAGATAATTGGGCAAGTATTGCTAATTTTTTTCCCCTACTGTAAATGTGTTAGAGAACTAATTTCCCATTCTTTTGGCCTTTAACCCAGAGGTTGTAATGTTGTAAATAACGAGACATAACATCACTTAGGTAAAGTTGCTCTAAGTCTATTGAAAATTTTATAATTGTAATGTGAAGGAATATATGAGTCAGGAGATATCCTGAAGAACCCATTAGTCTTTTTCTAAAATGGATACTCTCAAAATTAAACCATTTATTAAAATTTATCTTGCTTTACCTACTGAGATTACAACTAAGTTGTGTAAGGATTTATTTTTTTCTGTTTTCTGAATGTAAGCTAGCTGAATTCATCTAATTCGTCACTTTATGAATAGGAATTTCACTTTTATAATAAAAGTGTACGCTAACTGTGATGTGTTATTAAAGTTTATATTATTGCAAGGATATGCTTGTACCTTTGTAAGCATTGTTTTATTTAAAAATTTGTTTTTTTTTGAGACGGAGTCTTGCTCTGTCACCCAGGCTGGAGTGCAGTGGCGCAATCTCAGCTCACTGCAACCTCTGCCTCCCGAATTCAAGCAATTCTCCTGCCTCAGCCTCCCTAGTAGCTGACATTACAGGTGTGCACCACCATGCCTGTCTAATTTTTGTATTTTCAGTAGAGACAGGGTTTCACTGTGTTGGACAGGCTGGTCTCAAACTCCTGACCCCAAGTGATCCACCTGCCTCAGCCTCCCAAAGTGCTGGGATTACAGATGTGAGCCACCATGCCTGGCCAAAAATATTATAGGAATAAAACTTGCTTCATACTTAATATATATTAAATGTTTTCTTTACACAAAGAGGCTTTAACAAAATGTAGTGAGTTGTATCATAGTCATAGGTAGCAGATTTTGTTCTGCTTCTATATCAGCTTTGAATCACATTAACTATCTGTTATGAGGGACCTTCAATTTATTGGTAGTATGAGAACAGCCTGCGTTAGCAAGTGATGGTTCCTGGCCAATTGTGAATCATATTAGTGAGCTCGGAATTGAGCAACCAAGAGGAAAACACTGATAGTGTGGCTTCATGTTCCTGAGTTTAATAAAGAAGTTTTGGCCATAACACTATAATTAAAGACATATTTATTACTGAAAAAGACCAAGGCTGGGTGCAGTGGCTCACGCCTGTAATCCCAGCACTTTGGGAGGCCAAGGCAACAGGCAGATTGCCTGAGCTCAGGAGTTCGAGATTAGCCTGGGCAACACAGTGAAACTCTGTCTCTACTAAAATACAAATAATTAGCTGGGCATGACTGCATGTGCCTATAGTCCCAGCTACTCCAGATGTTGAGGCAGGAGAATAGCTTCCATCTGAGAGATGGAAGTTGCTCTACCTGGCGACAGAGCAAGACTACTATCTCAAAAAAAAAAAACAAGATCAAAATCCAATTACATGAAACATATAAGATACACACCTAAAAAAATGCCCTGGCACACTGAAAGGGATTTTTAAAACAATATTCCAGGAAAATGCCAACCAATAAAACAACTGGTGAGAAAACATTAATATTATACGATAGAGAATTTCAAAAAGAAACATTAATAGGTATAAAGAGGCCTTTATTAACAAGGGGAATTAACAGTCAGGAACGCTTACCTATACATTTGGAAAAATCTTGATTTTTTGTTGGAATGGAGTTTAAACATGAAGGAGTGGGTATTGTCTTCTGTAACTTTTCATGTATCCATCCCCTTGCCTTGAAGTGAGTAGGAATTTAACAAATACTGAATGAATGTCTCCTCTTTCAGGTAATTAGCATTTACATGGGGATCACAGTTAATCTAGCAGATGCTTGGGAACCTTACAAAGCTGCAAAAACTGCTTTAAATAATACCTTGGACCTTTCAAATGTCAGAGAACAGGTAGGTTCTAATCTGGGGACATTCTCCAATAATTGCAGGCCTAGTTTATGAAGTAGCAAATAAGCTAAGTAGATTTCCCAAGGAATTTGGAAAATAATCACTCAGACAATTTAATGCAGTGTTAATAAAAGGTGAATTTTATAGGTTAGAATAAGATAGGTAATCGTAGGTTTTTAAGTTATATAGCATATGTAAATTGAAGATTAGGATTCTAAGGAAGATTCAGTACCCTCAGACAAATAAGTGTGGCTTATGCCCCAATTGACTCAGTTTACTTTTGCTTAAAGATTGTATTCTTATGGCCAAAGCTGGTTTTACCAATAGCTAGAATTAATATGCTTTTATCAGTAGGATGAATGAAGATGGTAACTGAATACATATAATATGTCCTGTCACTGTCATTTAAATTTGTCATTTCTGATGTGCTAAGTAAGCAACAAGACTCAAGACATTCATCTTAAAGTTTAAATGCTTATATTCTGTCTCTTTTGTTCTACACAAGGCAGAAGGAAACATCGGCGTAAGTAGAGGAATAAAGATAAAATCTTTTTATTGGGGAGCATATTTGATATTTCTAAATGGTTATGTTCCTCATCCTGGTTCAGTTATTGAGTTTCCTGTGTGGATAAAACAATATTGACTCAAAAAAACTTCATCATGTTCTATTCAAATAAATTGAATTCCATAAATAATGCACAAAACAATTTCAGTGTTGGCACATCTCCTAGAACGATATTAGAGAAAGTGACACTTGTATACTTACCAACATCAGAACATTAATTTTTCATTACTAAAATCCCTTTCTAAAATTGCATTTTCTCATTTGTGACATTTTTAAGAGGTTTCTTGATACCATAGATTTAAACTAACTTGACAAGGTTAGTGATGTTTAACATTTGACTTGCTTTAAGTACAGCAGAATGACCAAAATTTCCAAAAATCTGGCTTGGGAATTCATTTTTGATACACTAAGGTGTATTTTTTGCTAAGCTTTCATAAACCTGTAGAAGAACTCTTAACTTTGAAGTATTTCTGTTCTGTTCTGCCTTCTTTGTCAACAGTATTAGCAAGAATAAGCAACTGAGCTTCTGTCTTTGTTTCTTTTTCATCTAAGTTAAGAGTAGAAGAGTTCTTAGGAACTGCTTGGTCCAAGTCTTCGTTGGAAATTTGAAGAAACCGATACACAGGGGTTAAGTCCCAAGTCACACCAAAGTTTATCCACAGCCAGAACTAGGAAGTAGTCTCAGAATTCTAAGTCGATTGCTTTTTTTAAATATGTTCAATAAGCCAGTTGTCTTCGAGTCCTAGAACTATAGTCCATATGTTATTCATCTTATATAGAAACATTGTCTTCAAGCCCTAGGACTGTAGTCCATATGTTACTTATATAGAAATTATATGAAAATGTTCGTGTTTGAGCCCTATAACTGGAGTCCATATGTCATTCATGTTACATAGAAATTTTGTCTTCGAGCCCTATCACTATGGTCTGTGTCATTCATGTTATATAAAATGTTGTCTTCGAGCCCTATAACTGGAGTCCATATGTCATTCACATTATATAGAAATGTTACCGTTTGTCAGTGGATTCATTTGAATGTGAGTTGTTTTCAAGATAAATGACTCTTTAAATGGAATTGAAGTTTTTGATTTTTCCAGGCAAGCAGATATGCTACCGTCAGTGAAAGAGTGCATGCTCAAGTGCAGCAGTTTCTAAAAGAAGGTTATTTAAGGGAGGAGATGGTTCTGGACAATATCCCGAGGCTTCTGAACTGCCTGAGAGACTGTAACGTTGCCATCCGATGGCTGATGCTTCATACAGCAGACTCAGGTAATACACAAAAGGCATGGCCGTTTATATTGCTCCACATCAAGACTCTCAGAATCAGGACCTACTTCACGATGCAGAGTGGTTTAGCAGGGAGAGGGGCCTTGGATGAGAATCAAGTTGCTTTTTAAAGTTAGTCATTTTTGTGTCAACTTGGATAGACCACTAGCACACTTGAAAAGCTCTCCCCTGTCAGGTACTGTTAGGTGCTAGGGAATAAGAGGACATTTTGCTCTCATGTTCAAAGAGCTTGTCACTCATCAGACTGGGGAGATCAAATGTAGACATATGAAAAAAATAGAACTGCTCATCTGTGTTAGGCAGAATAATCCCTTCCAGCCCACCTCCAAAGATGTTCATACCCTAGTCCCTGAACCATTAGATATATTACATGAAAAAGGGGGATTGAGGTTGCCTATTAGCTGATCTTAAAGTAAAGAGATGTTTCTGGATTGCCCTGGTGGACTCAATGTAATCATACAGGTCCTTGCTGGGCGTGGTGGTTCATACCTGTAATCCCAGCACTTTGGGAGGCCAAGGCAGAAGGATAGCTTGAGCCCAGGAGTTAAGAACCAGCCTGGGTAACATAGTGAGACCCCATCTCTACAAAAAGTAAAAAAATTAACTGAGCATGGTGGCAGGCACCTGTATTCCCAGCTACTCAGGAGACTGAGGTGGGAAAATCACTTGAGCCTGGGAGGTTGCAGCTGCAGTGAGCCAAGATTGTGCCACTGCACTGCAGCCTGAGCAACAGAGCCAGATCATGTTTCAAAAAATAATAAAATAAGAGTCCTTTTTAAAATTTTTTTTGTTAATTATTTTTTTAGACAGGATCTCAAGTCCTCCAGGTTTGAGTGCAGTGGCACAATCTCAGCTCATTATAACCTTGACCTCCTGGGTTCGAGTGATACTCCTGCCTCAGCCCCCCAAGCAGCTGGGACTATAGGCATGTGCCACCACACCTAGCTAACTTTTTTGTATTTTTTGTAGAGACAGTATTTCACTGTGTTGACCAGGGTGGTCTCAAACTCCTGACCCCAAGCAGTCTATCCACCTCAGCCTCCCAAAGTACTAGGATTACAGGCCTGAGCCACCATGCCCAGCATGTAAATAGGAGTCCTTAAATCAGGAAGAGGGAGGCAGAGTGTCAGAACCAGAGAGATGCAGTGTGACAAAAAACTTTACTGGCCATTGCTGGTATTAAAGATGGAAGGGGCCACAAGCCAAGGAATACAGGCAGCCTTTAATGGCTGAAAACAGCAAGACAACAGATTCTTAGAGCCTCCAGAAGGAGCCCAGCCCAGCCAACATCTTGATTTTAGCCCAGTGAGCCCCATCTCAGATTTGTCACTTCTAGGATGATAAGAGAATAAATCTGTGTTGTTTGAAGCCACTGAGTTTATGGTAATTGTTAGGACCGCAATGGGAAATTAATCCAAGGCCCAAGGCAGTAAACAGAGACCAGGTGTGTCAAACAGACAGTTGGTGTGATTTGAGTCCAGAGCAGAGAGGGAAGTATAGCTTGGGTTAGCGGAGCAGAGGAAGTCAGGAAAACACCATACAGGAATCACGAGCCAACCAGGCCTGTGATGAGGTTTTAAAGCAAAAAGCAGAAGAAATTCTAGACTGCAGAAATGATGGAATAAGTGCTACGATTTTGGAAATAACAGAAAAATATATGGGCCCACTGAGTTGATGACCTGGCTGGACCCGAGTGCTTATTTAAGGTAGATTGGGTCTTAGCCTTTTATGGGTCATGGTCTCCGAGACCTTCTATCCAACAGTTTGACCATCAAATTCAGATTGTGAGAAACACCTCAACCTTTGGTTTAATGGTAGAAAAATAAGTTGAACTAACATCTCTGAGCTTGTTCAGGGCTGGCAAAGTTTCTTATTCTTAGTAAATGCTGGATCAACACTAATTAACCAATGCAATCCCTCATCCATGGCTGTATACCCAACCCCTAAGAGGTTGTCATTCAGCAGACCTGTGAATCCCTCTGCTTTTTGTTTTTCACTCAACAAACTTTCCTTGAGGAACAACTCTGAGACAGGCAGTGCGTGCAGCACTTCTTTGTTCTTTGAGATAAGACTATGTCTCTTTAAAAAACTGTGCACACCAGATTCCTCTGTAGCCTCCTTTTGTAATGTAGCCTGTCTCACAGCTCTTCCAGCCAAGATGACTTCACAGTCCCTCTAGCTACCATCTGTTTCCACTTCCTATGGGTGATCCACAGCGAAAACAGCAATTGGACTTCCTCATCCTTCATATCTTTGAAAATGTGTAGCTTCTTCAACCTTTATTCTGAGAGCTGCTTTCCAGTTTGCTCATCAAGTGCTTGTTGGCCTATATCCATTTACAATTCACCCACAATCTGAATACCACGGCTGAAGTTTTTAATCACTGCATCTGTTTTTAATTAGTTGAGTTTATTTTTTACATAAACTCCAGTTCTAATTTGAGGATTTTACTACATTGACTCAGCTTTTAATCTTCTTTACCAAAAGTCTTACATTCACAAGCATATAAACAACTCAAGCCCTCACTTTATCCTATCATAAAACCAACGACGGTTTTCTAGTGACTCAGCCTCCTCTTTGTCTTCTGCGTGACTCTGCCTGACAGCCCTGCCTGTGTTCGGAAAGCCAGTAGTCTCCTGAATTTGCACTCATGCCAGGGCCAACCTTGGCATGCCACAGGTCTGTGGTTTATCTTCAGCCACATTTGTCTTTCATTTTTGTGCCTGGCAATTGCCTGACCTGATTGTATTGTATCGCACAGGGTCATAGTTTTTTTGTTTTTGTTTTTTTTTTAAGATGGAGTTTCGCTCTTATTGGCCAGGCTAGAGTGCAATGGTACAATCTTGGCTCACTGCAACCTCCGCCTCCCTGGTTCAAGTGATTTTCCTGCCTCAGCTTCCCGAGTAGCTGGGATTACAGGCATGCGCCACCGCACCCTGCTAATTTTGTATTTTTAGCAGAGACAGGTTTTTTTCTCCATGTTGATCAGGCTGGTCTCGAACTCCTGATCTCAGGTTATCTGCCTGCCTCGGCCTCCCAAAATGCTGGGATTATAGGCTTGAGCCACACATGCCCAGCCCAGGGTCATTATTTATCAGAAACAAATGACTGGCCTATCTGATTGTGAGTCACACATAGGAAAAGTAACTGCTTACTTAACTTTTATGGAATTTCAGTCATGCTGTACAGAAAGGTAGGCTTATTCTCAGATTGCCTCCTACTGAGTTGCTGGAGGCATTTCCCAGGCATAGGATGCTTACACAGAACCTTGTGAAGAAACATTCTCTTAGGAAATATTGGATGAGAAAGGCTGGCTGGCTACCGAAGTTTGACCTGAAAATTGTGATGATTCTGCAGTTCTCTGGGTATGAATCCTTAAGGGTCAGATCTGAAAGAGATGGTCAGGCCCTGGGAACACAAGAAGCTCCTGGTTTATATGAAGTAGCTAAATGTTAAAGCACATTGAGGAATATGGAGTGTTTGTCCAATGACTGGGTACTTACATTCTCTATGCAAATAAGAAAGCAGATTAAAATCAGAAGGTTTCTAGTTGAATTAAAATTAATATAAAAACAAGTGGAACTCCTGAGTCTGATTTGTGTTTAGTTAGGTCAATATGGAGCTGAAAATTTTCTCTTTGTGTAATCATTGTCACCAATTCTAATATATTTCTTCCCAGATAGTTCTGGAGAATTCATGAAAAATCAGAACTCTGAAGGTTCTCTTGAAAACTGAGCCTCTTTTCCAGGTTGTCATGAGTCTCCCTTCCGGATAGAGTAACTTAGAAATCAGCATATAAAATGACCTTCCACAGGCTATATCATAACTAACGCATCAAAACCACCCATGGCATGTACAACATTGTTGTTCTATACCTGCCAGACATCTGAGATGTTGATGGTGGGAGAACTAGGAAGGCAGGAGACTCAGCTTCCTTCAATTTTTATTGGGAGCTTCTCACCTAGGTAGCCTCTGCCCAGCATGTACCAAAATTCCAGACTTCCAGAAGGAAAGCATTGTTTGTACAGACAGTTAAGGCTAAGTGAGCTGATCTTGTAAGTTCTCAAAATGATGGCAGCTCTTCATGAAATTCAAGTTCCCAGATGCCAACCAAGAGCTAGCCTTGCAAACAGGCCTCTCTAGGGATAGCAGGCCGCAACTGAATGGCAGGGATCACTGCCTAAAGCAAGAGCAACTCCAAACAGACAGGACATGAGGAACCGCCCACCTCTGAAGTGGTACAAGGAGACCGCCCCCTTTCATGTTGGGCAGTTGCTATAAATAAGCTGCAGAAAATTCACAAAATTTGGAAATACTGTTTTGCAGCTTGTTTTTTTTTCATTTAACAATGGTTCAAGGATGATACTCCGTGTCAGATTCAATTGTCATTTAACATTTTAATTGTACTCCATTGCATAGAGGTACTGTATTTCACTATCTTTTGTTGACATATATTTTGCTTATTACTTTTCAAATGCTTAAAATGAAGGAAAGTATTTTAAGAATTTATCTTATTTTTATAGATATTTTCTACACATTTTGTAAGCAGGTAACACTTTTCCTGTTTCTAGCCTGTGACCCAAACAACAAACGCCTTCGTCAAATCAAGGACCAGATTCTAACGGACTCTCGGTACAATCCCAGGATCCTCTTCCAGTTGCTACTGGATACTGCACAGTTTGAGTTTATACTCAAAGAGGTAAAAATATTTGACTGAATATCACCACAGTCTTAGCTTTTTTATGCTTAAAAATATTTTTTTTAAAAAGACTAGGATTGCTTGCTCCATCGGGTACAGATTTCAGCTGTTGAGATAGTTCTTATAGTAAAAATTTAACAAGCAGGTCACACCTCCTTTCACTGGGGGTAAGGTACATGAGATCGTAGAGGTTAGCCTAAGGAGGAATATAAACATTAATCAGACACTCATACTAGGCCAAGTGCAGTGGCTTATGCCTGTAATCCCACAACTTTGTGAGGCCCAGGCAGGCATATCACCTGAGGTCAGGAGTTCCAGACCAGCCTGGCCAACACGTGAAAACCTCGTCTCCACTAAAAATACAAAAATTAGCTGGGTGTGGTGGCGCACGCCTGTAGTCTCAGCTAGTGGGGAGGCTGAGGCATGAGAATTGCTTGAACCAGGGAGGCAGAGGTTACGGTGAGCCAAGGTCGCACCACTGCACTCCAGCCTGGGCAATAGAGTGAGACCCTCTCTCAAAAAAAAAAGAATCACACTAATAAAAATGTAAATACAAACTGAGATATTTGCTCTGAAGGAAAGGAATGTAGTTCTCCAAGTACCTAAAATAAAGTATCCTGTTGCAGCCTGGGAGACTTCCATGAGAATAAAAGCAAGAGCTTCTGAAAGGACCTGGAGAAGGGGTCTGTGAGTGTTAGCTAGACAAAGGTAGGGATTCCAGTCAGAAGAACATTCCAGTGAGAAGAAGAGTATCAAGTCTTCTTGGGTGAGGAAGAGCGTAAACTATTCAAAGACCTGAAAGACCAGTTGGCTGGAGGGGAGAGAGGGAGAGAAAGGTAGTGTGAAAGGAGGCTGAAAGGTAGGCAGGAGCCAGCCCATACTAGGCCTTGTAGGACTTTGGTCTTTATTGTAGGAACCTGAGAGCCTACCAAAAAGGAATTAAGTAGGATGGGTAATTTGCATTTGTACAAAGTCATCTTGAGGACTTTAAGGCATCTGAGTTCACTGAAGGAAATGCTGAGGTTAGTCTTACCTCCAAAGAAGCTTATATGAGCATAATAAAAATGAGAGGTAGCTGGGAATACCCCAGTAACCCTGGGGTTTGGATCAGGTGGGCCAGGAATAGATCAAATATTTACACCCATTCAGAACAGATTCTCCTTTTGCTTCAGTTTGGTTAGTGGAATTCTAGATGTTTATCTTCTGGGTGTCTGAGGACACTATTCCCCATTAAGTAGCTCAGAAAAAGTAGATGCTAACTGCTGACATAACGGTAATGCCTGTGCTGAGCATTTTCAGTGATTTGTCTGGGTGTTATTTTATCAAATCGGGTAAATGCTGCTCCTTTTTGATCTATTAATAATTTAATGATTTCCCTCTGAATAGCAAATAGTTATGGGGTATCTACTCTGTTCTTTGCTAGGTACTGGAAATTTAAATATGAACAAAGTGTCCCCATCATCTAGGAGCTGTCAGTGTATTAGGGGGAAGAAAGATTAAGCCAAGATGAGAAACCAGGAAAGATCCAAGAACAGGAACCAAGTCAAAGCAAAAGTGGCCTTTCAAAGGCAAGTGAAATGATGCCCCCAGGGAAGAAGTGCCCTGTCAGGCCGCAGTGGCTCACGCCTATAATCCCAGCACTTTGGGAGGCCACGGAGGGTGGATCACCCGAGGTCAGGAGATGAAGACCAGTCTGGCCAACGTAGGGAAACCCCAACTCAAGTAAAAATACAAAAATTAGCTGCGCATAGTGTGCACGCCTGTAATCCAAGCTCCTCAGGAGGCTGAGACAGGAGAATTACTTGAACCCGGGAGGCAGAGGTTGTAGTGAGCCGAGATTGCGCCACTGCACTCTAGCCTGGGTGACAGAGCAATACTCCTTCTCAAAAAAAAAAAACCGAAGGAAGAAATACCCTGAGGCCAGTTAGAATCATGAACTGGAGCCCCAGGGACCCAAGAGTTCTATAGAAAATACATAGTTCAGCATAGTCTGACTGACCAATCCTACATTTCTAATGATAAGTCTGTTCTCTGCAATCTATTGAAACCAAATGGACAGCTTCCTTCTGTCTATTCAGGTAGACAGGAAACAAGACAACATAAAGGAGTACAAACTCATTAAAGGTCTTTGGGAAAGCTCTGGTAAAATGAAAAAAATATACTTAATAAAAATTGAGCAAAGAAATGACAGATTTGAATTTCTGACATTTCAGCATTTGTTTGTTTGTTTGTTTGTTTGAGATGGAGTCTCGCTCTCTCACCCGGGCTGGAGTGCAGTGGTGTGATTTTTACTCACTGCAGCCTCCACCTCCCAGGTTTAAGCGATTCTCCTGCCTCAACCTCCTGAGTAGCTGGGATTACAGGCGCCTGTCACCACGCCTGGCTAATTTTTGTAGAGACAGGATTTCACCATGTTGGCCAGGCTGGTCTTGAACTCCTGACCTCCCATGATCCGCCCACCTCGGCCTCCCAAAGTGCTGGGGTTGCAGGAACGAGCCACCGTGCCTGGCCTTCAGCTTGGTTCTTTAACCCATGCTTTCTCTCTCTTCTACTTCCCATCCTGCACTGTTTATAGAATCACTTTCTGAGTTTCCTGTAGACACAGTAATTGGACCTGTGTTTCTTCTAATCTTTATATGACAGTACATTTCCTAATTCAGGGACCATCCCCTATCCCAAATTCTGTCCTATAAGATATGAAACCTGCAAGTTCATGTGAATGCATGTTGGGAGAGGCTGGATGCCATGTAGTCTCTTACAAAGGCCTCAGGGTGTTTATTTATGTCATTGCTTTGCCCTTGTCAAATGGCATTGATTGATCTGAGGCACTCAGAAAGTTAGGGTAGACTTTATAAATAATTTCATTATTCCTCATTATCTTATTGATTAGTCATTTTCTAGATCACTCAGATTCTTCCTCCACAGGCCCCGCAAAATTCCACAGAGCCCTGATTCTCCACATGCAGATGGAGTCTCCCTAGCCCATCACTCAGCTTTTCAAGTTTCATTATGATGCTGGCAAGTGAGGAATTTCTTAAGCGAGGAATCAGTATTTCATTGCCTGTTTACCTTGTAAGAGCCCAGTGTAATGAACCATCTACTCTTGTCTGAGATGGTGTGTCCTTTAGTGAGAAATAAGTATGTTTTTAAATTTTGTTTCAGGTTAAAAAAAAAAAGCCCAGCCCTGAGTTACACCCTTTTCTTCTCTGCCCAAGACTTCATAGCATTTAAATTTTATGAAGGAGTGAATTAAACAGAATTAAGGTAGTACGTTGGCTCATGCCTGTAATCCCAACACCGTGGGAGACCAAGGAGGGAGGATCACTTGAGACCAAGAGTTTGAGACCAGCCTGGGCAACATAACAAGACTCCCATCCCTGCAAAAAATAATAAGAAGAAAACTACCCAGGCGTAGTGGTACATGCCCATAGCCCTAGCTCCTTGAGAGGCTAAGGCAGGAGAATCACTTGAGCCCAGGAGTTCAAGGTTGAGTGAGCCATAATCACCTCACTGTACTCTGGCCTGGGCAACAGAGTGAGACCCTGTTGCTAAAAATAAATAAATACAAAGAAACAATTACTTGTATAATAAATAAATAAATAAAAATAAACAAAATGAAACTTAAATGATAAAATGAAGAACTTTTGTAGGTAATTTAGTTCATTCTCCAGTCATTGGAGAAGGTAATACGCAAACTGTCCCTGACTATTTAAGTTAAAACTGCAGACATTGTTGTCTAGTAAGAACCACAGAGCACTGGTCACAAATTTAATCTCACATCAAAAATGCTGATTTCTGGCCCTATTCAAGACCACCTGAACCAGAAGCTTTAGGGTAGGCCTTGGGGTTCTGGAACTTTAAAGCCCTCCTGGTGGTGCTTATGTGCAGTTGGTGTGAGAACTACTGTTTTGGAGGTGGTCTAGCTTTGTCTCTGAATTTCTACTAGGAGATGACATCAGGGTCAATATTAATTTATAGTGCAGCTTCTTCTTTAAAATTTAAATTGGGTTTCCTCAAGCTCTCTTCATAAGCTGTCTAGTCTGGATTTTCTCTTAAGTAAATAGATCTTTTTTGTCACTTCAACAGATGTTCAAGCAAATGCTTTCAGAAAAGCAAACCAAATGGGAGCATTACAAGAAAGAGGGTTCAGAGCGGATGACTGAGCTTGCTGATGTCTTTTCAGGAGTGAAACCCCTAACGAGAGTGGAGAAAAATGGTAATTGCTGAAGAGGAAACACTGGTGTGTTTGAAATGTAGGCACAGGTTATTTGAAACCTTGGAAAAGGCTTTATGTTCTCATTATTGTATCCTATGATATTCCCTCTTTAGTGTTGCTAATAAAGATCTGAAGGTTAGTTTTGGCTGCTTCTAGCTTTCTGCTCTCCTGGGCAATGTTCATGTCCATTGTAGAGTTGAGGTTTTACATCTTATCTTTGAAATGTGAGGTTAGGCTAAACCAGGGGTTTTGGTAGCACCAGTTCATAGACAAGTTTATAGAGTCATAGTTGGCCTCCACCTCCGTGGTATGAAAAACTATTGAGTCAGTTTATGTGCATTTGGGGAAAAGGGGGAAAGGATCTGAAATTCTCATGATCTTTTCAAGGATGATAAATCACCCATGAATGTCAGTAGTCTACTAACATAGACGATATCTAAAATTCTTCTGATCTTTCTCCGTTCTTGTCCGCCAGTGCACCTGCTCTCTAGTGGCAGAAGAGGGTACTGCAGACTATTTTTGGGGAAAAACACAGCCCAAGTTTTACTTTAATGATTTTGATCCTACTGCTTCTAGGAAATTTTATTTTTAGGAAAATTCTGGCACTATTTCAAATTTTTATAAATAAGAAATTTTCTAACTGCTCCCCAAAGCTTTCTGAAGTTTTTCAGAATAATGAATAGTGACAAACTATTTTTTTAATGCTTAATTTTGGTTTAACTGTCCGATCGATTTCTGATGAAGTTAATTATACTGTAGAATTGCTTGGTAGTGTAGCTTCTTGTTTAAAAACTTTATTATTTTTAATCAGTCTGAGCTTGTGATTACTGTATTTTTTGCTTTTGTTTATTTCTTTGATGCTGAGTGGTTGGTCAAAAATATATTTCCAAATTGTATTGTTGTTCCTATAGGGAAAAATCAGCCAATGTATAATGATATGATATAAACTAGAAACATGTTTTGCAGGTCACCATATTGTGATATGAAACCTGAAGTCTAAAATGAATATTATGGTTATCATATTGTGACCTGCGAAACAATCACATGTAACAATCTGACCTGATTAGCTGTCTAGAATCAGTACATTCATCTCTGTGATTGTTTCTTTTAGGTCCTTACAAATACCAACATTGTTTCAGAGATGAAATAACAATTTTACATTTTTTTCAGGCTGTATAGTTTATTACAGCTTAGAACACACTTTCACCATTTTTCTCATTTGATCTTTACAACCCTATAAGATACACATCTTAATCTTTATTTTATATATAAGGAAACTGCGGCTTAAAAATGTAATCATTTGCCAAAGGTACGAAGGTAGAGAGCCAGGGTCTCACTCATCTCAGACCTGAAATGTCATTCTCTTTCTACTCCTCCAATCGCTGCCCCTCAGCCCTACAAAAATCTACAAAATTATGAGTATTCATCATGCCGATTCTTGAAATAACTTAGATTATAAGTCATTAAGTCCTTTTAATAACGTGAAACCACCCCATTGATTTAAAAAAAAAAAAAAAAAACTAGAGGACCAACTTGGTGAGGTAAAGAGCACAGAGTTTTTGAACCTGAACAGACGTTAGGTCCTGGCTATGCCATTTAGTGACCATGTCACCCCGCATAGCATTTTCAGTGTCTCTGAGCATCAGCCTCTTTATCTGGGAAATAGCTAACAATTCCCACCTCCCTATATTGCTGGGAAGATTAAATACTTAGAACTTTGTCTGACATACTGAGGGTACTTAGAGCATATGGACACCCTTCTCTTTCTCCACTGTATGAAATGTCTGCTGGTTCGTAAATGCAAATGGCACCCCCTGAACTGTTCAGACATCCCTGTGACTCACCAGTCACACCTTACACTTTTGTCATATTGGTCTCTTCTTTCCCCTCCAAGATAGGCTCTTTTTTGTTTTGATTATCAGACCGAATTCTGATGAAGTTAATTATACTATAGAATTGCTGTAGATGTACTGTAGACATCTGCCCTGATGTCTCTGCCTGTGTCTGCCTTTCATCTTGATACAGTATACCCTTCTTCATCTCTCTGACCATCCAGATCTTTACCTATACTCGCTTCTCCAGAAAACTCCCCCTGGGAACTAGGGACACCCTTCAGTTCCTTTCTGACTCTTCTCCACTGCCACTACCACCTTCGCACTTACCCTTGATAGCATGTTGTAGTATTTGTCTGCCAAGTGTTATAGACTAAGCTGTTTATGTAGAAAGTTTATTCTACGATGTTGCATGCTCCAGGCATTTCTGTCGTTTGGAAAATTCCTAGTGTTAGGCCCATGGTAAGAGCTCTGAAGAACTGAATTTGTAAGAGATTATATAATTCAATTCAAAGCCACAGCTACAGGAATTTGAGGATTTCAGTAATCTTTTTTTATTTCTGTATTCTAGAAAATCTTCAAGCTTGGTTCAGAGAGATCTCAAAACAAATATTGTCTTTGAATTATGATGATTCCACTGCTGCAGGCAGAAAAACTGTGCAACTGATACAAGCTTTGGAGGAGGTAAGGAAAGTTTTAAAATGAAGTTTCTTAGATTATGAATCATACCTTATGACCCACTCAGCAGTGTGTTGTGTAAATATATCTAAGAGACTATTTCATCAGAAATAAAAGCAACATTAATTAATATGTTTCCTGTAACAGTTTCCTAAATTTGGGGAAATAAATGACCAGTATGAAGAGAATGGTAGCAAAAATTACAATATTTTAACTTGAGGAAACATGTAATCTTAGAAACATAATTATAAAAATAATATAGAAACATTGGGCAAATTGTGAGAAGGAGGTAAAAGCAAAACCAAAATTGCATGTGTATATCATTTTTAGGGTTGAAAAAAAGTGTGTGCCTTGGGGAAAAAAACATAAAAAATGAAAATAATTATATAGTGATCATATGCCTACAGTGGTATATTTTCTTTTCTGAAAAAATAGTTTGTTTTTCTATCAACTAAAAATGATTGTACTAAAAAAATTATACCTCACCACTCTTAAATTTTATTTGTGTATTTAACTGGATTTTAAATGGTAACGAAAAGCATCAGAAAAATAACCATAAGCTTTTTTTTTTTCGGTGAGATGGAGTCTCAATCGCTCTGTCGCCCAAGCTGGAGTGCAGTGGTGTGATCTCAGCTCACTGCAACCTCCACCTCCTGGGTTCCAGTGATTCTCCTACCTCAACCACCAGGGTACCTGGGACTACAGACACCTGGCACCACTCCCAGCTAATTTTGTATTTTTAGTAGAGATGGGGTTTCACCATGTTGGCCAGGCTGGTCTCAAACTCCAGACCTCAAATGATCCACCTACCTTGGCCTCCCAAAGTGCTGGGATTACAGGCGTGAGCCACTGCGTGCCCAGACAACTCTATTATTTAAAACATAATTTGTATTCATAATCTATAACCCTATCCAAATGGTATGAATATATATTTTTAGAAATATAATTAATACTTTTTTCCCTTGGAAGATTTTCTTACAGGCGTTTTCTTTGTTCTGCAATATTTTTAGCATGGTCACTGTAAACAGCAACACAGTAAAATATTCCTACCAAAGTTTCTTATTCCAGAGTAATTGCACACTTGTATTATTTCTGCTTTGCTTGTTTTGGATGTTTTTAAGTCTATAATACGATTGTAAATAACTTTGTAAATCTCAAATGTTTTTTATCATTTGCCTTATTTATTTTGGCATATAACCCAGGCATCTTGAGTTAAATACATTAAAATTTAAAGACATTGTAGAATCATTATTTTGTTTTAAAAGTGCATCAAAAGAACTTAATAATATACAAGTGCCAACACACTGGTTATGATATACAGAATAATAAGCGGTGGAACATTGTCTAATCCTAGAAACTTGTGCATTTTTTAAATAGCTTGGCTAACATATTTCTGAAATTATAATTTGAAATAAAAATTTTATCAAGAACTTGTCAGAAGTAGTGTGCTTTATTTGAAGTGTTTTCAAGAACAGATGAGCACCATAGAGTCCATTCAGGATTTTTAAATGAAGTATATTTCTGTAACACAGGTTCAAGAATTCCACCAGTTGGAATCAAATCTGCAAGTATGTCAGTTTCTTGCCGATACTCGAAAGTTTCTTCATCAAATGATCAGAACTATTAACATTAAAGAGGAGGTTCTGATCACAATGCAGATCGTTGGGGACCTTTCTTTTGCTTGGCAGTTGATTGACAGGTAATGTAGACAGCCTGACATTTGCCCTTGATGGAAGGCCCTGGGAGCATCTTCTTACCATTTCTCTGTTTTTACAGTTTCACATCCATCATGCAAGAAAGCATAAGGGTAAATCCATCCATGGTTACTAAACTCAGAGCTACCTTCCTAAAGGTGAGCAAAACCAATGAGATTCTCTATTACTAGGAAAGAGTTGGCCTTCATTCATACCTCATCCATTAATTCAGCCCAGGATTTTATCCTTTTAGGAATGTAAATCATTTCAGTATTTTTATAGACTGAAATTGTTAGCAATTTTTCCATGAGAACATAGTATCAAAGATGCTAGAAATATTTAAAGTTTGAATTAATATAAGTTGGAGTGTCTTTAGGAATACTATTTTTTAAGTGAAGAATAGTTTTTTTTTTAAGTTTTATTTGTGTACTAAAAATGCAAGACCTTTGTGTCCTTTATTCCCTAGGCATGAATTAAGCTATGTTACTTATTCATTCCAAAAATTCTTACTGAGCCTCTGCTACAAACTAGTATTAATATCTACAATAACAGAGAATAGTGGTAAATAAGAGGCACAGCCCATGCTCTTATGGTAATTTCAGTTCATGGTAAATGAACAAAGAATCTACTCAATGTCTTCTTCCTCTTTTTTTTTTTTTTTTTTTGAGATGGAATCTCCCTTTGTTGCCCAGGCTGGAGTGCAGTGGCATGATCTTGGCTCACTGCAGTCTCTGCCTCCCAGGTTCAAGCAATTCTCCTGCCTCAGCCTTCCGAGTAGCTGAAATTACAGGCATTCACCACCACGCTCATCTAATTTTTACTACTTTTAGTAGAAATGGGGTTTTACCATGTTGGTTAGGCTTGTCTCAAACTCCTGACCTCAAATGATCCTCCTGCCTCGGCCTCCCGAAGTGTTGGGACTGCAGGTATGAGCCACCACACCTGGCCTACTCAATGTCTTCTGGCAGAGCTCCCATGTACCGTATGTATCAATTCTGAAATGCACCTTTTTTGGGGGGGAGTTGGGGGTGAGGGGGATGGGTTTTCACTGTGTTGCCCAGGGTGGTCTCAAACTCCCAGGCTCAAGTGATCCTCCTGCCATAGCTCCCATGTAGCTTTAATTATAGGTGTGCACCACTGCGCCTGGCTACTACACTGTTTTTCATATGTTAACGTTTCTGTAACTGGGGATGGGTTTATAATTGATGGTATATCATAGTTTAGTTGTCAGCATTTTGTTTTTTTCTGAGTGGCACAGAAAATAATGGCACTTCTTAGACTTGACGGCATTATTAGATTGGACAGATTCAGTAGCGCATCAATCAGAACGTCTTGATTTCCACACAGGAGTGGCTGTCCTCTGTGGCACAGTGGCTCTGAAACTTGAGCATGCATCAGAATCACCTGCAGGGCTGGTTGTAACACAGATTGCTGGGCCCCACCGCCAGGGCGTCTGTCTGACTACATCATTGTGGAGTGGGGCCCAATAATTTGCATATCTAACAAGTTCCCAGGTCATGCTAAAGCTGCTGGTCCAGGGAGCACAGTTTAAGAACCACTGCCAGCCAGGCATGGTGGACTACGCCTGTAATTCCAGCACTCTGGGAGGCAAAGGTGGGCGGGTCACGAGGTCAGGAGTGTGAGACCAGCCTTACCAACACTGTCTCCAGTAAAAATACAAAAATTAGCTGGTTGTGGTGGTGCGCACCTATAGTCCCAGCTACTCAGGAGGCTGAGGCAGGAGAAACGCTTGAACATAGGAGGTGGAGGTTGCAGTGAGCCAAGATTGCGCCACTGCACTCCAGCCTGAGCGGGTGACAGAGCGAGACTCCATCTCAAATAAATAAATAAATAAATAACCACTGCCATCACAGTTTAACTAGAGTTTTTCAAAAAGTATATTGTCAGAAACTTAATGATATGGATGAGATTTGGTGGTGGTTGCCCTCTGTTGGGTAAAGCTCAAATGTTTTGTTGTATGTTACATTTTCTGGAAGGAAAGATTTCTAGGACTCTTTCTGAAACAGAAACAGATATGCCTTATTTTTCTTCCAGCTTGCCTCTGCCCTCGATCTGCCCCTTCTTCGTATTAATCAGGCAAATAGCCCTGATCTGCTCAGCGTGTCGCAGTACTATTCTGGAGAGTTGGTATCCTATGTGAGAAAAGTAAGAAATGCATCAGGGTGATATTTACTCTTACCAGATAACTGTGGTTTTAAAAAGTACAAAAGTACATTCATGTCTCTTTTCTTGTTTAGAATTTGATTCCAGAAATTTGCAACACCTAAAATAAACTTATTCTTATTGCTACTGTGGATGTACAGCTGTTTTTACTTGCCTGGAACTTTGATTTCTGTGTTTTAAATGTTGGCGGTATTCACCTCTATTTTTTAGATGTAGAAGCAGAAATTATAATAGTTTCTTCTAAATCGCAGAGCCACATCTAGATCCAGTATCTCCTGGTCAGAGCACAATTCAGGTTTTCATGGAAATTTTGATCCTCATTTTAATAACTTCTTATAGAACATGGAGCCAGACAGGCCTGAATTCAAAATTTACCGGCGTCACATACTAGCTGAGCCCTCTATAGTGATGTTACTTAACATTTTTGAACCTCGATCTTTTTAAGATCTGTAACATGGAAATGATACAGTCTTTTACAGCATTTTAGAATTAACTTTATATTCTGTAAGCAACTAACGTTTAATGGAATGGAGCCCTGTGCCTGCTAGCAGTTATTATAACAGCTCTTTTAAGTTCTTCAGCATCCCCTTTAAAGACAAATTGCTTTTACTGTCATCCTAATATTTGTCAGCCAAGTAAAGTAAAACGGGTGTTCATTGCGTTTCCTCCTTTCCTTTTCATTGAAGGTTTTGCAGATCATCCCAGAAAGCATGTTTACATCTCTTCTAAAGATCATAAAGCTTCAGACTCACGATATTATTGAAGTGCCTACCCGTCTGGACAAAGACAAGCTGAGGGACTATGCCCAGCTGGGCCCACGATACGAGGTGTGATGTCCCTCTGACTTCTGCCTTTTCGTATTAAAAACTAACAGTTGTGAAATATCACAGGCCTGTGTCACCTGCCATTTGCTGGGGACCCACCAGACCAATTCTGACTTGTTTTCTAACATTCGCAATGATAAACATGGTTTACGATTTTAGTAGAATCATACCTTTTATTCTTGATATTTTCCTGGTGTCATTTAAGGCCTTGTTTGCCTCAGTATGCTCAGGGGAAAAGGAGCTCACTCAGCTGGTCACTTTTTTCTAGAATAGTCTTGGTAAAGCAGCCCTTGTTCTCTTTGAGCTAGATTACCTGACTTTTCATATTCACGTTCCTGCTTTTTGAGCAGCTCAAAATAATCTATATTCTGTTAACTGTTTCCTGTGGGCAGATTTTAAGCTCATTCAGTAATAATTCAGCAGCCTCAGAGGTTATTCTCACCAAACACCTCTGGTTTTTTTCTCCCTGAGCTTATAATTTAAAGACATCAAAAGTAAAATCAAGTGAAAATAGAAAATATGATGTAGTGTTAATTTCCCATTCTCACACAAGTTCAAGAAATACGTCAGGGACTTAGATTATCAAACTTGGTATTTCCACATTTATTCTGATTGAACAATATAGCTAGCACCTGTCTACTTTATCAGTATCTGCTGGTGTAGCTTGCAAATAATGGGGAGGCTAGTGAAGGGGATGTTGCCTTCTCAGTCTCATAGTCTTTTCTAGCCGGAAGGGCCGATCTAGATCATTGAGTTCTGCCTTAAATTTTAGACATGCAAAAATGAAGCCTAAAGAAGAAATGCTTTGTCAAATGTGAAAGAATGAACTGATGTCCTCTTACTCAGTTACCCAATATGTCTAACAGTGGGCATAAAAGCCACATTTCTGTCCAGAACATGTGGACACAGGTATCCTCAAGCTACAAGTTCATTTTCTGTTATCTTTGCCCATTCCAGGACTATTAGCCAATGATTTCTGATTTCCCAGAAGTGATGAGTCTTTTATCTGAAGTACTTTTCATACCTCTTTTTCTTTGTTAAAGGTTGCCAAGCTTACTCATGCTATTTCCATTTTTACTGAAGGCATCTTAATGATGAAAACGACTTTGGTTGGCATCATCAAGGTAACAGTTTTGTTAGTCAGTGTGGCCTCGTACCATGACTCTGTTTGGACTTTTGTGGTAATTATGTATGGAAAAGGGAGTGACATCATCTTGCTATTTCACATTCCAATTTTGGTCTTCATTTTATTCATTTATTTTATTTTTTGAGACAGAATTCTCTGTTGCCCAGGCTGTAGTGCAGTGATGCAATCTTGGCTCACTGTAACCTCCATCTCCCAGGTTCAAATGATTCTCATGCCTCAGCCTCCCAAGTAGCTGGTACTACAGGCACGCAACACACCACCCGGCTATTTTTTGTATTTTTAGTAGAGACAGGTTTCACCATGTTGGCCAGGCTGGTCTCAGACTCCTGACCTCAAATGATCCGCCCGCCTTGGCCTTTTAAAGTGCTGGGATTATAGGCATGAGCCACTGTGCCCGGCCCATTTTACTCATTGATGGAGGAAGAGAAAGCATTGTAATTTGTATTTCTCTTAATACTTGAGGGCAGTGGGAATTTCTTTACCTTGCAGTTCTGCAGAAAATGTGTGGTGCTATTACTGTTTTACCAAAGAGTTGTTTAAATCTAAGAAAAAATATTTTATTTAATTTTGGGAAAAGCAAAAAAAACAAAAATTCAATTTCCTTAGGCAAAATTGCTTTCTTCTTTCTCTCTTTTCCTTCCTTTATTTTTAGTATTTTTATTTCATACCCCAGGTACAGAGAGCTAAGATAATCATGTCCCTCTTTTCACAGACCACTGTCATCACTGGGGCATCCAAGCTCCTCTCATCTTTCGTTTGTTTGTTTGTTTTCTTCTTCTTCCGGTCCCTGCTTCCAACTGTGTGTGTTTGGTAAATGCTCCTAAATGTGCAGGTATTCTTGTTTTTAGCGGATGGCATTATTTGATGTGTGCATGTGCTTTTGATTTAACTCAATCGTATGGTGCTCTAAATCTCATTCTTTTTCCAACTTCTCTTACTGGTTATTGCTTTTGTAATTTATTTATATTGCTATAGGTCAGATAGTAAGTTACTTTTTATTGCTGCGCAGAATTCCATGTTGTTCCTAACCACCCGGCTTGGGACAGACACCTATGCCCCCCGATTATCACAACCAATGTCATGATGAGCGTCTCTGAGTATATCCCCACTCCGGACCTGTGCAAGAATTCCTCTGAAATCTACATTCTTTTCGAGTGGCTGCAAACCAATCCATAGTACAAATATACCATGGTATATTTAACCATTCCCTTACTGATGGATGTTTAGACACACGTGTTCTTTGACTTTCAATGGTGTTACATCCTAATAAACTCATTGCACGTTGAAAATATCACAAGGCAGCTGGGTGCAGTGGCTCATGCCTGTAATCCCAGCACTTTGGGAGGCCGAGGTGGGCGGATCACCTGAGGTCAGGAGTTCTAGACCAGCCTGACTAACGTGGTGAAACCCTGTCTCTACTAAACATATAAAAATTAGCTGGGCATAGTGGCAGACACCTGTAATCCCAGCTACTCAGGAGGCTGAGACAGAGAAAATCACTTGAACCTGGGAAGCAGAGGTTGCAGTGAGCAGAATTCGTGCCGTTGCACTCCAGTCTGGGTGACAGAGCAAGACTCCGCCTCAAAAAAAAAAAAACAAAACCGAAAATATCAGAAGGCCCTTGGGACTTAAGGCCCATTTATACTTGCTTTGTTTCAGTACTCCCAGATTACCTTCTCAAATGACTGTGTACCTGCTTATATCTTTGCCAATACTTGATGTTATTCACTTTCTAGTTTTTGCTCTCCCAAGAAGTATAAAGTGATATCTCATTGCCTTTTTAATTTGGAATGCTATGGTGACTAGTGATGGGCCTATTCATACAGTTTATGGTACTTTCTTTTCTTTATTTTTCTATTTATCTGACACCAATAGAATCTAAACATTTCTAATTGCCATATTAACATTTGTGTTATTAAAATCAAAGAAAATAGAGGAAATGAACCTAAATGGAACTTTAGTATGTGTTTTCTGGAAGTATGCTCAAGTAAATAACATTGTAGTTTTTAGAATATGAACAGAATTTGCTAAACATGCTTTAGGCCTGATGCCAGGTTAATTCAGTGCATGTGCAGAGAGGTACATGCATTTTACTCACTTCTTACATATAGGATGATAATTCTAGGACTCCAAAATGACCAGCATAGGAAGGATGTAATAAAACCTAATACAGGTAATTAACAATAATTATCAAAAGAAAGACTGCTTGGTAAAATATTAATCTTTTCCCACAGTCTTTCAGATGACAACAGCAGAAGGAATATCCTGCTGACCAACTCCATTCAACCCAGTAGACTTTCTCTGCTAGTCTACCAACAACAACTAAGGGCTTTTGAAAGGAATCCTGTGGCCCTTACTGATCTTTAACCTCAGAATGTTGAGGTTGTATTTCAAACACTTTAAAAAAAAAATGTAGGTTCTCTTTGGTTGAAAACAAGTGAAGGTATATGCATAATCTTCATAGTTAGAGGCAGCCAAAAAAAAAAAAAAAAAAAATATATATATATATATATATATATATATATGGTCTTGAACTTACGATGATTGAACTTCATGATGATACTTGTACTGTTTTTCACTTTCAGTATAGTATTCAGTAAATTACATGACATATTCAATACTTTGTTATAAAACAGGCTTTGTGTTGGATGATATTGCCCAAATATAGGCTAATGTAAGTGTCGTGTCCTGAGCACATCTGAGGTAGGCTAAGCTGAACTCTGATGTTTGGTAGATTTGGTATATTCAATTCATCTTTGACCTCTGATATTTTTGACTTATGATGAGTTTATTGGAATGCAACCCCATTGTAAGTCAAGTATGCTAAACATCGATCAGTAGGGGAATAGTTAAGTATACCATGGTGCATTCATACTGTGGATTGGTCTACAAAAGAATTTACCACTGGAAAATCTCCAAGATGGAAAGTGAAAAAAGCAAATTACAGAACAACATATATATGTATATATACACACAGATTATATATATATAAATGTATGTGATATATATGCATGTGTCTGTGTGTATATGTATAGTATATATGTGTGTGATATACCTGCATATGTCTCTGTACATATATATGTATATGATCCCATTTAGATTTTTGAAATTAAATATATGTTTAAGCATGAATATTTATGTATATAAATGAATAGAGAAAGGTCTGGATGATCCATATGAAAACAGTTACGGTTGTGACTTCGGGGGAAGGGAACAGAAATGTGAGGAAGGGGCTGTGTGAAGATGGTTTTCTCTTAGCTGTGAACACTTCCACAGACGAGTGAGAATCCGGGAAGGATTAGAGGAGCCACCTGAGATCTTTAGATTCATGAAAGCACTGAACTCTTTCACTAAATCTGTTCTTATAAGGAATATTTCTTTGAAAGCTTCATGATACTTCTTTGATTCTGTACTCATTGATTATATCTTTATAATTTACCTTTTTATTGTATAGTAAAGCACAGATACTGAAAACTAAAGAAAGAATGATGTAGCCTGTTGGATTATTACAAGATAAACACCAATCGTTCTAACTACCACCTAAGTGGAGAAATAGGATTTAGCCAGCCTCAGTCCTGAAAGCCCCCTCATGCCCCCTGAGCTAATCTTAGGCCTCCTGTGTATAGTTTTATTATCCAATGAAACTATATGTCATTAATTTCTAGACTGTAACTTAGACTTGCCCATTGAAAAAAATATGTCTTTTAAGTCTTTTTTTAATCTACAGACTTCTCCTCCTTTCCTTTCTTTCCCTGTAATTCATCTGTTGAAGAACATAGGGCCTTTCGCCTTTAGTTGGTCCACAGTCTGGATTTCCCTGATTGAATGGTCTTGACATAGCTTAGATTGAATGGTCTTTACATAGCTTCATTACGTAGCTTAATGTGTTTCTCTGGATTTTGTGTTTTTGCAACTCCCACTGCAGTTGTCTTATTTGAAATTTAAATATAATCAAAACCAGATGGAACCCATTAATTGCCTTTATGACTTTTTTAAATAATGGTTCTTTACAAATTGAAAGTTAAAAGAAACAAGTCTCAGGGAATTCAAGGGAGTATATAAAGACCATTTGGTGTTTTATGGATCTGATAAGAGACTTTTTTAAGGAATAACAAAAGCTTTTTCATTATAGAATAATTAATTAGCAAAATGAATAAGTTAAAAAGCTTATAGGGTTAGATAGCAGATTTGCTTTCCTATTTTATCTCCCTAATTACAAGCAAGCAGCATTCCAAGAATGCTGAAAGAAAAGAGAAGTATTCCATTTACAGAGTGGTCCAACCTCAAATCTGAGTTTGCTCACATGGATATAGGGTGCCTTGAAATAAAATCTGGAGGAAGACCATGCATCTACAAATTTAACTGGAGTTCCTTCATCCCGCCCCTCCTGCTAATAAGAAAAGGCTTTTAATGCATTAATTAGAATGTGAGGCCATTTAAAACTTTCCCTATTCACCGTCTTTGAAATGCCATGTCGTCAAATTATCGTCATGAACTTTGCTAAGATAAACAAGAGTCCTAAAAAAGTGACAGGTTTAATAATTCCATCCAAGCTGTGCAAGATCACAGGGGCAGGAAAGGAAAAAATTTCAAATTATTTGTGAGAAGGTAGGAACGTGTTCCCCTGCAGATTCTGGAAGCCATCTTTCTTCTGGATTTCATCAGGACTGAGTTTTTCATAAATATCATTTAATACTTTTGATTGGCACTTAGGTGGATCCAAAGCAGTTGCTGGAAGATGGAATAAGGAAGGAGCTTGTGAAGCGTGTTGCCTTTGCCCTGCATAGGGGACTGATATTCAACCCTCGAGCCAAGGTACCCAGTGACCAAAGCGGGCCTGTCCTCTTTTCCACTCAGCTTGCAGAGTGGACTAGAATACTATTTTTAACCTATCGTGAACAAGACCTTACCTCCTAGCTAATGTATATCTAATATGTGATTTTCAACATAATCCATTCATATTATAAATTCATAGTATAAATGTGAATTTTAGATTTTATATTTAAAAGTTCATATTTTTAAAACCAGTACATCTTTTCTCTACCTATTCTGAAACATCATTTCAGAATGAAACTGATGTTTATGATTCAGAATTACTTCTTATAGTTAAAAGAATTTGCTAACCCTAAAGCAGATAAGAACTATAAAGGTTATAATTTTTTATTTTGCTTTATCTGCTGGGAATATGGTAATTTTTCTCAGGAGAAAAAAAATAGGCCTGAAATTTCTATTTAAGGTATTTATTATAGTAAATTCAATTTAAAATGTTTTAAGTACTCTAAGATTAGATATATTCATCAAATGAAAGAGAAATCGTAGTCATTTATTTTTTTACATTCCTTTATATGAGGCTCCCTTCCCAAATGAATGAAATCAATTCTTTGCTGAATTTCTGACATCAGTTATTACTCATCCTAGGTGAAGTAAGAAGTAATTCCAAAACTTAAAGTATGTCTTAAACTATGACTATGGTCTCTTGGCTGCTGTACTATTTATTTTTTGAGAAGGAGTCTTGCCCTGTTACTCAGGCCGGAATGCAGTGGCACGATCTCAACTCACTGCAACCTCTGCCTCCTGACCTCAAGTGATTCTCATGCCTCAGGCTCCTGAGTAGCTGGGATTTAGGCTCCTGCTATCATGCCTGACTAATTTTTGTATTTTTGAGGGGGTTTCACCATGTTGGCTGGGCTGGTCTTGAACTCTTGACCTCAAGTGATCCCCCCATATCAGCCTCCCAAAGTGCAGGGATTACAGGAATGAGCCGCTGTGCCCGGCCTATTTTTTTTTTTTTTTTTTTTTTTTGAGATGAAGTCTCACTATGTCACCCAGGATGGAGTGCAGTACAGCCTCCACCTCCCAGATTCAAGCAGTTCCCCTGCCTCAGCCTCCCGAGTAGCTGGGATTACAGGTGTGCACCACCACACCTGGCTAATTTTTGTATTTTTTTTTTTTGTAGAGTTGCGGTTTCGCCATGTTGGTTAGGCTCATCTCAAACTCCTGTCCTCAAGTGATCTGTCTGCCTTGGCCTCCCAAGGTGCTAGGGTTACAGGTGTGAACCACCACACCCAGTCTGCTATACTATTTAAAGTCTACTGTAGATATTAGTATTAATCATTGACAGCTTACTCCATTATAAGAGCTTTATGTTTCCCCTTTTCCACAGCCAAGTGAACTGATGCCCAGGCTGAAAGAGTTGGGAGCGACCATGGATGGATTCCATCGTTCTTTTGAATACATACAGGACTATGTCAACATTTATGGTCTGAAGATTTGGCAGGAAGAAGTGTCTCGTATTATAAATTACAATGTGGAGCAAGAGTGTAATAACTTCCTAAGAACAAAGGTATCTAATAATTTTTAAAATTTTTGACTATATTTATTTCTCGTGTTTAAACTACACACCCCAAACCTCAGAAATGCCAACAAGAAAGTTTATTTCCTAAAAATCTGTAAACACTGGATAGTCTCAGTACATTCAGAGTACCTTTAGGAGCCAGGAGGGTTGCAGAGGAGTAGACATGGCACCTGGCCTGTGGGAGCTCACTGTCCAAGAAGGCAGACATCATTAAATGGCTACAGAATGAAGCTGTTTGTTGTAATTGTTATAATCCACGTGATTGAGAGTTTAGAAGACTCTTAGGACTCCTTTGGGTTGGGTTTGGCAGGGTATATACTGGGACCTATAATGGGTAGTTCTATACTTAACTTATTGAGGAACTGCCAAACTGTACCACAATAACGGCAGCATTTTATATGCCCAGCAGCAGTGTACAAGGGTTCCCACGTCGTAACCAACGCATGTTATTTTCCACTTTTTTAAATTATAGTCACCCTAGTGCACATGAAGATGTCTCATCATGGTTTTGATTTGCATTTCTCTAATGGCTAATGATGATGAACAGCTTATTGGCCATTATATGTCTTCATTGGGAAAATGTGCATAAAAAATCCTTTGCCCATTTCTTTAATTGGGTAAAAAAAGAGCACCAAATGCACAAAAGCCATACTGAGAAGTTTGCTTTTAGTAAGTAATGAACAAGGAGCCACTCTGCAAGTTTTTATGTGGGAACTGACATGATTTGGGTGACATTTTCCAAAGTTTAAGTCTGTTTCAGCCTTAGGATATTCTGGATTTTTACCTGGATGCATGTCAACTTAGAAGGCAGAAAGCCAGAAGTCCCCATGGCTCATCTTACTTCTCACGTCTCCATTGTCACTTCACCTTGTCACAAACTTTTTTTTTAATAAATGTTACATGTGGCATTTCTGGGAGACTATTATTAATGCAGTTTTAGAAGTTTCCTCTTCAAAACCAAGGAACAGGCCAGACACAGTAGCTCTTGCCTGTAGTCCCACCTACTTGGGGGCTGAGGCAGGAGGATTGCTTGAGCCCAGGAGGTTAGGCTGCAACAAGCTGTGATTGCACATGGCATTCTAGCCTGGGCAGTACAGCAAGATCCTGTCTCTAAACTAAAAAACAAACCAGCCAAGCACAATGCCTCACACCTGTAATCTTAGCACTTTCAAGGCCAAGGCAAGTGGATCACCTGAGGTCAGGAGTTCAAGACCAGCCCATCTCTACTAAAAATACAAAAATTAGCCAGACATAGTGGCACATACCTATAATCCCAGCACTTTGGAAGGCCGAGGCGGGAGGATCACTTGAGATCAGGAGTTCAAGACCAGCCTAGCTAACATGGCAAAACCTCATCTCTATGCCATTAGCTGGACGTAATGGCAGACACCTGTAATCCCAGCTACTCCGGAGGCTGAGGCAAAAGAATCACTTGTACCTGGGAGGTGGAGGGTACAGTAAGCAGAGATCACACCACTGCACTCCATGCAAGACTCCATCTAAAAAAAAAAAAAAAAAAAATACAAAGAACCTTTATTGTCAGTCTTTATGCAGTATTATCTTTGTAAAATTATGTGGAAAAAGGATAACTAGGTTATCTTATCAAAGGTGTGCTAAATATTGATGGTTTTGTTTTCTAGATTCAAGATTGGCAAAGCATGTACCAGTCCACTCATATTCCAATACCCAAGTTTACCCCTGTGGATGAATCTGTAACGTTTATTGGTAGACTCTGCAGAGAAATCCTGCGGATCACAGACCCTAAGTAGGTATATCTGAATTCCGCAGAGTCCTGAATAGCATAGGCAGTCTCATCTGCACCTCTGTCCCTGTGGCACAGCCCCCGTTCCAGTCTTGGGGGTCCTGCACTTGTCAACTCATATTCTGACCCTTTAGGACAAGGGTCCCTAACCCCTGGGCTGCAGACTGATACTGGTCTGTGGCTTGTTAGAAACCAGACTGCACAGCAAAAGGTGAGTGATGGGCAAGCAAGCATTACTGCCTGAGTCCACCCCCGTCAGATCAGTGGCAGCATTAGATTCTCATAGGAGCACGAACTTTGCATGTGAGGGATCTGGGTTGTGCACTCTTTATAAGAATTACCCTTGTAGCACTTTTGATAATAACAACTAATGTTTATGGAACACTTACTTATGCATTCTTCCCAGCACATTATACATATCCAGTCATTAACCCATTTACAGCAATCTTATGAGATTGGCATTATTCTTATACCCATTTTAATGATGAACTAACTGAGGCACAAAAGGGCTTAGTCATTTGCCCAGCATTACACAATTAGTTAATAAATGGTGGACCCAGAATACACTCTAGGCCCTTTGACTCCAGAGCCCAGCTCCCAGCTCCTCAATATCATCAGAATTGGGGACCTCTTCAGTGATGTATCAAAGTATATTTGGTGGCAGAAGAACTCTGGTGAAGGGCAGACTGCATAGCTTTGTATACAGAAATCACAGTCTACATACAGGTCATGTGGGCTCTACCTTCAGCAGTAACTGGATGAAAATCTCATTTAATTAAAACTGCTTTTGAGAATATTTTAGGCAAGCACCACGGCAGAGACTAGCATGCTGCCTCTAGTAAGTCCAGCTGAGCCAGATTTCCTCCTTTTTCTTCATTTGAGCCTCAGGAGAAGCTATTGGTATTGAGACCAGTTCAAGGAAGAGCAGGTTCTCATGTCTAACCCTGGGTACAGGCTCACTGAGCAGAAGGGTTGGTGGAATTACCCAGGGAGAAAGCGATTCTCTTTGTTCTCTGTCCGCCCAAGCACATGTCGTTGGCCTTGTGTGGGTTAAATGTTCTTAGGACCCGGATCCTTTGTACGGTCTTCTAATCCAGGCTTATTTTGTCCTTCAAAACTTATGAAAGTTGACAAACTATATATAACCTTCCTCCAAAATTTCCAGCAGAAATAAGGAATTTTGACTCATGGGACAAAAAGAGAGAGTAAGTGATTCAAAAGTTTTATAGCTCCTTCTTTCTTGGTACCCTTCAATCACTGAAGCCTTTTTAGAAAACTACCCAGTGCCCTATTAAGACAGGCAGAGCAGATTAAGTGCGACCAGAATTTCCACATCATGTATAAATTTTATCATCAGAATTGGGGGTCTCTTCCGTGATGTATCAAAGTATATTTGGTGACAGAACTCTGAAGCAAGCAGGTGAAGTTGTATGCAGTTTGGGAATCCTCTCGTTTTGTTCTCTCCATTCACTTCCCGGCTTAAAGCTCCCTTGCATCTAGGCTCTTTCAGCTCCTCAGGCCTCCTTCTGGTAAAGATACGTGGTGGCTTTGGACAGTAGGTTGTCACCTGTGGAGCTTGCTGAAAATGCAAAGGCTGGGGCTCTCCCCCAGAACTACTAAATCAGATTCTCCAGGAGTGGAAGCTGGGCGTCTTTATTTCAAACAAGCTCCACCACGGATTCAGGGTCCCTCTCTCAGTGTTTGAAAACCATTGAAATGGTGGTTAAGGGTGGTGGTCAGACCTTTGAGAGCCTCAGTTATCTCATCTATAAAATGAGGATTAAATGATTTGTGTTCCACAGAACTATTATGAAGATGAAAAGGTCTTAGCACACACAGTACCTGGTGCATAATAAGTGCCCAGTAAATATGGTTGGGTGGTTATTGTCATTGTCATCATCACACTTCTGAGTCTACAAGGAATCATTTGGAGATGACCAGAAGATGTCATCTGCAAGTTGAAGAAACTGGGAGGCAAAAGCAAATGGCTTTGTCATCATAGTCTCAAATGTTAGGTAGCGTGTGGAGATTCTAGGTTCTTTTTTTTACCAAATGGAAATGACACATGGCCTTGTTTTTGCTCCAAACTGGAAATTTAAAGAAAGGCCACATAGAGAGATAAGTGAGCTCTAAAGTATTCCAGCCTGACAGCTGAACCTGACCTTGTCTTCTCAGCATGATTCCAGGTCAGCAGCCTAACTCAATGGAAATAAGTGATTCAAACCAATGATATGACACGGGGCAGGAAAAGGGGATCCGACTGAATTTTACCTTCCTGTTCCCTTGGGTATTCACTGGGAAGATGCACTGGGTGCCTGAATACAGAGGTTAGAAAGCACAGATCATGTAACTGCCATTCTTCATAATTTGGTGCCCCGTGTCGAGTCCTAACATCTCCTTAAGGTTGAATTCTGAGCCATTCTGGGATTTTTGCATTGTTTTCATTTTAGAATGACATGTCACATAGACCAGCTGAACACTTGGTATGACATGAAAACTCATCAGGAAGTGACCAGCAGCCGCCTCTTCTCAGAAATCCAGACCACCTTGGGGACTTTCGGTCTGAATGGCTTAGACAGGCTTCTGTGCTTTATGATTGTAAAAGAGTTACAGGTGAGCCTTTTGGCTTTCATGCCTGTTTTCTGCGACCCTGGGGAGAGGCAAGAACATAACTTAATGGGCAGTTTGAACTCATTTAACTTTTCTCCCATGAGTTCTTATACTGACTTTAGACATATGATACCTATTATGTAGATAAGAGCTGAGAATAAACTAATATTTCTTTGGCCAGTGTAGTACTTTATAGGATTAGACCGTTTCCATGAGTTTCAGCTTGGGAAGATAAGATTTTTTTAATCTTTGAAACCAATGACTTTTCCTAGCAAGGGAGGTTTCTAACAGGAACCTGAAGTTGCTTCTTTTTGCTGTCATCCTGTTTAGAGGTTTTATGTGACTTAGGGCCAGTCTCTGCTCTGCATAGTGTTTTAAGTAACTGGAATATTTGTTAGTTTAATTCATTATGTTTTGTTCTTTGACCATTTTTGTTTTTAGAATTTCCTCAGTATGTTCCAGAAAATTATCCTGAGAGACAGAACTGTTCAGGAGACTTTAAAAACCCTCATGAATGCTGTCAGCCCCCTAAAAAGTATTGTAGGTAAGTCTCCTACAAACTAGCCTGAGGTGGGGATGACACTGTAGCCTTTTTGAATATAATAAAGAGAAAATTATGTTTTCACCTTTCAGCAAATTCAAATAAAATTTATTTTTCCGCTATTGCCAAAACACAGAAGATTTGGACTGCATACCTTGAAGCTATAATGAAGGTATGTTGTGGGAGAGAGGGTGACAGTCAATACTTACAGTTTTCAGTTTTTCAATTTCTTGTAACTTTGTTGCCCAAAGAAAGCTACTCTTCTGTCTTTTGTCATTAAATAAAAATACTTTCATACTTCAGTTTATCATTATTTTAAAATTCATTTTGTTTATATCCCTTTCTGGAGCTGTTCTTGACTAGGCTTTTTAGAAGCCTACTATTTACCTTTTGTTCAAGAAAACTGGCTTTGTAAAATACCTTTTGGCTCGAGGTGCTTTTATATATGAAAATGGAACTTTTCCTTACACAGTAATCCTCCCTCCTTATATAACAAGTTCATTTATACAGGCCTCACCTGCTCCAAGCTGCTGTTAGAAGAGAACATTGTCTCTCTCCCTTCTTGTGTCTGCATAGATGTTAGGAAGCCAGGTTTTTTGGGGCATAAATTATCCTTATACTATGCATAAAGCACTCTTACTTTGGAAATGAGTAAGAAACACAAATGAAGAGATTAATTTGCTGGATGGCAATCTGACTTATTTTAGAATCCAGCCACCTACTTTCTTGCCTTTACTCAGTGGCAGGAGCTCCCAGGGACTCCTGCATCTTCTGTGAGTCTTCTCTTATCATCTGATAATCTGAGATCATCAGCAGCCCATTCTCACACATCCATTAAACCCAGGGCATTGTCAGTTGTTGTGAGAGACAGAGTTAAATGAAACACAACTGCTCTCCTCAGAAAGCAACTCAAAATCTAGTAGAAAAGAGTAGACTTCCAGGTGGAAAACTGATTTGCAGTTAAAAGTATCACATACTGTAGAAAAGTCTAGAATTTTGGAATGCTAAGGGAATTTTGAAAAGTTCCATTCTCTGATTCCCAGTTATGTAAGTTTCATTGAGACAGCACTCATTGATACCTCAGCCACATTCACAGTGTGTTTCCCATAATTTTGGTGAGTAGTTGTAGCTGTTGTTGCTGTTGTTTGGATCACTAAACAGAACGGGTAAGGCAAGGAGCCGTGGCTCTGCTCGATGTCCTCTGGTGATGTGAGTCTGCCTTCCCCTCGCCTCATGATTGTCACATCCCAGGCCAAGTTTCTAATTGCTGGAAAACCTTTTAGGAGGAATAAAAAATCACTTATGTTTGGACAGTTGTGAGTCCCAACTCTGTAGGAGACATTGGGGGAATTACAGGGATTCTTCCAAGAAACTGGAAGGTTTTTCCCTTGTCCACCAGAGGGTTCTCTCAGTCCAGTAGCTGTTACAGACCCTAATTAGTTATAGTTGCCAGTATTAGTATCAGCCATGTGACTGTGTCTGAGTCAGTGATCTTTAAATAAAGGCCCCAAGGACAAATTTGTATTTTTGTCTTGAATTAGGGTGCTTGCAGTCACTGAGCCAGTGTTAATGATCAGAAACGACAATGGAAATGTTCTGTGCTATTTGATGATGACAGCAGTTCCCAGCCCTGTCTAGCTGTTGAGCTTGTGAAATGTGGGTTGTGGGACTGGGAAACACAATTTTAAATTTTATTTCATATTAATTAGATGTAAATAGCCACATGTGACTAGTAGCTGCTATACTCAACAGTGCAGCTCTAAAAAAGTCTTGGAGAAAGTATGGTAAGCCAGATATCTTCAAAGAGGCAAGTGAGTGGGTAAAATAAGTTTCTCGTCCATCCCAGGCTCCTTAGCCTCTCCAGCAGCTTATTAAAGCTTGAAGTTTGTGAGTACCAAAAATGGAAAATGTCACTCACAAAGACTGATTGTGAGTTAAATGAGAGGAAGTTATATTAAACTGACTTTATTTCTATTTCCAGTTCTAGATTGATATTTTCAAGAGGATCCCTGACATAGAGTATACTAGACAGAGAAAATTAAGCAAAGAATGATATGGGCTAGATACAGGGTTTCTGGGTCATTTTTACATGGCCTGAAAGAACCTACTATTTTCTTGGCTTTGCTGCATTCTGATTTTTAAATAATGCTACTCTATAAATTTAAAGACTTCTTATTTATAAATAGCATTTTTGGATTGACTTTTTTCATATAAGTAGAATAAAATATATGAATAGTGTTGAAAAATAATACATCTGAGGTCATTTAACACTTTTGACCATTACAAGCTCCATTCAGCTAAATAACTTTTGTTCACTCTTAGAGAAGGCCACTCTCTTTTTCTTTTTTTGAAACAGTCTTGCTCTGTGACCCAGGCTGGAGTGCAGTGGCACAATCTTGGCTCACTGGAACCTCTACCTCCTGGGTTCAAACAATCCCGAGTACCTGGGATTATAGGCACCCACCACCACACCCAGCTAATATTTATAATTTTAGTAGAGAAGGGGTTTCACCATTTAGGTCAGGCTTTGTCTCGAACTCCTGGCCTCAGGTGATCAGCCTGCCTAGCTTCCCAAAGTGCTGGGATTACAGGCCTTAGCCACTGTCTTTTCCTTAACTCTTCTCTGCCCCCAGCAACTCAGAGGAAATTGTTTATTTCCACCTTATTGTGCTTGCATGGTAATATTGGCTTCCCCCCTTGCCCCTACTCCCTCACTCCCCTTTGCCAGTCTTTTAGGAATACCTTGTCTAGTGTAGAAAATAAGACATTTATAGGCAGAAAAAGTTAGAGTATGCTATTGACCTTATGATGTAGACAACATTATGAGGTCAAACTGAACTCTCTCAAGCCTGACCCAAAGATTGCTTCCTATCATCCAACCATTGTAGATAATCTCCAGATATCATTTATGCTCATAGCTACTTTTAAATTACCATAGTTAATCCACCATATTAGCATAATTCTATATCACAGATTTGTTTTTTGAATGGTTAATTATATTTTATTACAATTGGCTTCCACTGTTACCCTCTATGCTTTATTTTGTACATTCAAAAGCATTATTCTGAAATGGTATCCATAGGCTTCACCAGATTCCCAAAGGGGCCCAAGGCTATATTAGTCAATTGTCACATAATAAAGACATACTCAAGACTGAGTAACTTATTAAGGAATGAGGTTTAATTGACTCACAGTTCAGCATGGCTCCGGAGGCCTCAGGAAACTTACGGCCGTCGTGGAAGGGGAAGCAAACGTGTCCTTCTTCACATGGCAGCAGGAAAGAGAAGTATGAGCAATAGGAGAAAAGCCCCTTATAAAACCATCAGATCTTATGAGAACTCACTATCATGAGAACAGTATGGAGGTAACTGCCCCCATGATTCAATTACCTCCCACTGGGTCCCTCCCACAACACATAGGGATTATGGGAACTACAATTCAAGATGAGATTTGGGTGGGGACATAGCCAAACCATATCAGATATAAAATGTAAGAACTCCTGGATTAAGGGGCTATCATTGTTAAAATCTTCATGAAAGATTTTATGTAGATTATTTTGTAATCCAGGTAATTATATAACCTATAATCCTGAGTGGCATGGACAGACTTAATATTCACCCAATTTGAGAATACTAAGGTCTAGTGGCATTCTTAGGACTTGAGAAAGTTCCATTTAGGGTAAATAAAAGGAAGTAAGGTTTCTCACAGCAGCTACTAAACCCGGAGCACTTATTCCAAAAGTCAAAAATACAGCTTCAAAAAAGACACCTTTGATACATGAACAACTGAACATTAATAGATCACTTTGTTAATCATAGACTTTCGGGGTATGACTCCCATAGGTTGGGGTATGGGAGTCCATCCAGACATTCCTTGAAGGGCCTCTGGTGCTCCATCATGTCCAGTACTAGTCTTAGCCAAGAGATTAGTCCAGGAAATCCTTATTTTTTTTCCTGTAGAGTGTTGTGAAGGCCCAGAGAAGAATTGCCATCTTTGTGTTTACCTTCTCACTGTCACTCTGAAATGCTTGAATATTCTACCTATTCTTTCTCTTGCTTGTGCACAGGTTGGGCAGATGCAGATTCTGAGACAACAGATTGCCAATGAATTAAATTATTCTTGTCGGTTTGACTCTAAACATCTGGCAGCTGCTCTGGAGAATCTCAATAAGTAAGTGCCAGGGTTTGAAACAGCCATCTGTGGGCTTGGATTGTTCATCATCTAAGCACATTTCTTACTCTTTTAAGTTACTTTTAGGTGAGAGGTCTGAATTTATAGGCTTCCTTGCCAATGGATAATCAAATCTGTCTTCCGGAGCCTCTTTCCTCATTATTGTCCCCTCCATGTATCTCTGTATCTCACTCACTTTCTCTAATGGATTTGTTTATTCAGCTGACATTTACTGATCACATGATTCAATACATGTCAGCTGAATAAATGAATCCATTAGAGAGAGTGAGTGAGAGACACACCAGACCACTGCTAGATACTTGCACCGATTTTAGAAAGCAATTAATACCAAAATCTACAACTGGCTTTCTACAGGGCTGATCACTCATCATCCAGAGGGCAGTTGGAAGTATGCTGATTACCAAGAGTGGTTATGGAGGCCTGTCCCAGAGGGAACTCATATCCTCCGCCTCACCAGCAACCTGCTGTCATTTGAGGCTGCCTACTTACAGATAAATAATCCCTGCTTCTCACTCACTAAGTCAGTGTTTTTGACAAAGCAGGTATTAAGAACAGTTCAGTCAATTCATGAAAATTTGAATGGTGAATGCATTTAATTGAGGTTGATTCCAAAAGATAAAGTAATTCTAGGTCAAATTTTCCACTTAAAACTAATCACAGGCATGGATTGAGAATTAAGGGGATCAAGCTCTCATTTTACAGATGAGGAAACTAAGGCTTGAAAAGTTTACATCACTGGCCTGAATTAACTCTTGTATAAATTTATTTAATCACTAATGTTTATCTCTGGGGTTTTTCTTCATTTAGGGCTCTCCTAGCAGACATTGAAGCCCACTATCAGGACCCTTCGCTTCCTTATCCCAAAGAAGACAACACACTTTTATATGAAATCACAGCCTATCTGGAGGCAGCTGGCATTCACAACCCACTGAATAAGGTGAATAATTAAAATATATAATGGTGGGGGTAGGGGAACAGAATGGTACAAAGGGGATTTAGCCCAGGTAACAGATCACTGTGCAGAGATACCAGGAGAACCTGGGTTCAGACCCCAGAGCCTTCATTCCATTCAGTTCCCTGCCCTTTCTAAGCCATCATTACACTTTCCCCGCCTGGCTCAGGTCTGTGAGAATCAAGTGCTATAGCGCTAGTGAAAGCTCCTGACAGAGCGAAAAGTGCTGCATCAGTGGAAGAGATTTGTTTTGGGTTTCACTGGGGTTTGCAGTTTCATCATCAAGACCCAGCAAACCCAAAATGGTAGCATTGATCTGTCTTGCCCAGAGATGCTTCCCTTTGGGGCTACCACTAATCCCAGTCATCATAGGAGCTACAGACTCTTTCCTGCAGTTCTGAGTTCTTTAAGAACTGAAGGTTTTTCATAACTCAGTGCCAGATCTCTTTGGGTGGCAAAATCTGTCCTGAGCTGACATAAGGCTGTTTATACTATTTATCTTCCTTTCTATAAACATTCAAATGTTTTGATGCAGACTTTGATTATAGTGCATCACCCTATCCCCTATATTATCTTTCTAAAATCTATAAAATTTGAAATTCTGGAGACTGAGGCAGGAGAATCACATTGAACCCGGAGGACAGAGGTTGCAGTGAGCTGAGATCATGCCATTGCACTCCAGCCCAGGCAGCGGCAGTGCAAGACTCCACCTCAAAAAAAAAAAAAAAGAGGATTACAAACCTGAATAGTAGCTAATGTCTTGAATATTTACTATGTAACAAGTGGACTCTCTTAACCCTCATCATGTATTATCTCACTTAATCTCACAACAAGCCCTATGAAAGATGCCATTATGAGGTGAGGAACCTGAGGATCAGAGGCTAACTGGCAAGTGGAGGAGCCAGGCAGTCTGACCAGAGCCCGTGCTCCTGACCTGTGTGCTACCTTGTCTCCTGTGGAATCAGCCAGCTGGGAGTCTGGACCTGGCCGTGAACTCCCTGACTATAGTTTCTGCTGTGATATCTGGAAGAGAGACTGCTCTGTGACATTGCCCAGGGGACAGCAAATGACAAACAAGAATTTTGCTCTCTTTCTACTTAGATACCACCACTCACTGCTACACAGATCTTTTCCCTTCACTCTCCCTCCTCCTCCTCACCTTCTTCCTTCTTTCCATCTCTTGCTCCTCTTCTTCCTCCTACACTCCCGCTGAATTCCCCTCCAGCTCTGCCGCCACTGCTCTTCATTTTGCCTTCCCCTCCCATTGTTGCTCATCACTCATTCCTCCCTCTCTTTATTAATGACATTAACAGGATTCAGGGGGAATGTCACTCTAAGCAAAATTGTTTTCGGCAAATTGTGATACAGGTATTTATGTGGGCAGGGCCAGGTGTGTTAAATAAAACTCGGAAGGCAGCAAATAAATGGAACCATCCATGTTTGAGGAAGGCCGAAGAGCAAATTGAAGTAAAATTGAAGCTTTTCACTTGGAAACCTATTCTGTGGTACTGTACAGTATGAATTAACCATCCATTTTTCTTACCTTTCTCTTTCCAGATATACATAACAACGAAGCGCTTACCCTATTTTCCAATTGTCAACTTCCTATTTTTGATTGCTCAGTTGCCAAAACTTCAGTACACCAAAAATCTAGGTACGTATGACATTTATTCTTTGCAGTGAGTAACACTACCAACAGATTTACATCTAACTAAATAGCTTTTTGTATAGAATGCCTATGTCAGATATGAGATCTTTTCTTAGTTAAATTTGTGTTTATGAAATTCAAGTCTTTATGCTTCTGAAATACGATGCCCTTTCATGAACTGTAGACAATGGATTTATTTTTATTTGTTTATTTATTTAGAGATGGAGTTTTGCTCATTGCCCAGGCTGGAGTGCAGTGGTGCGGTCTCGGCCTCTGCCTCCCAGGTTCAAGCGATTCTCCTTATTCAGCCTCCCAAGTAGCTGGGATTACAGGTGCGCACTACCACACCTGGCTAATTTTTTTTATATTTTTAGTAGAGACAGGGTTTCACCATGTTGACCAGGCTGGTCTCAAGCTCCTGACCTCAGATGATCCGCCCACCTCAGCCTCCCAAAGTGCTGGCATTACAGGTGTGAGCCTTATATGAATATATGAACATCTAATATTTTATGTTTGATTATATGTCATAATATTCCGAACAAACAAGGGACACCAAAGGCTTTCATTCTCCAGGAATATAACCCTAATTTATTTTTGTCATTGGTCAGAATATTTTTGAAGTTACATAATAGGTATGCAAGTGTTTCCTCTGCCTTCAAACTTTGTATCTAACTGAATGAATTTTTAAGAATTTCACTATAGACTTTAATTTACTTTAAAAACATTATAAGAACATTTCTACAAATGTAATCGTTATTTTTTCTTAACTAGAGATTCCTAAATACGTTTCTTCCTTAGTTTCCTATTTCATAAGCTTTTTCAGGGTGAAAATGTGGAATCTCTTTAATGTTTTTATTCTCTCATTCAAAAGTAGTCATTGATTCTAGACACTGCTTCCATGACAATGCCTGTGATTGTCACAGAGGGTAGGGAATGATGTCCTTAATAAACTTGCTGTAGGAGGCAGGGAACAAATGGGTGTTTGGATTCTGGCCCCACCACTTATCACCTATGTTACTTTGGCCAAGTTACCCACAAACTGAGTGCCCAACAGATTTTGAGTCCCTATCTAAATATTGGTCAAAATACATTTAAAGGACCATCCCAAGCATAATATAAAGGTTCATCTCAAGATTCAGAGATTCATATTCTCTCTCTGTTCTCTGCGCTATATTATTCAATAGGAATATATGATTCTTGATAATGAAGAATTGCCAGTACAGAAAGAATCTTCTTTTCATCAAAGAATAACTCTTTGTTAACTATTCTCATTCTAAGATAATATTTTTTTTCATTGTGTATATGATTCATTGCTTTCCACCTAGGAAGGATTACTTTTCTGTACAGAGTCCCGTTAGGATTATTCCTCCATGTTCTGAATTGCCAAGGCCTACATCTGGCACCTTGATTGTAAAGCTGCTTATGGAAAGTAGCACTCTCCATTGGAATTCCCAGATCTTAAAACAAAACATAACACAACAAAACCTTTATTTATCGTAGAAATGTAGTATTTATAACTGACTAATTCTTCTCGTCAATAAGACTGATGTGTTAATGTAGGAACTAAATTACGGTAGGACCAGGAAGGAACAATTGTTTGGTATCTTTGTGGATATTCACTTGCTCATATAACGGTGGGACTGCCTCTAGACTGTCTATTCTGTTCCATTGATCTATTTATCTTTTCTTATGCCAGTAGTGTCTTGATTATCGAAACTATAAAGAGAGCCTTGAAACTATATATCCTAAAAACATGTATTTAATCTTATAAACACTGTTCTCAAGACTGACCTAAGAAATGCATACTGGGCCTGGTGTTTGTTGTTAACTTTTGCTTTCCGCCTGGAAAGGATTCTTTTTTGTGAGGGAGTCTCGCTCTGTTGCCAGCTGGAGTGCAATGGCATGATCTCAGCTCATTGCAATCTCTGCCTCCTGGGTTCAGGCTGTTCTCCTGCCTCAGCCTCCCAAGTAGCTGGGATTACAGGCGCATGTCACCACACCCAGCTAATTTTTGTATTTTTTTTAGTAGAAACGGGGTTTCACCATGTTGACCAGGATGGTCTACATCTCTTGACCTCGTGATCCGCCTGTCTTGGCCTCCCAGGGTGCTGGGGTTATAGGAATGAACCACCACGCCCAGCCAAGGATTCTTTTTCCATACTGAGCCCTGTTAGGATTATTCCTCCATGTTCTGAATTGCCAAGGCCTACGTTGGGTAATTCAGGATCACTTGTTTAGGCTTCTCTGGTTTGGGGAAGAGATTTCCCAGTCTTCACAAGATCTCAAATATGGGATCTGAGAGTCTGTCTAACCAGTTTACTTGATAAGAAACTGCCAACCCTTTGTCCGAAGAGTGAGTATATGTGTACTCCACATCCTCACCATTATTTGGTGGCATCAGTTACTTTCATTTTAGCCATTTTTTTTTTTTTTGAGACGGAGTCTGCTCTGTCACCCAGGCTGGAATGCAGTGTTGCAATCTCAGCTCACTGCTGCCTCTGCCTCCCAGGTTCAAGCAGTTCTGCCTCAGCCACCTGAGTAGCTAAAATTACAGGCTACAGGCATCATCACTATGCCCAGCTAATGTTTGCATTTTATTAGAGACGGGTTTTATCATGTTGGCCAGGCTGGTCTCGAACTCTTGGCCTCAAGTGTTCCACCCACGTCAGCCTCCCAAAGAGCTAAGATTACAGGCATGAGCCACTGCACCCAGCCCATTTTAGCCATCCTGATGGGTATGTATGATATCTTGTTGCAGCTTTAATTTGCCTTTTTCTGATGATTAATCATTTGAGTACTTTTTCATCTACTTATTGGTCATTCCTTATATTCTCTGCAAAGTGCCTGTTTTACTCTTGCTCGCTTCTAAATTGTTTGCCCTCTTATTACGGAGTTGTAGGAGTTATGTATATATTATGGATACAAGTTCTTTGTTAGATATATGTTTTGAGAATATTTTCTTACAAGCTGTGGCTTATCTATGTATTTTTTTTTTAACTGGTAACTTTAATGAGCAGAAGTTTTTGCTGTTGACAGCATCCAATTTGTCCATTTTTTTCCTTTGTCCATAATTATTCCTCTTGATCTTGTCTAAGAAATATCTCCCAGGCTGGGTACAGTGGCTCATGCCTGTAATCCCAGCACTTTGGGAGGCTGATATGAGAGCATCACCTGAGGTCAGGAGTTTGAGACCAGCCTGGTCAACATAGTAAAACCCTGTCTCTACTAAAAATACAAAAATTAGCTGGGCATGGTGGCATGTGCCTATAATGCCAGCTACGCAGGAGGCTGAGACAGGAGAATCACTAGAACCTGGGAAACAAAGGTTGCAGTGAGCCAAGATTGCACCATTGCACTCCAGCCTAGGCGGCATAGTGAGACTCCATCTCAAAAAAAAAGAGAAATCTCTGTTTTCTCCAAGGTCACAGTGATATCTTCGATATTTTTTCTAAAAGTTCCATAAACTTTGCTTTTACATTGAGGCCAGTGGTCCATCTCTAATTGTTCTTTGTGTACAGTGTGAGGTAGGGGTCAAGGTTTATTGTTCCCCTATAAGGCTATCCAGTTTCAGTGTCATTTATTGAAAGATTTATCTTTTTAAAAATTATTTTGTATATTTGTGGCTATTTAATTACTCATATGAGGGCGGGACTATCTCTAGATTCTCGATTTTGTTCCATGGATCTATTTGTCTATTCTTATGCCATAGTGTCTTGATTATTGAAACTAGAGAGAGCTTGAAATCAGGCAACCTAAGTCTTCCAATGTTACTCTTTTTCAACATTGTGTGGTTTCCCATGCAGCCATCCAGGCAGACTTCAGGGTCTCCACATTTCAACAGAAATCTTTAGTGTAGAGCCAGGTACAGTGGTACACAACTATAGTCCCAGCTACTCGGGAAGCTGAGGCAGCAGCATTGTTTGAGAGGCAGTAGCATTGTTTGAGCCCAGGAATTCAAGGCTATATGGTGCTATGATTGCACCTGTGAATAGCCACTGCATTCCAGCCTGGGCAACATAGCAAGATCCCATCTCCAATTTAAAAAAAAATCTTTAGTGTAAAGGTCAGCTTTGATACTCATTCACTTTGTAAATGTCCTTCTTCCACTGTCTTAACTTCTGCAGATTCTTTTATATATATGTATACATAATATAAATAATATATATTTATATAAATATATAATATATAAATAATACATATATATTATATATATGTTTTTATATATTATATATAAAATACTCAACATTTGTTTAAAGATACTCTAAAAATATTTAGTCCAGCTTTTCACTTAAGTGTATCTATAGTCCAAGGTATCTATTATGTCATGGTGCTGTTAACAGAAGTCAGTTAGAGTGATTTTTTTTTCTCATTTGCATTTATCTATATCTTTAAAATTTGCTACAATAGTATATGTTAATTGAATAATTCAAAAGAACCCGTAATGATAATTATAAAATTTAGTAACTGTTTTATTGGTTTTGAATCCTTCAGACCACTTTAATGCCCCAGCATCCTGTGGCTAATTCAAAATATGGTCCAGGGTTGTCATTCTTTCCAAAAAATCATCTGCCAGTGAGGCTATGGGCCCCAAACATTTTGACATTCACAGCGTTAACATTTAACATGTTAATAACTAATATTCATGTGCTGTTGCAATTTGTCCCCTTGCAGGGATGGTCTGCCGAAAACCAACCGACCCGGTTGACTGGCCGCCGCTTGTCCTGGGACTGCTCACTCTGCTGAAGCAGTTCCATTCCCGGTACACCGAGCAGTTCCTGGCGCTGATCGGTCAGTTCATCTGCTCCACGGTGGAGCAGTGTACGAGGTACAGAAGACCAACCGTGACTACAGGGGACTTCATGTCACAAAACCTAACTTAAACCTCACATTACCAAATTCCTCTTCTTATAGCCTTCACAGAGCTGGGAAATGGTTGCTCACCCTTCTCTGTAAAGCAAGTCAGGGCATATCTCCTTGTTTATAGCAATTATGGCTGTGCCCATCCTTAGTCACCTTGCCAGGGGAACTCCATTAGGTATACTCACAGTGATTTTCCAGGAGTGACTCAGGACTATGATTAGTAACTGCCATGGGAAAGAAACTGTAGCCCTGTTCCTCTGCACTCTCGGATCCAGCTCTTCAATCTCAGAGAGAGCCTGAACTCCTGCTGGGCCACTGCCAAGAGATGATTCCACTCACTTCAGTGGGAGTCAGAGAACATGTCAGTGTCAAAGCCTGGGCAGTCTCTGCCTGTAGAGAAGCAAATTTCACAGGAGTCACTATTTGATACAGTACTTATAAAGCTTTCATTCCTGCCAGTTCTTTCTCCCTGCCCCTAAATGTGGCTTTTCTGGGATAAGGAAAAAAAGTTATTTCCATGAGATGCTGGGTCCTGAGCCTCCTTCTCTGCTATCCTAAAGGGTCAGCCTGGCTAAATAACCTTTTCTGTCATGTCCACTTGGTGATTTTTGCCACTATAACTTAAAAACTTATTAAAGTAGCTGGGCACAATGGCTCAAGCCTGTAATCCCAGCACTTTGGGAGGCCAAGGTGGGCAGATTACTTGAGGTTAGGAGTTCAAGACCAGCCTGACCAACATGGTGAAACCCCATCTCTACTGAAAAAAGAACCCCACAAAAGTTAGCTGGGTGTGGTGGTGGGCACCTGTAATCTCATCTACTTGGGAGGCTGAGGCAGGAGAATTGCTTTAACCCAGGAGGCCTCTGAAGGTGCAGTGAGCCGAGATTGCACCACTGCACTCCAGCCTGGGCAACAGAGTGAGACTTCATCTCAAAAAAAAAAAAGTAAAATGAATAAAAGCGATCTTCTAAGTCCACACAAAATACTACTGACTCCTCGAACTGGAAATTTTGAGGTCATTTAGATGACCTCCCACTAAGTGCATGAGTGAGCTCTAAGACATGTCGTCATCCAGCTACCGCTGGAACACTCGCTGATGGGGCTCTTGCTACCTCTCCAGGCCACTCAGTCCACTGGCTAAGTGTGGTTCTCATTAGAAAGTTCCTGATTGTGATTATTAGAGCCCACGTCTCTGGATATTTTACTCACTGAGCTTTTCTCTACTCTTTGAAATCATACGGAATAAATGCAGGCTACTTTGCAACATTACTTCCAATTTGGTATGTCATCTGTCTTAGGTCTTCTCCTTGTTTAGATAAGCCCCCTCTTCCTGATGTGTTGGAGTTTAGAGGCTACTCACCATAGCGAGTGACTTCTTCTGGGTGTTCTAGTCTGTTATTAACAATCTTAAAATGTGGCTTCCCAAACTTGTAGTGGGATTCCAAGCACAGCCCTCCCCTTGGCGCAGAGGAGTATTACACTTCTTCATTCTGGGCCCTCTGTGGACAGTAGAGCAGCTGTAATTGCAATGGTGGGTTTTTATGTTGTTGTTGTTTGAGAAAGAATCTTGCTCTGTCACCCAGGATGGAGTGCAGTGGCGTGATCTCGGCTCTGCAGTGATGGGTTCTTGACATCCAGTGCACACCAGTGGCTCATACTGATTTTGTATTTTTTCTAAATTCCAGTATTGCTTCCTCCCATGAGCTGCCATCAGGCCATTTCCTCCTCATCTTAGTTAATGAACTGAACAACAAACACTGGTGTTTTCCTGGGATATATGTTTAGACTTGCTTCAAAACCATAGTTTTTAGCAATTGAAAAATAGAAGAGAATTCAAAGATAAAAATCTCAAAAATGAAATTGTAACAATCACAAAGTGAGATCAGTTGACAAGGAAAGCAGTAGGCTCATAAAAACCTAGCGCATCTGGCCCAGGATCCCGGACAGGAGGCGAAGGACTCCAGGTCAGGTGGTGAGGGGATGATTAGCAAGTAACCTCCACAAAACTGGCTATTCCAGTCATAGCTCCCTGCTTGTCAAATTGGACAGGTCCTCCTTCTTCTATTTTTTCTTCACTAATGGCAGTAAAGGCTTAAGTATGGCTCAGCATGTTACTGGCAACCCTGAGGGTGGTGATCAGGCTACAGGAGACCAGCTGTGACTCCAGCCTTTCTTTTGCCCCAAGCAGAGCAAATACAGCCCTGGTCACAGACAGAAAGACTGAGAGCAGGGAGAACTTTGCTAGGTACAGTCACTCAACCCTTCCAAAGGCAACAATTCATCAGCGAAATTAGCCAGTAATCTATTAATAGTACCAAAAATTATTTGTTCGTTAGAAAATGCCAATTGGTACAGAAGTTGGAAATAGTTTTAACATCTAAAAACTCATTTTGATGTAAACAACAGGGAACATTAGCTCTATAAAGAGACTGGCATGTACTTTGCTTGTGTTCCCAGTTCTGGGATAGTCCTTGGGATTGTAGTTGCCGAATGAATGAATATATGAGTAAAATCCCATATGAAAAATTGCTAGATGCTGTATTTATTTGATACCCTCAAATAAGCAGGACAAGCCAGGCACAATTCCAGATGCTGGAGATACGAAGATGGACACATGACCCAGGCCCTTGAGGAGCTGATACTCTTGTCGGGAAGCCAGCACACAGTTGAAAAATTCAGAGGCTTGGAGAATGCTACTAATTATTATGAGAGCCCTGGAGAATCAGGGAGGATCCCACAGGAGAAGAAGTACCCAACCTGGGACTCGAACAATGTCTAGAAATTTACTTTGAAATCAGTGTGCAGGGATGGGAAACTATGGGACCTGCTAGGTGCTGAGTCATGTAAACAGAGGGAGATGAGTCTGCGCAGATAGCAAGGACTATGTTGTAAAGGCCCACGTAAACCATATAGAGAAGCTCACATTTACCCTATAGTGTAAGCTCCTGAAAATATGTGAGCAAGGTTAATGACTTGATGGGAATCAACAGCATGCTTAATGTTTTTGTTCATCTTTGACTTCATTAGATAATCTGTTGGTAATTTAGTCTTTCAGTATTCTGACCAAGGGCTTATATGCAAAGCAGTTAATTGATTTTTCTATTACAGCCAGAAGATACCTGAAATACCTGCAGATGTTGTGGGTGCCCTTTTGTTCCTGGAGGATTATGTTCGGTACACAAAGCTACCCAGGAGGGTAAGTGATAGATAATACAGAACAATATTGGCCGGGTGTGGTGGCTCACTCATGTCTGTAATCCCAGTACTTTGGGAGGCCAACGTGGGTAGATCACAAGGTCAGGAGTTCCAGACCAGCCTGGCCAAGATGGTGAAACCTTGTCTCTACTAAAAATATAAAAATTAGCTGGGTGTGGTGGTGGGTGCCTATAATCTCAACTACTTGGGAGGCTGAGGCAGGGAATTGCTTGAATCCAGGAGGCAGAGGTTGCAGTGAGCCAAGATTGTGCCACTGCACTCCAGCCTGGGCTACAGAGACTCCGTCTCAAAGAAAAGTACAATAGTAATGACCCAGTTGTAAAAAGATGGTAATAATAGTGGCCCTAGATTCATTAGGAGTAAAGTCCAATGGGCCATTCACAGCAGATGCCTCTGTACCTCTTGCCACTGCTCTGCCCCCAGCGCTGAAATGTCCCTGCCTTTTCCACCAACTGCAGAGTTTAACACAATGCCCCTCCCCACCTTCTTCCGCTCCACCATGTACTCCTGAAAGGAATTCACCTGGTTCAGGAGTTAAGTGAAATAGGCAAGCCAGGAGAGAATTCCATAAGTGGCCAGGGGAGAGAAAAAATCATGTGTGGTTTGTTCTTTCTCTCTCCACTGGCCTGGTTCTCACAATAAGTACAGTTAAGTTCATGCCACAACTAAACTTGTATGTGACCACTGTTTCCAAAAATGACAGACTACCTTTTACCTGCTGAGACATTCTTTCCTCTTCCCTTCTCATTAGTAATTCCACTTCGTTAAATTTTAGCTCAAAGTAGAGAGCTCGACACTGACATGTAAAGACTTTGAGTAGATACTGAAGATCATTTCTGATTTTTAAAAATTAGTAGATTAGGAATCAAACATACTTTCTTCCAACACGAGCCAAAGATACACTTTTAAAATTAACTAGCAATGTTAGTACATAATAGTGAAATGCTAGTGGCATTAAAACCAGGACTGTCGCAGTGACATGACAACGATACAGACTCTTGCAACTACTTTTGTTATGCAGGTGCGAGACCGTAAGAAATGAAATGAAAATGAAATGCACATTGGAAAAAAGACTATTATTTGAGATATAATTGTCTTCCTTTTTGTTTTATTTTTCCATAAGTTACTGGGGTACAGGTGGTTTTTGGTTACCTAGGTTCTTTAGTGGTGATCCATGAGATTTTGGTGCACCCATCACCCTAGCAGGATACATTGCACCCTGGTTGTAGTCTTTTATCCCTCATCCCCCTCCCATACTTCCCCCCAGGTCCCCAAAGTCCATTGTGTCTTTCTTATGCCTTTTTGTCCTCATAGCTTAGCTCCCATATATCAGTGAGAACATACGATGTTGTGTTTTCCATCCCTGAGTTACTTCACTTGGAAGAATAGTCTCCAGTCTCATCCAGGTCACTGCAAATGCTGCCAATTCATTCCTTTTTTATAGCTGCGTAGTATTTCATCATATGTATATCCCAGTTTCTTTATCCACTCATTGATTGTTAGGCATTTGGATTGGTTCCACGATTTTGCATTTGTAAATTGTGCTGCTATAAACATGCATGTGCAAGTATCTTTTTCAAGGAATGACTTATTTTCCTCTGGGTAGATACCCAGTAGTGGGATTGCTGGATAACTGTCCCTTGAATACCCAATAAAATCATGTGAAAAACTATTAAAATAATACAGAGTTCAGAAAACATGCTGGCTACAGAATAAATGTACAAAATAAATACACTAATCAGTTAAAAAAAATACAGTGTGAAAAAGGACCTATTCACAGAAATGACAGGGAAATAATAAAGCTAAGAATAACCTCTATAAGAAATATGAAAGAACACTTTATTTAAAAACTATAAAAATTTTAAATGTAAAATCTGAAAGTCCATGTTTCTAAATGAGGATCCTCAAATATTACAGAGATAACAGTTCTCTCTAGGTTTACTGCAGTTACAATCAAGATTTCAGGTACTTTTTCAACTTCAAAAAATATATTTTTAAAATTTCTTAGGACTTAGGCAAGTACTTTAAAAAAAAGATGTTAAAACATTATATCAAGTATTAAAACATTGTAAAACTATAAAAACCAAAATAGGGCGGTACTGGTATATACTGGTCTGCAACTGAACAGAAGGAATAATGAACAAGAATGTGTAGCCTAGAAACAAATCCTCTGCACACAGTGGCATATAAGGAAAAGTAGCATCTCAAATTAAGGGAGAAAAGGAATATTAGTCAACAGAGATAAGTTCATCATACAGATAAAAAATAGCACCTTAGTCCCTTTTACATCTTCTATGTTATCAAAATTAATTACACATAAAGGGTTAACGTGGGCCAGGTGCAGTGGCTCACACCTATAATCCCAGCACTTTAGGAGGCTGAGGTGGGTGGATCACAAGGTCAGGAGTTCAAGACCAGCCTGGCCAACATGGTGAAACCCCGTCTCTCCTAAAAATAGAAAAAATTAGTCAGGTGTGGTGGCACGCACCTGTAATCCCAGCTACTGCAGAAGCTGAGGCAGGAGAATCGCTTGAAGCCAGGAGGCGGAGGTTGCAGGAATGGAGATCCTAGAACAATAGAACAATAGTAATGACCCAGTTGTAAAAAGATGAATAAGGGCAAAGGATATTAATAGGCAGTTTTCAAGAAAAGAAATACAAATGACAAACATTTAGATTCAAGGGACAAAAATCCAAAAAATAAGAAAATGACTGTTTTCACCCATCAGGTTGGTGAAAAGTAAAATGTTGGGTCCCCATTACTTGGAAGCATTTGGAGAAATGGGACTTCTCAGTGCTGTTAATCAATATGTATATTAACAGCTTTTTAGGAGGGCAATTTAGCTTTATCTTTTTTTTGTTTTGAGATGCAGTCTTGCTCTGTCGCCAGGCTGGAGTGCAGTGGCGTGATCTTGGCTCACTGTAACCTCCGCCTCCCAGGTTCAAGAGATTCCCCTGCCTCAGCCTCCCAAGGAGCTGGAACTACAGGTGCATGCTACCATGCCCGGCTAATTTTTTTGTATTTTAGTAGAGACGGGGTTTCACCATGTTTCCAGGATAGTCACGATCTCCGGACCTCATGATCCACCCACCTCGGCCTCCCAAAGTGCTGGGATTACAGGCATGAGCCACCGTGCCCTGCCAGCTTTGTCTATTTTTAAAAACATTTGTAATATATTTACCCCGATCCCAGCAATTCCACTGCTGTGAATTTACCTGCTGGATCTATATGAAAAGTTCACCAAGATATGTGCACAAGATATGTTCTGCTATATTCATAAGATTTAGCAGAAATGAAGGACACAGTATTATGTGATCCTAATTTTGATGTGTGTGTGTGTGTGTATGTGTGTGTGTGTAAACTGGAAGAATTCAATACTAAAGTTACCAGTTATTTTCTCTAAGGGATTAAGATTAAAAAAATTTTTTTAATTTTAAGCTCTGGGATACATATGCAGAACATGCAGGTTTGTTACATAGATATTATACATGTGCCATGGTGGTTTACTGCACCTATCAACCCGTCATCTAGGTTTTAAGCCCCATATGCATTAGGTGTTTGTCCTAATTCTCTTCCTCCCCTTGCCCTCCACCCCCTGTAAAAATAAGTTTTATACTCTTTTGCATTTTCTAAATTTCCTCTAATAAGCAGGAGATACCTTTATGATCAGAAAAAAAATTAAACACTACTCATAAAAAATACTCATCTCCAGCCCTTGGAGATCACCCAGCTCTACATACTTACCCAACTCAGCCCAATTTAGTTTTCTCGGGGCTTTGCCTAACAACGGTTCAGGAATGCATGCCTGAGGGCCATCCTGCTCTTCCCCTTCTGGCCTTGGTGTCTCATTCCTGCCCTCCCCTACCTCTCCAACCCCATCACTTTCTAGACATCCTGTTCTTCCTTGGTTGGTCATCAGTTAATAAAGAGTCTTAGGTGACCTGAGTACTTGTTAGTACTTCCCAGAAGTGTGAACAGTCTTTGCAGATTGAGGTGCCTTTCAGAGCCAAGGAGCTCACGTTTGGAGGCGGGAGAGCTATACTGCATCCCCTCAAATGTTAGCAGCGCCAAGAAATGAGACTGTAGTCCAGAGGGCACCGGAAACAGAAAGGGGCTGTTTCAAGTAGTAGTCGACCCATGGGAGTCTCCTCTTCCCTGTAATGCACCATGCTCCAAGGATATCTTTTCTTTTTTGTATAAAGATTTTGAAATTGTTCAAATATAACACTATGAGTAATTTAATTCTTTTAATTTTTCAGGTTGCCGAAGCACATGTGCCTAATTTCATTTTTGATGAGTTCAGAACAGTGCTGTAACTTTTTTCTACTTCTTCAATGGAAGGATTGTCCTTAGATCTTCCCACCATCACTAAAACAAATTTGAAAATGAAAAGAAACTCAGTTGCTCATATAACTGTGTTTTTTGCCCTCCATTATCGGAAACGTCAGACATTCTGAGTAAGATGTATCTCATGCCATTAGTCAATATAACTGATACTGTTTAAATCATGATATTACATGCAATTTCTATCATGTGGAAGCAGAACACATTTTTGTACTGCCTCTCATAAATGCCGACTGTAACTGTTATGTATAAATCCATGTAGTTTTATGTTCTAAGCAACTATTTGTGCAACTCCAGATTTTCAGTAAAATCGTATTACCAGTACCCAAAGTCATCTCTGCTTATGATTCAAAAATTGTATATTCACCCTGTAAAAAACCCTGTTTGGAAGCTAAGCAATGATTCTGCTAGTTATGGTAGCCCACCCTCAACAAGCTGGCAGGCATGTGGTGATAGCCAGAGTAGTAGCAAATGTAGTAGCCACACAATCTGTTATGTACCATGGAAGTTTCTTGGTGTCTTACCATCCTCTTCCAATCCCAGATGCCCTAGGAAGTTCGCAGCGTTCCTTCTATAGGGCTTCCTAACAAAGCTGCTCCTTCCAGTGTCTTCCTTAGCAACCTGAGTCCTGCCCCAAGTCCCCAGAACTATAATCATTATCCATAAGCCTTTTTGGTAATAGTCTTGCCATAAGCTTAACTCCCTCGAAATCCTAAATCATTTCTTCATGAAAATGACCCTGAAAAGGAAGCTGCCTGTATCAGTCTATTGTCACACTGCTATGAAGGAATATGAGTGGGGACACAGAACCAAACCTGTCACTGCCATCCTACTGTGGCAGCTTGGAAATCAACAACTTGGATGAGAGCAAGAAAGATGTTTCCACCCTGAATCTCTATGGTTATGTCCTCCTTTGGAGAGAAGAGGAACAAACCAAACCAAACATGAAAGCTAAAATCTGTTTGACAGTCATTTTGCTAGTGGGGAAAGATGCGTTGATTTGTGGTCAGGAGACAAAACTTGGGTCCTGGTTCCGCCACTAGCTCCACCTTGTCGCAAGCCAGCCCATTGGCATCATCTGTGAAATTAAGACTAAAGGATTTCTCAGGTTCCTTCAGTTTTCTCACTTTTGTCTGAAGGCCTCAAATTCTGATATTGAAGGGAAGAAAAGACTTTACAGGCTTTGATTATTTCACTGTCATAGTAGAAAGGATTTTAAAGGAGTCTCAGTGGAGAACAAGGAAAGCCTCGAATCCTGGCCACAAGGGCATCAAGCCAGGGCAGAATTTTAAGTGAAATGTTGCTTGGTATGTAGGGAGCTTGGAATTCTCACCAGCTGCAGAGCTGGTATGTGGGAACATCTAAACCTCAAAGTTATCGTACTATTTTTCATTTGTAATCTTGTTAACATTAACCGCATGAAGTGAGAGCTTTAGTTCTCTAAAAAGAAAGCTAACTGCTAAAAAGGCCAGATCTTGGAAAGTAAGTTTTTAACCAGAAAATAGAAGTTTCGAGTCAGTTAGGAGTCTTAAGAAACCAAGCAAATGGGTCCACCCTATGCTCTGTCAAAACAAGACTGTGATGCTTGAAACTGATTTTGCTAGTGATTTGGCCAGTGAAATATTTTTCTCAACTGAAATAACTTAAAAATTGAAGTTTTTACTGTAAAAGCTTTATAAATTATTTTAGGCCTGTTAGAATTTCAAGTAGTAACTTAATTTGACAGGTTATATTTTACTGCTGTTTCAGGGGTAACAGTTTACTTTCAAGATATTTGGAGATTTACTGAACTTTTGTGATACCCTTTGAATATCCAGTCTCTTCAAATTTACTATAGATACTAAACTCAGTAAATTCTAATGGATCTTAAGGTGTTGTGCCAGGTATTACAAGTGCTTATTCATTCACTCACTGTTTCTTGATGTCATCCTGGCCTGATTTATTAATGTTACACCATGTAACTTATAAAGCCCTTAATTGCTTTTCCTGTCAGAATCTGTTATTTTCAGAACTCAGCAAAGACCCTTTTGGTTCAAATCTGAGTCACAGCCACACAATAAAATAAATAGGTAATTTGTTTTTTAAGAAAAGAACTGTGTCAAATTGCTTCACTGGATAGATGATAAGGAAAACAAGTCAAGACAAGGCAGCTTCCCCAAAGTCAGAGCTATTTGGTAGAACAGGTTTCCCTCTGCACTTTTCATCCCACTTTGGTTTTCTTTCTCATTATCATGAAGCCATGTAAAGGAGTCCACAACCAGAAACAAAAAGACACCAAAGTCCATCCTTCATTTTATTTGCATTTCCCAACAACTCATCTCAGATACTAAATTCAAAAGAAAAACTGTAGTTCCTCAGTATTAGCACGAATTTATGGTAACAATCATTTCTTTTCCACATCTAACTTATTTTACCCTTCATTTTAAATTGCAAATTAAAGCATGTCTTTACATATTTATATACAAAAAACTTCAAAAACAAATCAATCCCAATCTTGGTCCAAGAGTTCCCACTTTAAAAGTGTATGGAACTATGCTATATACATCCTCTTCCAAAAGTCTCTTAGGACTTGGTAAGTTCCAAATATTCATTCACAAACGGTTCCCCTTTAAGCTTAATGAACCATAATACTTCATTTCTGAGTAAATGAGAGGAAATATTACAGAACAAGCTTTGTACAATACAGCACCACTACTGAGAAAGGCTCGAGGTTTTGTAATCCAAGGTTCCGACTTAAAGCAAAAATATATGGCATACACTGCAACAGCAAAGAAGTGTCCAATTAAAACTAGAGGGTTAGGAGACAATCTGTAATAGAAAAAAAATACATACTGGTAAGAGTCCAAAACTAAAATTTACTCCAAAGGTTCCAATTACATATCATCTATAAAGCTCAACAAACATCCTACTTTTTTTTTTTACCTAAGCACCATAATTCTGTATCAAATGTTTTACATTTTAGAGGACTTCACAAACTTATGTCTACAAGTTAAGTATGATGGTAGGAGCAAATCCTTTTTTTAAAAAAAAAGAAAGAAAAATACTTCTTAGAATATATCCTTTCAGGGAAGCTAGTGACTCCTGTAGCTCCAATTTACGCAAGTCATATATTTTTAGCTGTTTTCTTTACTCAATCCGAGATGCCGTGCTGAAATACCTAGATGGCCCGGTCTGTCAGGGTGTAGGGCTTTTAAAAATATCAGTATTGTTGTTCAGATTATAGATTAATGAGAAATGAGTCAGGATCACTTTGCAGACTTTCCAAGAGCAGTTCACATATGCCTGTACTGTCAGAAGCAAAACTGGGTTGTAGAAGTCCCTGTACTTCAATGAAACTAATTTTTAAATTAAAAATTTTCAGTTATTCCTGCCTCCCATAGATCATAACATACGGATAAATCCATAGGCAAAAAAACAAGCTTCTATTTTAATCAAGGGTTATAGCTTCCTCTACCACCACTTTTAACTGCTGTTCCCTAGAAAGAAAACAGTACTAAATATTGCCTTCATTTCTTTGGGCTACCTTCTCATCGGGATACTAAAAGATAATAAAATGACAAAATGTGTAAGGAAGAAAGATTTGTAGTAATTCATCGACTGAACAGTCCTAAGAAAATCTGGCAGATCTGTATCCTCTGTGCCATCACAACTTACACAGAAAGCAGCCCAACAGGACCCGCAACACATTCGCCACCAAGTTTGAAATAAAGAAAACAGGCTCTTCTTAGTTGATGCAGGGAATCTAAAATAAAATTGTAAAAATAATCAAACATTACCTAGGTAAATGTCAGAAAAAACGAGAAATACATCTTGCAGATAATTTTTAAATATCTACTCCTACAATTTCAACATCCAGGACTTCTTTTAAATTTCATAATCAGCATTATGGAGAGTAATACAAATATCAATAAACTTTTTTCTGTTAGAATATAATGATACATTTCTGTAAAATTTATTAAAGAAATATTATTTTCTAACAGAATATAATAACATTTCTAAAACAATATATTTCTGTTAAATATATTACTAATATTTCAGTCTTGGAAGAGTTGTTTAAAAGGCACTTCCTTGATTTTGTTGTTAATTCTTTAAGTGATGCAAAATACTTTGGAAGCTATTTTTATTATTAAAAAAACAATTCTAGAAAACAAATTCCCAGTCTCTAAGATGCCCAACCCATTATCTCTAACTAAGCAATAAATTATCAAGTAAAAAAGAAGAGCCATGAGTAGCAATCAATAATAATTCCTTATATCTATAAAGTTTTAAATACCTTTCAAAGTAACTCAGAAGAACCTCACAACATAGTATAGTCATCAATAATCTTTTTAACCGTTTAGAATCAACGTTCAATTCAGGTATGCCTAGATTTTTCTTTACAACAGATTTAAAACAGTAAAGAATGAAATAAGTAAACTTTTGTTCTAATAAAGGTCTTTCCTCCTCCAATCTTGTAACTTTAAAAAAATGTTGTTTTGTTGGTAGATTCAAATCCATGATGTAAGAATTCAGGAAGTTAGAAAAACTTAGAAGAGCTCAGAAAAACTCTGAACTTAGTTCTTTTTATTTGCCCAAAACTCTAAACTTAGTTACTTTCATTTGCCCAACCAACCATTTTAACTTCAGTGCCAATTTAGCAAGAGAAATTTGCTTGGAAAATCCCAAGCAGTGAAGTTGGTGGGTTTTTTTTTTTTTTTTCCTTAGGAAGAGTTGATGGTTATGGAGGCAACATAAAGCAGTTTTATTGTATCATCTTTTGTAATTATAACCACAGCACTGATCACTAGGGCCTCAGCCAGATCATACAAATAGCTATGTTGCAAATATGCTAGAGTAACGGGATTTGAGTCATATTTATTCTTGAAAACTGAAAAGCCTAGTTTCATAGACCTGCTAAACTGATGTGTACACTGCTGTGGAAGGAGGTGGCACAGTTGCTTATTTTTTGTTTGTTGGAGAAGATGGAGTCTCACTCTGTTGCCCAGGCTGAGTGCAGTAGCACTTCATATTGCCCACTATATACAGCTCACTCCATTAGCTCACTGTGGCCTGAAACTCCTGGCCCTAAGTGATCCTCCCACGTCTGCCTCCCAAATAGCTGGGACTACGGGCACATGCCACCATGCCTTGCTAATCTTTAAATTTTTTGTAGAGATGGGGTCTTGCTTTATTGTCTAGACTGGTGTGAAACTCCTGGCTTTAAGTGATCCTCCTGCCTTGGCCTCCCAAAGTGCGGGGATTACAGGCATTGAGTTACTTCAGCTGGCCTCTTTTCCTCCTTTTCTCACACTGCTTCTGCTAAGTTGTGTTTTCTGTAATATGTACACTGACCATGACCTCTCTATAATATGCAAACAGAAACAAAAGCACAAAACTAGTTCAAAAAGTAAAGGGTGAATGCATTCTGTTACTTGTGCTTTTTAACAGGGACAAGATTACCAGCTTGTATTCATTTTATAAACTACTAGTATAAAAAGAAATTGAAACGAGTGTTCAGGAAGAAAAAGGACTACATTGCCTTTTAATACATGGCGAAAAACACATTCCATCACAATCTTTTGTGTGGGGTGAAATGCATGATCTCATCTGGACCAGAGGAATTCAAAATAAGAATGTTACTGAGGCATTGCTATTAATGTTGTCTAAGGAAATTCTACTGCCTTCCAAACTAAAACTAAAGTTTGCCTTCCAAACTAAAACCAAAATTATTGCTCAAAATGGAATTTTTTTAAAAACTACCAACTGACCGGGTGCAGTGGCTCAAACCCGTAATCCCAGCACTTTGGGAGGCTGAGGCAGGTGGATCACTTGAGGTTGGGAGCTCGAGACTAGCCTGACCAACATGGAGAAACCCCGTCTCTACTAAAAATACAAAATTAGTGGGGCATGGTGGTGCATGCCTGTAATCCCACCCAGCTGAGGCAGGGAGGCTGAGGCAGAAGAATCACGGGAGGCAGAGATTGTGATGAGCCGAGATAGTGCCATTGCACTCCAGCGTGGGCAACAAGAGCAAAACTCCGCCTCAAAAAAACCAAAAACGACCAACTTGGGAGTTAGCAAACTCAGGTAACATTTTGATTTTTGGACTAATCACTAACTTTTTTATTCCTTTCCTATGCTAAAAATCTGCAATTGAGTAATATTCACTAAAAAGCATCTATACTTACCATCTGTGGCAGAAAATAATTCATAAAGAGCCTGAGCAAGGATATTTACGACAAAGGAATGAGATGTTTTTCTTGCCCAGTAAAATGATTTTTTGGCCTAAAAAAGAAAAAGCTCATTTATTAAATAGTAAGGATAAAAAAGCACGAACTGATATTTATAACCCCCTCAAAGCGATATTTACACTAAGTACTGTCTACAAGTAATATTGCCTTATGTTTACAAAAAGAAATTACTTTCAGAGCAATGGGTTATATGACATTGAAGCTAAATTTACAACCACTATGAGCTAAGTGGCTCATAGCAATCCAGTGTTATATAATATTCAAATTTATAAATTCTCTAAGATTCGCAGGTTACAAGTCAGGTTCTTTAAGCCTAAGCAAGATGCCTAAGAGCTATTACAAAGCATCAGGTTCCCTGATACAGATCTCCCCATCAGAGCCCCCATGCTCTTAACCCCCAGAAATAAATCCATTTTGCGACATTTTTATCAAAATAATTGATCTTACCTCGAAAATAGCTGCATCATCATAAAGGTCAGGGATACCCTTTAGCAGTTTCCTCCACAGTTTTATATCTTTAAATGCAACAGTCATTCCTCCACCAGTAAGTGGATGCCTCATATTATATGCATCTCCCAAAAGAAGAACACCTGTGAAAACAGGTAATGAAGACTATCTTAGAGCATCCTTTGAGACAAAGAAAAAAATGACTGCTCGATGTATAAAGATTACTGATATAAGCTAATAATAAGAAAAATGTGAAAACACACAAACAAATAATGATTAAAATTTGCTGAGGCAAAAATTCAAGAGTTGTTGCCAGGCACTGAGGATACAGTAATAACAGGAGTGTGGTCTCTGCCCTCATGAAATTCATACATAAACCTAATGATCAGTCCAATGTCAATATAGTTATAAGGCCTCTTTAAAATTAAAATATGAAGAAAATAAAAAGAATCTACAGGGATCCAGGCATAAAAAGCAAGTCCTCTTCCGATCCCCCTCCCACACGGGAATGCCAAAATGAACAACTATCCACACAGGAAAGCATCTTCGTAAGAACCAAAAATCAGCTTGGGTACCAGCTTGGCCAGTGCACCAATGGGGTTCCTGGGGTCCCTGATTCCAGGTCTTGGCACATGGACAGCATTTTTGGACCCATCCTGGGCAAGGGGAGCCCACTGTCCTGAAGGAAGAGACCCAGGTCTAGCAGTGTTCACCGCAAGCTGACTGAAGAGCCCTTGAGCTCGGAGAACATCAGTAGCAGCCAGGCAGTACTCGCCACGGGGAGAGGCTCCTTCTGCTTGAGGAAAGGAGAGGGAAGAGTGGGAAGGACTATGTCTTGAGGTTTGGGTGCCAGCTCAGCTGCAGTAGAAAAGAGCACCAAGCAGATTCCTAAGGTTCCCAACTCCAGGCCCTGGCTCCCACACAGCATTTCTGGACCAGTTCTGGGCCCCCAGGAGCTCTCTCCAAGGGAAGGACACAAGCCTGGCTGGATTTGTGCTGACTGTAGAGCCTTTGAGTCTCAAGGGAACATCAGCGGTAACCAGGCAGTCATCGGCACAGGCCTTGGGTGATACCCAGTGCTGCACTGGCTTCAGGTCTGATTTGGCACAGTCCCTGTGGTGGTGGCCGCAGGCATACTTGTGTCACCCCTCCCCTAGCTCCAGGCAGCTCAGCAGGGAAAGACAGACTCTTTTTGTTTGGGGGAAAGTAAGGGAAGAGAATCAAGAGTTCTTTTCCTGGCAATCCAGGGAATTCTCCTGGATATTACCGAAGACGACCAAGGTGGTACCTCTACGAGTCTGCAAGGGTCACAACGTTACTGGGCTTGGGGTGCCCCCTAATGCCGATATGGCAGCAGTGACCAAGGACTTAGATCACAACACTCACTTCCGTTTGAATACTTAGAAAGCCTTCCCAGGAAGGATGGGTACAAACAAGCCCAGACTGCAAAGACCACAATAAACACCTAACTCATCAGTGCCCAGATATTGACGAACATCCACAGACATCAAGACCTCCCAGGAAAACATGAACTCACTAAATTAACTATCATAAGTAAGGCACCAGTGACCAATCCGAGAGTAACAGAGATGTGAGCTTTCAGGGAATTCAAAATAGCTCTTTTGAAGAAGCTCAACAAAATTCAGGACAACGCAGAGAAGGAACTCAGAATACTATCAGATAAATTTAACAAAACAATTGAAATAAAAAGAATCAAGCAGAAATTCTGGAGATAAAAAATTCAATTAACATACTGAAAAACACAGCAGAATCTCAACAGCAGAACTGATCAAGCAGAAGAAAGAATTAGCTTGAAAACTGGCTATTTGCAAATACACAGAGGATACAATAGAAAAAAGAATAATCAAGAATGAGATACACCTACAAGATCTAGAAACAGCTTCAAAAGAGCAAATCTGAGTTCTTGGCCTTTAAGAAGACGTAGAGAGAAAGATCAGGATAGAAAGTTTATTCAAACAAAAGATAACAGAACTTCCCAAATCTAGAGAAAGATACCAATATTCAAGCATAAGAAAGCTACAGAACACCAAGCAAGGATTAGTGATTGACTTAATCCAGACTGGACCATCTCAAGACATTAAATAATCAAACTCTCAAAGGTCAAGGACAAACAGAAGATCCTTAAAGCAGTGAGATAAACAATAATCAATGGGGCTCTAGCATGTCTGGCAGCAGACTTGGTGGGAATCTTACAGGCCAGGATAGAGTGGCATGACATGCTTAAAGTGCTGAAGGAAAAGAACTGTTATCCTAGAATAGTTTATCCAGTGAAAATATCCTTCAAACATGAAGGAGAAATGAAGACTTTCCCAGACAAACAAAAGCCGAGGGACTTCATCAACACCAGACCTTTCCCACAAAAAATGCTGAATGAGTTCTTCAATCTGAAAGAAAAGGACATTAATGAGCAATAACATGTACAAAACTCAAAAAAGTTAAAAAGCAAGGGGATAAAGTTAAAGTGTAGAGTTTTTGTTAGTTTGCTTGCATGTTTGTTTTTGGAATCAGTTGTCATCAGTTTAAAAATAATGGATTACAAGATGTGATCTGCAAGTTTCATGGTAATTTCATAACAAAAGCCTACAAGAGATAGGCAAAAAAATAAAAAGCTAGAAATTAAAACATACCACCAGAGAAAATTACCTTCAAAAAAAGGAAACAGGAAGGAAGAGAAGATGGCAAAACAACCAGAAAACAAATGACAAAATGGCAGACGTACATACTTACCAATAACAACACTGAATGTAGGTGGACTGAACTCTCCACTCAAAGGCATAATGTGGCTGAATGGATTGAAAAAAAAGAACCAAAGATCTGTTGCCTACAAGAAACACACTTCACCTATAAAGACACACAGAAACTGAAAATGAAGGGATGGAAAAGATAAAGTGCAAATGGAAACCAAAAAAGAGCAGTAGTGATACATCAGATAAAATAGATTTCAAAACAAAAACTATACAAGAGGCAAAGAAGGTCATTATATAATGATAAAGGGGTCAATTCAGCAAGAGGATGTAATAATTGTAAATATATATGCACCCAATACCAGAGCACCCAGATATGTAAAGCAATTATTAGAGCTAAGGAGAAAGATAGACCCCAATATATCATGGGTGGAGACTTCAGCACCCCACCTTCAGCACTGAATAGATCATCCAGGCAGATAAACAACAAAGAAACATCAGACTTAATCTGCACTATAGGTCAAAGAAACCTAACCCCAAAACATTTCATCCAACTGCAGAATACACATTCTTCTCCTCAGCAAATCTCAAGCATAGATCATGGGTAGGCCACAAAACAAGGCTTAAAACAGTTAAAAAATTGAAATATCAAGTATCTTCTTTGGCCACAGTGGAATAAAACTAGAAATCAGTAATATGAGGAACTTTGGAAACTATACAAACACATGGAAATTAAACCATATGCTCTTGAATGACCAGTGGGTCAATGAGGAAATTAAGAGGTAATTATAAAAATTTCTTGAAATTAAAAAAAAATGGAAATACAATATACAAAACCTATGAGACACAGCAAAAGCAATACTTAAAAGGAAAGTTTACAGCAGTAAGTGCCTACGTCAAAAAAGCAGGAAAACTTCAAATAAACAATTTAACAGTGCATCTTAACTAGAAAAGCCAGAACAAACCAAACTCCAAATTAGTAGAAAATAATAAAGATCAGAGCCAAAATAAACGAATTAAAAAAATACAAAAGATAACAAAATGAAAAGTTGGTTCTTTGAAAAGATAAAATCAACAAACCTTTAAAACAAAGAAAATGGAAAGAAAACCCATTAATTAACTCCTTTTCAAAGAAAAAAAAGGAGAGAAGGAGAGGAAGAAAGGGGAAGAAAAAGAGGGAGAGAGAACAGGAATATTGCTTTATTCTAAAAATGGGTATTAATAATGGCCAATCAATATTTTGTGTATTTAAAGTGGAAAATGTATATTTTGTATATTTAAAGTGGAGAGCTCTATAAATATTTAAGTTTACTTGTTCTGGATCTGAGTTCAAGTCCTGGATATCCTTATTAATCTTCTGTCTCGTTGATCCTTTTACCACTATATCTTTGTTGCTTTGAAATCTATTTTATCAAATGCAAGAATTGCAACTCCTGCTTTTTGTTTGTTTATTTATTTTTGCTCTCCATTTGGTTAGTAAATCTTTCTCCAACCCTTTGTTTTGAGTCTTTGTGTATCTTTGGATATAAAATGGGTCTGGATGTAGCATACTGTTAGGTTTTGGGTGTATCTTTTGATTGGGGGATTTAGTTGATTTAAATTTAGGGTTACTGCCATTTGATGTTAACTGGCTATTTTATCCATTCGTTGATGTAAATTCTTCTTTATGTTGATGCTCTGTACTTTTTGGTATATTTTTAGAAAGGCTAATACGGGTTGTTCCTTTTTGTGTGTAATGCTTCTTTCAGAAGTTCTTGTAAAGCAGGCCTGGCAGTAATAAAATCTCTGAGTACTTGTTTGTTCATAAAAGATTTTATTTTTCCTTCAATTGTGAAGCTTAGTTTGGCAGGATATGAAATTCTGGGCTGAAAGTTCTGTTCTTTAAGTATGTTGAATATTGGCCCCCACTCTCTTCTGGCTTGTAGGGTTTCTGCTGAGAGATCTGCTGTAAGTCTGATAGGCTTGCCTTTGTGGGTAACCTGACCTTTCTCTCTGGCTGCTCTTAGTATTTTCTCCTTCATTTCAACCCTGGGGAATCTAACAATTATGTGCCTTGGGGTTGCTCTTCTTGAGGAATATCTTTGTGGTGTTCTCTGTATTACCTGGGGTTGAATAGTGTCCTGCTTTGCTAGATTGGGAATATTTTCCTGGATAGTATCCTCAAGGGTATTTTCCTTCCAGCTTGGATTCATTCTCTCCATCACATTCAGGTACATCTATCAAACGCAGATTAGGTCTTTTCACATAGTCCCATATTTCTTAGAGACTTTGCTCATTCCTTTTTATCCTTTTTTCTCTATTCTTGTCTTCTCGTTTTATTTCATCAAGTTGGTCTTCGACCTCTGATATCCTTTCTTCTGCTTGTTCAATTCGGCTATTCAAACTTGTGCATATTTCACTAAGTTCTCATGTTGTATTTTTCAACTCTGTTAGTTCATTTATATTTCTCTATATATTGTTTACTCTTTTTAGCATTTCGTCAAACCTTTTTTCAAAGTTCTTAGTTTCTTTACATTGGGTTAGAACAAGTTCTTTTAACTCCTAGAAGTTTCTTATCATCCACCTTCTGAAGCCTACTTCAATAATGGTACACAGTCCTTTTCCATCAGGGCTTGTTCCGTTGCTGATGAGGAACTGCAATCCCCTGTAGAGGGAGACGGGTTCTGATTTTGGGTATTCTTGGCCTTTTTAGGCTGGTTTCTTCCCTTTATTATAAATTTATCCATCTGTCATCTTTACAATTACCACCTTTCTAATTAGGTTTCTGAGTGGATGTCCAATTTATTGATTCCCAGTGCTGGAATCCGAGCAACCCACTGCGCCGGCCAAAACAGCAGCAATAAGACTGATGGTGCTCTTCTACCTGGGAATCTCCGGTCTGGCTTCCTTCTTGAGTCCGTAACAAGCAGCTCTGCCTTCCCAGAGCTCCAAGCATAGGTCAGTAGGGGAACTAGTCCCATTTACTCTGCATGAAGAGCTGCTACGCCGGCCACAAGAGTCACGCTGGCGACCTGTGGGGCTCCTCCACTGGGAATCTTCCGGTCCGTGAGCGACGAAAATTCATCTGAAAGTGTGGTGTCCTCTCATTCTCTGCACTTTCACTGGGAGCTACAATCCTGAGCTGTTAGCGATCAGCCATCTTGGATCTCTCCTCCTTTCCCTATTCCTATGTCAGCAAATGGCTGGCAAAACTATCTAGGTCAGAAAGTTGGAATTTACATAGAGATTTCACTTTCTCATTACAATATCCAATTCATTACCATGTTTTGTACATTCTACATCCTAGATTATCACCCAAATATATTCTCTACCTTTCATTTTACAACCCTAGTTCTAGCCCTTTATCATCACTGACATAGAATAATTAAATAATCTTAATATATGTTTTAGTCTGGACTTTCCTCCAAACCATTCTCCACAAAAATGTCAAGAGTATATTCCTGAAATACAAGTCTAATCATGCCACTGCCTCATTTAAAACTTTTCAATGAACTACTATAATAATAAATTACTCAGCAAGATTTAAGATACAAGATAAAGCCAGGGGCGGTGGCTCACGCCTGTAATCCCAGCACTTTGGGAGGCTGAGGCGGGTGGATCACGAGGTCAAGAGATCAAGACCATCCTGGTCAACATGGTGAAACCGGTCTCTACTAAAAATACAAAAAATTAGCTGGGCATGTTAGCACGTGCCTGTAATTCCAGCTACTCAGGTGGCTGCGGCAGGAGAATTGCCTGAACCCAGGAGGAGGAGGTTAAGGTGAGCCAAGATCGCAAGAGCGATAACTGGGTAACAAGAGCAAAACTCCATCTTAAAAAAAAAAAGATACAAGATAAATATGCAAAAATCAATTGTATTCCTGTACGCTAGCAATGAGCAATCTTAAAATGAAATTAAGAAAATTCCATTTACAATAGTATCAAAAGAAGTAAAATACTTAGGAATAAATGTAACAAAAGAAATGTAAAACTTATACTCTGAAAACTACAAACAATTGTTGAAAGAAATAAATCCTTAAATTTCAGTCAAGGGAATTTTGACAACAATGACAAGACAATTCACTAGGGAACAAATGGTCTTTTCAACAAATGGTACTGGGACAACTGAATATCCACAAACAAATCAAGTTGGACTCCTTCCCCACAACATAACACAACTCAAAATGGATCAAAGACCTTAATGTAAGAGGTAAAACTTAATAAAACTCTTAGAAGAAAATATAGGAGTAATGGGCTGGGCATGGTGGCTCACGCCTGTAATCCCAGCACTATGGGAAGCTGAGGCTGGCAGATCTCCTGAGGTCAGGAGTTCGAGACCAGCCTGGCCAACATGGTGAAACCTCATCTACTAAAAATACAAAAATTAGCTGGGCGTGGTGGCAGGCACCTGTAATCCCAGCTACTTGGGAGGCTGAGGCAGGAGAATCTCCTGAGGCAGGAGAATCCCCCCTCCATGGGGAGGCGGAGGTTGCAGTGAGCTGAGATCACGCCATTGCACTCCAGCCTAGGCAACAAGAGTGAAACTGTCTCAAAAAGAAAAAAATATGTAGGAGTAAATCTTTTTGACTTTAGATTGAGCAAAGCCTTCTTAAATATGACATCAAAAGTATAAGAAACAAAAGAAAAAATAAACATGAAAACTAAAAACATTTGTACTTTAATGGAAACCATCAAGAAGTGTGGAAAGAAAACACAGAATGGGAACAGTTTTGCAAATCACACATCTAATAAGGGACTTGTATCTAAAATATATAAAAGACTCTTGGAACTCAACAATAAATAATATTTAAATCTGCCCAATTTTTTAAAATATGCAGTCTAAATATACATTTTTCCAAACAACAAATGGCCTATAGGCATATGAAAAGATGTTCAACATCATCTATAAGAAATGCAAATCAAAAGTACAATGATAAAAGGCCTAGTTCACAGCTACTAGGATAGCTACGCACGGGTAAAATACAAGTGTTCACTGACAAGGATGTGGAGAAATTAGAACTCACACTGCTGAAGGGAATGTAAAATGGGACAGCTATTTTGGAAAACAAGTCTAGCAGTTCCGCAAAAACTTAAACATGAATTACTATACAATCCAGCAATAACACTCTTGGGTATATACCCAAGAAAAATGAAAATATATGTCCACACAAAAACTCATACACAGATGTTCACAGAAGCACTGCTTGTGATAACCAAAAAATAGAAACAACCCAAATGTCTATCAATTGATGAATGGCTAAACAAAATGTAATACAGCCATAAATGGCATATTATTTGGCCATAAAAACAAATGAAGGACTGAAACATACTACAACATGAATGAATCTCAAAAATACTGTGCTAAATGAAAAGCCAGTTACAAAGGGCCACATATTGTACAATTTCTTTAGGAAACATCCTGAACAGGCAAATCTAGACGCAGAAAGTAAATCAGGGGTAGCCTAGGGCTGAGTGTTAGGAGGAAATGAGGAGTGAATACCAATGGGTATGGAGTTTCTTTGGGCATGATAAAAATGTTCTAAATTTGATTGTGGTGGTGATGCGCACACCTGTGAATATACTAAAAAAATGACTGAATTATACATTTTAAATAGACAAACAGAATGACTCGTGAAAACATCTCAATAAAAAACTTTGAATGACTTTCCACTGTCTCTAAGATTAAATGTTGAACATAAATCCTACCACTCTGACACCCACCCTATGCTCCAGCCATAGGAAACTGCTTCAGAGTTCCTTGAAAGTGCCACCACTTCTCATCCCTTGGCAATGTTATTCTATCTTCTCAGAAATTTCTCATCTTACTGTCCACCATGAACTCCCACTCATCCTCCAGGTCCAAGGTCCTTTGTTTCCACTGTTCCTGAGCAATGTCCTCCCTAACTACCCCTCACATTTCACAAGCTTCCCTCCCTGCTTTGCACACTCCTTGACTCTGAATCTGTAGATTTTATTACAGAATTTATCAAGAGTGTTGTAAAGTTATCTGTCTACATTCCTAACTAGAAAATTGCCTTCTCTCGGTCAAGGTCAGTTTTTAACTGTTGTTTCCCTGACTAGCACAGTACTTCTATACACTTAATGTTAATGACTAAATAGATCATAAAACTAATTTTGGCATTAATAATGCAGTAATCCACAATAACAAACTGTCCCAGATGTTATTCCTAACAGTATAAATTTAACCATATATTTATCATTTGGAATACTGACTCCTTTTTAAAATAAGCCCCCCAAAAAAATACCTTGTTTGTTCACTGGTGAAGGAGGAAGGAAGCTTGCTGGCATGGACCTCAGATGAGAACTCTCAGTGGCTTCTAAAAATGGTTTTTTCAGGTGATCTGCAATAAATCCCACCCACCCAAAGAAATGGGTTATAACACTTCAATTTTAAATTATCACATATTTTCTTATCAAGTATAAACAAATGCCTACTATATATCTGTTATGGTTGTTACATATATCTTTTGTGATAAATCAATAACTGATTATTAATAAAATTATTCATTAAGCACTTAGCTATTAATGCTAAGGAATGACTAAGGCATCTAAAAAAAAGTTAATATAATATACATACAATTGAATGAAGAATGAGGTAAAATCAGATGAAATGAAATGGAGAAAACCACCCACCTTTCTTCCAAATGTTAACAGACTACTGTCATATTTAATATATTATAATCAATATATTCTGGTAATAATCAGATGAAATTGGTAGTAACCAATGCACAAACAGCAGGGGGTATGTACACTAGAAAAAGAATTAGATTTAGAAGTACAGACCAGCCCTACCTCTCTGAGCTTTAACTTCGTCATTTATAAAAATGAAATGGTTAGATTGGCTCATCTCTGAGATACCTCCAAGCAAGCTTTAAATTTCTGTGCCACTTATATAGAAAATGAACTGTCATACAATTCCCAGTATAATCTGGGAACAGCGGAGCAGAAGCCTATGTTGAAAATTATTCCACTGATATAAGGAGTAGAATCTTGGCAATTTAATATTAATATAAACCTACCAATGGTTTCTCTCCATAATTTCAGGGCAGTGTACTCTAGTTAACCCCTAGATTGGTGGGGTGGGGAACCACACTTACAGTTTAAAAAAAAGCTAATTAATCAGGTAATGGACAACCCTTTTTATAATTTCCCCATCTGAAAGCTTCAGAAGTGGCTTAACTAAATGAAAATTTATTTATATGTTTCCATGTACATATGTTGAAAATGTCATTATTTAAAATCTAAGCTTGCCCACTCCATTTCATTTATGTTAATAATTTGTTATTAAATAAAGTGGTTTACTTAATTTAAAAAATAACTTGAAAAAAACAGAATATTTAATCAAAATGTACTCATACCAAAAATAGTTTCTTATTACTCTAATATATTATAATTGACAATCAAGGTTTCCCTTCATTTTATCAAAATTCTTAATTTTGTTTTTACATTTCTTTCCTACATCTACCCATTCTCAAAAAAAAGATCATACAAACTAGTACCATAAAAACAAATGTTTTTACAAAGCTATCTAAATCTCATGAAGCCTTTGTATTCAACTCAAAACTAATATGACCCTGAAGATTCCTTACAATTCTCATGTTCTGTGGACAGGACATGTCTGTTCAAACAGGCACGTATGAGCCAGGCAGACCTGATACCAACCTTGGCTCTGCCACTACTAACTAATAGTTTATAGTTGGAGGAGCTAACTCATCTCTCGCTTAGTTCTCCCATCTGTAAAACACAAATAATGACAATGCCTACCTCACAGGGTGGTTACGTAGATTAAATGAAATTATGTTTGGCTATCATTATTACAAAATCCAAGTACATTTAGGGATTAGAGATATTTAAAGAATTTAGAGACAGATTCCTGTACAGACTACCTTAAAAAATACCATATATTCCAAGAATTATTCTAAAAACTATGCTATTAAATGACAAAAACATATTGAAACTTTTTTTTTTTTTGAGACGGAGTTCGCCCTTCTTGCCCAGGCTGGAGTGCAATGGCACAATCTCAGCTCACTGCAACCTCCACCTCCTGGGTTCAAGCAATTCTTCTGCCTTAGCCTCCTGAGTAGCTGGGATTACAGGTAGCACCACCACACTCGCCTAATTTTGTATTTTTAGTAGAGACAGGATTTCTCCATGTTCATCAGGCTGGTCTCAAACTCCCAACCTCAGGTGATCTGCCCACCTCAGTTTCCCAAAGTGCTGGGATTACAGGTATGAGCCACTGGCATCCAGCCAAAACTTTTTTTTTTTTTATTTGGAGTTTGTTTTTTTTTATGTGCTAGTTTAAACAGTTCAGTTCCAGCATATCTGGTTAACTGGATGAATGTTTCACCTGACGTCTTATCTCTGGCCTATACTGGACACAGCTTTTGTAAGAACTGAAGATGCTATTTCTTACCAGGTACTTGTGGGTAAATATTTTCAAACATGTATTCTCTTAAATTCCTTGGCATTTCTCCTCTAACGTCAACAAGTACTCGAGTTTCACTGGATGAAATCTGGTAGATGAGAACTGGACTTGGGTTAGCTAAAATAAGTTCAGCATGATTTGCTTTAAACTGTGGTGCATTCTAAAAAAAAGAAAATGTTTTAATAATTTTCAAATTTCAAGTTGCTTTTATTGAAATTAAAATAATATTCTCCTTATAGTACCTTCATAAGAAAGCCAACAAAATGAGACGATACAGAAACTTTATTGGAGATCAGGCTTTTCCTGAACTTGGAGAAAAGCCCATCTGCAACAACAGTCAATGGAGCATGGAGTTCCTATAACAGAGATAAAGACTACTCAGTTTAGTAGTGAGAAACACACAGTAAAAAAAGCCATTCTTTAAAAATGTGCATGAAGAGATTTAAATATATTATCAGATAGCATTATAGAGGGTAGTTGAAGATAACACTATTGAAGAAACTGTTATGGCTTCGGATAACGCATGAGCAGTGTTTAGACACTTCCTCTGAGTCCCTGGGGATCATCTCCCTTTGTAGCCCTCCCATGCAAACCACGTGGGATTACTCTTCACTTTGATAGACAACAGGGGAAACAAATACAAGGCAGGCACGTAACACAGAGCAGTGAATCTCATTACAAATTCCAAGAACTAGCCAGATTCTTTCATCCTAAAATTTTCTGGGGTTTTTTTTTTTTTGAGACCGAGTCTCGTTCTGTCACTCAGACTGGATGGAATGCAGTGGCACGATCTTGGTTCACTGCAACCTCCAACTCCCTGGTTCAAGCAATTCTCCTGCCTCAACCTCCTGAGTAGCCGGGATTATAGGCACCCACCAGCATGCCTGACTAATTTTGTGTATTTTTAGTAGAGATGGGGTTTCACCATGTTGGTCAGGATGGTCTCGATCTCCTGACCTTGTGATCCACCTGCCTCGACCTCTCAAAGTGCTGGGATTACAGGTATGAGCCACCGTGCCTGACCTCTAAAATTTTCTAACCTCGTATAGTGCTATTAGTCAGCTGCTAGGGCTTAGAAGAATTTTTGTACAAATGACTGCATGTATTTATAATACTACAATATAAGCAAAGAAAATATTCCAGTCACCCTCATTAGAGTCCATTTTTAAGAGGTAGTAACCCTATAGGGCGCAGTCCAGAATTATGTGTTATTATATCTACTACAATAAAGTTTTTTTAAAAAAGGATAAATTGTTTTTAAAAAGATTCTCTTACTGTTGCCTTTCTGAGTTAAACAATGGCTCGTTTTATCTGAATCATTTATTTTGAATCTTGCCTTCTTCCCCCTGCTAATTCCCCTCTGCTTCTCTGCTAATGTGTATTACTCAGTTTCAAAAACTATTCATGTTAGTTTCCTTTAAAAAGTTTTTTGTACAGCATTCTGAGGTCCTCTAAAGAACAATTGTTGCAATCTGAAACCCATCCTGTTGCATAGGGCTTAGAAAGAACTCAGTCCATTTGATAAATAACACAGGCTGAGTCTAATCCAAAAATCTGAAAGGCAAAACTTTTTGAGCAGCAATGTGACAAAGAAAATGCTCATTGGATCATTTCAAATTTCAGATTTTCAGATTAGAGATGCTCAACTGGTAAGTATAATGCAAACATCTGAAAAACATCCAAAATCTGAAACACTTCTGATTCCAAGCATTTCAGGTAAGAGATACTCAACCTGCAAACTGATAAGCCTACTTTTTTTAAAGGGGTATGTGAAAAAGAAGGAAAAACAACATCTCTTAGGAAGAGGTGACATTTGGTATTTCTTACCTTGGTATCTCCAGTCTCTTTATCCTTGTACTGAACTCCCATTACAGCATCATCTTCCTCTAATAACTGTAACACAACACCTTCAATAAACTTTGCACTAAAGAATAAAAAAAAAAAACACATTTCTAAAGCAGCACATTTCAGCAATTTATATTCAATATAAACTCCTTATCTCCAGTTTATCCATATAAACTGGATATGCATGTGGGTGCAAACACATGTCCAATGTGTGGTTTTTATTTTCTAATTCATCAACATTCAATACATACTTCTAATGTAATGATTTTTAAAGGATCTAAAAAAGTAACATTGGATTTTTATCTTTATTCATTAAAAAATAAAATATAGGCAGAGAAACTTTACATACCCTCATACGTTCATACACAGAGGGGAAAACAAGAATTTGCATGTATCCACCAAACTGTTAAGAGTAATTATATCGCCGGGCACGATGGCTCACACCTGTAATCCCAGCACTTGGGGAAGCTGAGGCCGGCAGATCTCCTGAGGTCAGGAGTTCAAGACCAGCTTCGCCAACATGGTGAAACCCTGTCTCTACTAAATATACGAAAAAATTAGGCGGGTGTAGTGTCATGCACATCTAATCCTAGCTACTCGGGAGGCTGAGGCAGGAAAGCAGAAATTTCAGTTAGCCGAGATTGCACCACTGCACCCCAGCCTGGGTAACAAAATGACTCTGTCTCAAAAAAAAAAAGAAAGCAATTATTTCTAGTCAGAAAGATCAGAGTCAGAATGCAACCACCAAACTGTTATGAGTAATTATTTCTAGTCAGAAAGATAATCTTTATATTTGGGAGTATTTTTCCATTTTCACACAATGAACATATTCTTCAATGGTATCAAGTCTCTTCAGTCCTAAGAATAAGTCCATTTACTTCTTCACTTGCTTTGTCAACATTTTAGTCTGTGTCAATCACATTAGGGTTCTCATGCTTAAAACTTCTTCAGTTACAGTGTTTAAAGGCTACTGGTAAATATGAGTTAATAATCAAGAGAAGAAGCCATTTCTGTCAGACTAGGTCTTTAGTGAGAATGAAACAGATTTCTCCTTGCAATGTTATGTCCTGACTTTTAATAGAAAGTATCATAACCACAAACTCAAACTCCAAAATGTATACAATGGACTTATGCCTTAGTTACAAATATATCCTCTAAATTCCAATCACATAAAAATTATATCATTTTCAGTCAAAGGAGAACTCTTCAGAGTTCTGTATCAAAGGAAAATTCTCTATATGATATACTTAACAAAAGCACTGAATATCTTAACACTCTTCTGATAGTTTAATATACACATGTTCTATATTCATTAGAATTTATAAAATCTTATTTGTACAAAGGTCAAATTTAAATGCACTGATTCTTTAGTTAACTATATATTTAAAACTGTGGTCTTACTTGGGCTCTGCCATAGCTGCTTTCCGGAGACTCATGATGAATCTTCCATGATGGAAAGCTCTTCCACTCTGCACTTGATTGTTTTCTGACAGGGGGAAAGGAATCTGAACCTCTGATTTGCTTTCCTGATCATGAATCATGTAGCCATTTACAACCTGGGCATCAAGACCTTCTACTGTATCTGCAAAACAATCCAGTTCAAAACAATCAATTCTGTTAACACACCCAGAGTTAAACTAAGAACCAAGGAGGACACACACACATCAAAAATGAGTCTCTGCCTTCAAATCTGGAGAATTGAACAAACCTAATGTAACTATTTCAGAAACCTTGATGCTTGTGGAGGTCAATGAGAATCTTAGCAAATGTATAATATCATTTAAAGATAACAACATAACTATTTTAGGTCTGTAATTCCACTTCACTTCAGAAAGAAAATGCAACATGAAATAAACCATAATCCTCTCCTGAGTAAACCTGTTCTGCCATAAAGGCATAGGAACATACTCAGTACTTCTGAACACTTTCTTCAATGTATGAACATGTAGATTTGTCACCAAAAAAGAAATAAAAAGAAAATAAAACCAGCATGGAAACTAAAAAAAAAAACCCCAGCTCATACATAAAGACTAAATATATGAAAAAGCAGATTTTCCGAACCAAATGAAAGAGTAGAATTATTTCCCAACTGTTGATGATTACATACTATCCATCAAAATTGACTCAGGACAAACTGCAAAGAATTTTTTAGTAAATCAAATAATTTAAATGGCAGCAAACAAAACAGTGAATTCATCAGATTCACGTAAAAATTGCTTTCTTAAATTTAAAGCAGTAAAAGAAGTTGGAAAAGAAAAAACTTTCAATAGAAAATATAACATTTTTAAAGTGCCAACTGAAAATTTGAAAGTTCAAAATTTAATTTTAAAAATAAAAACTAAAACAGTACTTTGGGAAAGATATATCACATAGAACAAAAGATTAATATGTATATATACAATAAGCTCATTAACACTGGAAAAACATTAAGATCCCAATAGTAATGGGCAAAAACATGTATACATGATTCATATAAAGCAATAAAGAAACTGAACAAATCAGGAAAAATGTTCGAACGATAAAAAAATCAATTAAGTGAAAATTGAAATAACAGGACACCATCAAAGTCACTGATGAGATTATGACAAAGCTGATGAATTCATATATTACTGGTACTATGAACTAATGTATTTTAGAAAATATAACAATAATTATCAAGAACCATGAAGAAATTAGCATCCTTTGATGTAATAATCTTAATCTTGGAAATCCATGTAAGAAATTCATCCTAAAGACATAATATTTAATAATCTTTAAAGTTACATGCAAGAATAGGTTCACTATAGTGTTACCTAAAAGATGGTAACTGAAAATAACGTAAACATTCATCTAAGTTTGAAAAGTGAAGTACATTATGAAGTCAACTGAAAAACTACTGTGCTTGGGCTTAAAATATAATGATAAAGAATGGTTAACAGTATGAGAAATATGTTTATGTCAGGTGAAAAAGTGGACTCTAGTATGTTCAATAAAATAGTGACATAAAATGTTTAAATATGGTATTGACTGGATGTTTGTGTCCTCCCAAAATTCCTAAGCTAAAACTCTAATCCCCAATGTGATGATATTTGGTGATGAAGCCTTTAGGAATGATTAGGTCATGAGGGTAGACTCTCATGATAGGATTAGTGCTCTTGTAAAATGAGACAGGTGACAGCTTGCTTCTTTGTCTCTCTCCCACCTTCCCCACCCCACCCCACCCCACCACCCTTTCCTCACACAAAGTAGTCAGTGAACAAATATTTCCTAAATGAATAGCCAGTGCTTAAAAAGCACTGACTGAATACATGAATGGTGCTTAAATAAAAGATTCTATGTAGTAACACTATAACAACTATACAATATATGCTCTACAATGACGGTTACCTTCACCTTTCACAAAATTTAATGCCCTCATTCTAGGATTTTCCAGTCCTTAATTTTGACCATTACAATCTTTTGGCCATTTTCTTATATCTCATTAAGTCTAATTCACATCTAATCATACTATTAAATGCTTATTTTATCCTTTGCTTTCATTTTCATGCAAATTTATTGGTAAATGAGTATAGAAAATTTTGTAAATGAAAATAAAATGTAATACTTTCTTACTGGTCATAGGATGGTCTAAGTGAAGAGTGTTTGTTTATACCACATAACTCTCCTGAAAATCAATATGAACCTACCTCCAAGACCAAGGTCTTTAAGAACTTGATAACCACCCGGCTGCAGGAATTCTCCAACTATTCTGTCAGGCTCTTTTAAGTCTCTTTCAATTACTGTCACCTTTCTTCCATCTCTGGAAAGCACTGCTGCCAAAGCAGAGCCAAGTATGCCAGCGCCCACGATGATAACTTCCGGATCATTTTGAGAAGATGTTGATGTAGAGGCAGCTGCTCCTATTATGGTTGTTTCTGAAATACTGGTTCCTTTTCTGCGCTGTTTAAAAAAAAGGTAAATTACATATTCAAATTTGTTCAATTTAAATCGTGCTACTACTATGTAGACACATTGGACTTTTGCATCCTGGATTAGAGCTAGATACTAAACATTATCAAACCAAACTAACCATTACATTTTAAAATCTAGACAATATATAAAAATCAGCATCAAAATATTCATTAAGTAAAAGTTGTAATATCCCAATAAAATTAAATATTTATTGTTTTCTAAATATGATATTTGGAAAATGTTATACAGACATATTTAGAAATCTACACGGGGCCAAATATAATAAATGTTCATAAAGGGCTTCAAAGACTTATTGTAGTACAAACCATATCACTGAAAACTAAATTCTTCAAATATATCCCAGGTATCATCAAGATGCATTATCACTTACAACTTCTGATTTGACTTCATGTTACAAACTATTCAGCACCTTTTTCTGTTTTTGACATGGAGTTTCACTCTTACTGCCCAGGCTGGAGTGCAATGGCATGATCTCGGATCTCAGCTTACACAACCTCCACCTTCGGGGTTCAAGCGATTCTCCTGCCTCAGCCTCCCGAGTAGCTGGGATTACAGGCGTGAGCAACCACGCCCAGCTAATTTTGTATTTTTAGTAGAGACGGGCCTTCTCCACGTTGGTCAGACTAGTCTTGAACTCCCGACCTCAGGTGATCTGCCCACCTTTGCCTCCCAAAGTTCTGGGATTTCAGGCGTGAGCCACCGCCCTTAGATATTTTCATCATTCACCTATATTTTCTGCTTTTGGATTTTCATTTGAAAAATCTATCCTAATACCTCTTTTATATGACAAAAAGATTGTCAAATCCTGGCTACCAATCTATTAATTGAAGATTATCTAAATAAACAAAATTACAAGAAAACAAATAACTCATACTGACCCTTAGGATTTGACTTGTTTACAATTTTGGTCCTTAACTTACAAGCACTTATTTAACTTATCCCTCCTTTTTCCCCATCCTGATACTGTAAGAGATCCTAGTCAAACAGTTGGTCCCCAAAAAAGGAACAAGGAAAAACACTAAATTTTCTGGCTGAACTAACAGCAAAACTTCAACTTTAATCATAAGAAGATGTAAAGTCTTGCCTTGAGAGATTTATGCCCACTGAGAATATAGTGCACACTGGCTTTTTTAAATGAATAATTTTGTAATAAGTATTTCTTCTTGGTAGGTGGATTCACATATTTGAATACATTTCAGATACAGAATTGCAAGGAACCACCTTCCTTGAGTTCTCTGACCTTAATGATTAAGGTAAGACTAAATGCCATTTGAAGGGGTTTTTTTAAAATAATCAGGCAAAAGGGAAGAAGACGAAGCCTAAAATCCTTTATAACTTTACTCTGTGATTCCAATTTCTACTCAGCATTCTTTTACTTCTCTAATGGACTGGGAACTTGTCTATTTCTTTTTTTAAAAATAATTTATCTTAGAAAAATATTTTTCTGTCCTTTACTACAAGAAGGTGTCAATATTCTACTCTTCCCATTAGTATTTATTAATGGCCAGAACTGACTCTATTTAAATTACTGTGGGGGGAAAAGGCAAGTCCCTTTTGTCATCTTAACCAAAAAATGTGCTTCTTCATAAGTTTTTCCTGTTTTACACACACACACACTCTCTCTCTCTCTCTCTCTGAAAGGAGAGCTCTGGAGGAATACAAGCCTTGCAAAGCCTCTTCAGTAGAGGAGGCACTAATGGGAATTCGACAGATCACAATCTAACAACTCCATGGTTTACCAAAAATAAAGACAAATCCTGAGGCATTCACAAAATGGAACCAATATTGATTGCTGGTAACCCAATTTTCCTACTCCAAAATTTCTCTACATACCATGAAAACAGGAACAGCATTCCAGCCACCTGAACTAGAGCTTAGTGACTAAGGGAAATTATCTCAGATCACAATACGAAAGAGTTCAAATTGAACAGGAAGGATTCCCTCTCTCCTTTCCCATTCCTCAAACCCATTCACCATGTCACTGAACTATATACTACTCAAAAGGCTCCTCCTAAGAAATGTATCCTACCTCTAGACTAATATTAACAGCTACTATTATTTATTAGGCAGTTATAGACTAGTATTAACTACTAGAAAGGGTGGTGCCATTCCCTTCTAATGGAAGAGGTAACAGATTCTCCCAGAAATTAAGCAATTTGCCGAAGGTCTCACATTCAGAAACGGTGGCACAAAAATTTAAAAAGCAAGTCTGGGTCTGCTGCTATAGTCTCTTGTCTGATATCCCTGCTTCCATCCTTGTACCCCAACAACCCATTCTCCATATAGCAACTGCAATGTTCTTTTTAAAAAGTAAAAGGCCTGGCACAGTGACTCATGTCTGTAATCCCAGCACTTTGGGAGGCCAAGGAGGCCGGCGGATCACTTGAGGTCAGGAGTTCGAGACCAGCCTGGCCAACATGGTGAAACTCTATCTCCATAAAAATACAAAAAAAAAAAAAAAAATAGCCTGGAGTGGTGGCCTGCACCTGTAATCCCAGCTACTTGGGAGGCTGAGGCACGAGAATCCCTTGATTCTCCGCCAGGGAGGCGGAGATTGAAGTGAGCTGAGGTCACGCCACTGCATTCCAGCCTGGGCGACAGAGTGAGACTTTGTCTCAAAAAATAAAAATTAAAAAAAAAAGTAAACATCAAAGAACGCTACTCCCATGCTTAAAATCCTCCAGTGCTCTTGGGAGAACTCTTGGAAAAAAAAGTCCAAACACTCCTGGCCAACAGGCCCTAAATAATCTGGCCTAAAGGACTCTTCCCCCTCATCTCCCAATGCCTGCCTCTGCTCTCTACAGGAATCCGAACTCCACCAGTATTTGAAGACCCGGCCTTTGCTTTAGGACATTACTGCATGCATTTACTAGATGCTTCAATATTCGGGGGAGGAGACCTTTTGAGCATTTTCCTTCTGCCTGCTTTCTAAACTGTTCTGTCACTTTCAACTGTCACTTCCTACAAGCAGTGGACTTACCCGCAGCACGTTTCTTTATCCCTCAGGCACAAATCCAATGCTTACCCAAGAATTTTTTTTAACCTTTTCATCATGGAAAGTGGTTGTTCTTCATCAAAACGAAATTCTAACATTTCGTTCCATCTTTCATCATCAAATCAATATCCAACCTCCATCTGAGGCTCAACAGATGCTAAATGAAACAAATGTTTTTACTCATCCTTAAGAAGGTACATGTAAGTAACCAAGGCACAGTAGAGTTTAAAAAAAAAATGAGAATTTATACAAGCAACTAACCTGCCACCTTTAACCCTTTAAATAAAACTTAGATTTGAGCGAACCCAATGGGATAAATAAGACACTCATTCATCTGCCCGCTTTGAAATCAACCTACCCTCCTGGCCTCGAGCTGTTCCTTATTTTCTGATCCAGTGGGGGACTTGGCCCAGAAGAAGCCAATGAAAGGCAAGGCAGAGAGAATATCCGAGAAGGGGGCGAACTGAGAGCCGCTCTGCTGGCGCCCGAGGACGCCCCCGTTTCGGTGGCGACAACGGTAGGAGAGCACCAGGCCCAGCGAGAGGAACACCAGCATGCACAACAGGAGCTCCCTGTTGGCTAAAGTGATGACGTCTCCGCATTTCTTATAAAAATAGGTGAAAGTGGCAATGCCCAGAAAAGTCCACATGGTTCCAAGGCTTCTTTGGTGGCACCAGTCAAGGCGGAGATTCTCTTCTCGGGTGGGTTTAAGGTTCTCCCCAATATGCGGTATCAAGAGGAGCACAGGGAGCCGGCCAGACTCCAGTAAACAGTATCCCAGGACGAGAAGTCCGATCAGACCAGTTTTTAAAAATCATATAAAGTTAGTGTAAAAGTATGTGAATCCAAGTTGTATAGGACGTAGAAAGCAATACTTAAAATTTGCCTGCTGTAACAGCTCCCGAGCAGACTCGCTCCTCCGCGCCCAGGAAATCCAGAATCCCCTTTTTTCTTTTTTGGTGGGGTTCCCGGGGCTGTTGCTGGGGGTGGGATATTCTGATGCTGGCTCTTCGTGTTGTAATTTATTTCTTTTCTCACCAGCAGCAGGTGCCCTTTCAGATGGGAATGGAGGTGGAGGGAGGGTCACAGAAACACCCTGGCACTGGGGGAAACGCGGCCTCGTCTCTGTAGACAGCGGTGGCGAGCAGTGGCCGGAAGGCACCAAGGCTGCGGGCCGACGCGGGCTCAGAGGCTTCTTTTTCCGCCTATGGCGATGCTGCACATCTCACCCTCGGGAAAACGCCTGTGCCGCCGCCTTCTCCAACAAAAGATGGCCTCGGACTCGAGTGCGGCTCCAGGGCAGCGTAGCCTCAACCTCAAGATTTAGCGGCCTCCCCCTTTGCCGGCCCCCGAAACTGCCAGCCGCGACTACGCTTCCTCACCGGTGAAAGGCAGTTTCCAGGGAGCCTCCCTCAGACGGCTGCGGCGGCTCCCGACGGCCTCCTCACTAGCATCCCTCGTGGGCGGCGCGGCCGCAGTAACCAGAGTAACCACCGCGCGCCACCTCTCGCCGCCGGGCCCCACGCGCCTCCGCAGACCCGGCGGGCTTGGCCCAGGCGAGGGACCAAGGGGCGGGGCTCAGGCGCGAGTCCGCCCGTCCCGCGCGCCCTACGTGCCGGCCCCGCACCCCGCACCCGCCCCTGCTCCCGCCGCCGCCGGCCAATGAGGGCGCGCACCGCGCGGTAGGCCGAGATGGCGCTATGCTGCGTTCGGCCAATCGCAGGCGGCGTAGCCTGCGCGGCGACGCCCCGAAAGACTCTAGGGCGATGTTGCGTGGTGTCGGGTGGGGGCGTGGGGATGGGCGCGGGCCGGCTCGGGCGGGGGTGGGGCCTGGGTCGCCCGGGACGCTCTCCGTAACCCGGGTCGGGGTCGGTTCACCGCAGCAGTCCCAGCTCCTGCGCCCTCCCTGGGCAGAGGTGCTCTGAGGAGAAACCTGGGGTGATCTGCCTCGGTCCGGAACGTTTCCATTGATTCCGCAAGCACTTAATGAGCGCTTATTATGTATCAGTCCCCGGAGTTCGAAAGACGAATCAGACACAGCTTCCCTGCCCTGTGTATGTGGAGTGGGCGGTAGGGAGAGCCGTGAGTGCGTGGAGAACCTGTCGTTCAATATATATAGAGGTCAATCTCTAAGAAAGAGTTTATCTGGGAATGTGCAAGAATTGCAATTCAGGACACTCAGACCTGGGCAGCCCCTGCATGTGTCCAAAGAACAAAGGGCTTTATTGGGAAAAGGAGGAAGGTAAGTTGTTTTATAAGAAAATTCATTGGTGCTGGCAGTGAATGCCAGGAGCTGGCAAGTTCTGATTGATGAGTGGCAGCACGTATCAGGTAAGATGTAATCTTAAAGCCACAGGTAGGTTACTGTAGGTTTTTTGTTGAATTGAAAAATAGTTTATGGAATAGGTGTATGGGAACTGGGTGCCCTTTCCTATGCCTCTTTACTCCATTTTAGTTGGTAATAACAAGAATGACTCCATTTTATACAATCAACTTTCACAATATCAATTTTAAAAACTAGAAAATATTCACTTGCTAAATCAGAGTTGAATCTAGTCTCCTAGATATGGGGTACCCCTCCTTTTCTGAACTGGGTGGCAATATATATTGAACTAGCCAGCCTCTTCCTCAACCATTCTTCCTCTTGGCACTTCAGGCTGTGAGCCTTGGCTCACTTCCCTGGTTCTTGGGAGTAGGTCCTAGTATATCCACTGGAATTGTGCTGAGGGCAGTAAAAGAAAAGCCAGAGTAATTATTAAAATGATTCAACCCAAGGTGAATTTCAGCTGATCCTAAGCCAAGGAGAAAGGGAGTGAAGAGGAAAAAGATATCTAAAAAAGCTGCCTTAAAAGGTTTTTATCATATTAATATATTGGCCATGAATTACAATAATATGTAATTTATTTACCAATTATTTGTTGTTCTCCCCCTCTCCCTTAAAGGGTTTAACAAAATTATTTAAATTGGTAAAGATTCTGGAAAGTAATTAAGCAATATGCCTTTAAAACAATGTATTCCCTTTGATTCAATAATCCTACTTCTAGGAATTCACCTGAATTAGTAAGGGTTCTCCAGAGAGACAGAAGAAATAGGATATATGGAAAGGGATTTATTAGGGGAAACTGGCTCACACTGACACAGAGATGATGTCCCACCATAGGCCATGTGCAGGCCAGAGCATCAGCAAAGCCCGTAGCATGGCTTAGTCTGGAAGCTTCAGATGATGCAGCCCCCAGTTTGAAAACAAAAGCCTGACAATCTTGGGAGGACACTGGTGCAAATCTCAGGGTCCAAAAGCCAAAAAACCTGGAATCTGATGTCCAAGGGCAGAAGAACAAGCATCCAGATCTGGAAAGCAGACAGCAGAGAACAAGGGTCCCCCATCTTCTTCTTTGTCTCAGCCGGCCCTTAGCTACCTGGATGGTGCCTGCCCACATTGAGGACAGGTTTTCCTCTCTCAGGCCACTGACTCTTGCATCAGTCTCCTCTGGAAACACCCTCAAAGACACATCCAGACATCATGTTTCACTAGCCACCTACACATCCCTCAATCCAGTCGACACCTAAAATTAACCATTGCAAGTCCACCCCTTGTTAAACTTATCACCCATACACATCTCCTTAAACCATACTTCTTCTCCAAATAAAGACAATAAAAGGTCATAATTCCACTTAACGTGATACAACTATCCTGTGTACAACTGAAAACGCACAAATCCCATCTCCAGAAGAAGTGAACTTTAGTGATGTTTACTCTTCTGATACCCTATAACTTAAATACTATGAGGTAAAATTAACAATACGTCAGCACTAAAATAAAGTCAATAAATTATATGTTAATGCTAAATGAGTAAGAGGAAAGAAAACAAAGATATCTGTGTAAGATATATGTATCTACGCATGAAGGTATTAACAAAATAGGGAGGAAATAGTCATGACAATTACATCCTCAATTCTGTTAACTGGTCATGTGGGTATAGCTGGTATTTATAACTACCTTTTTCTATTGTATATGCTGTATTCCCTTTGCCTTCAACTTTAGCAAGAACCTCAGCTGGTTGTGGTTCTCCACCTGGTGGGGTGACACAAACCTTCATTCCTAAAGTGTCTGGGCCAGCTGTAGTCCTGCCTGGATTCAGTTATTGTATAATAGTTTGCCATTGACCTTAATCAAAGGGCATGGTAAAACGAAGGGATTTCCTGTATTTCACACAAATTCTTCCTTCCCTCCATTGTGGAGTAATAGTCCAATTTCACCCTTGGTAGTGCAGATCAATTACCCCAGCCAACACCTTAACTCCCTTCTTAGCCTATTAACTCAGAGGCATGTGGAGACCAACTGGCCGGGTGGCAGTTTTAAACTTCCAATTTAATGAAATTACTGTTGTGTCTGCCAGTAAAAGTATTCCTCCCTCTGGAACTAACGCCTTTAAGCCAGCGAAGCAAGTCACTGTAACAGAAAACAAACATTTTGCTGGTGGGTCACTAGGGGCAATTATGAGTGGTACCACTCCCATTTTCACCTCTTGACTGCTGGACCCATGAGTCCTGGCTATGGGAAAAACAGTATTATATATTGGATGCTGATTCAGAGTATATACATCCTCCTAAAGAACCTTGTCCCAGTCCTTCACAGTATTAGCACCTAGCTAGCACTGGAACTGTGACTTCAGAAGGTCAATCTGCCATTCTATCAAGCCAGCTGCTTCAGGATGACAGGTAACAAAGTAAAACCAATGAATTCTATGAGCATAACCCACTGCCACACTTTGGCTGTGAAATGAGTTCCTTGGTCAGAAGCAATGCTGTGTGGAATAACATGATGGTGAATAAGGCTTTCAGTAAGTCCATGGATAGAGTTTTGGCAGAAGCCTTGCATGAATGGAAGACAAATCCATATCTAAAGTTAAGTGTCTATTCCAGTAGACATATAGCTGCCCCTGTAATCAACCTGCCACCAGATAACTGATCACTCTGGGGAATGGTGCCATATCAGGAGTTCAATGTTGGTCGCTTGCTGGCAGAATGGACACTCAGTAGTAGCTGTAGCCAGGTTGGCATTGGTAAGTGGGGGTCCATGTTGCTGAGTCCATGGGTAAACACTATCTCTGCCATCATGGCCACCTTGCTTATGAGCCCATTGGGCAATGACGGGGTAGCTAGGGAAAAAGGCCTCCTGGTATCCACAGAACAAGTCATTCTATTTACTTGATTATTAAAATTCTCCTCTGCTGAGGTCATCCTTTGGTGAGCATTCATATGGCACACAAATATCATCACATATTTTGCTCAGAGAGGTCTATCCATAAACCTCTTCCCCAAATTTCTTTATCACCAGTTTTCCAATCATGTTCCTTCCAAGTTCTTGACCATTCAGCCAATCTATTCACTATAGCCCATGAATCAACATGTCATCACACATCTGGCCATTTTTCCTTCCAAGCAAAGTGCACAACCAGGTGCAATGCCTGAAATTCTGTTCACAGGAGGATTTCCCTTCACTACTTTCCTTCAGGGATGTTCTAGAAAGGGGCTGCAGTGCTGTGACTGTCCACTTTCAGGTGGTGCTTGCATATATGAAGAACCATCTGACAACTAGACCCTAGTCTTCTCTTCCTCTGTCAGCTGGTCACAGGGTCCTCCCCATGAGGCCATAAGTGCAGGTTGGGAGAGAGAAGAGAGACTAGCAGCAGGAAACATAGGCATTTGGGTCCCTTCCTCAGGGAATCTCCTTTACCTTCAGGACTTGCTCAGGCTGATCAAGTATACCCCACTTCCATTTGATGATGGAGTGCTGTGTACTCACCCAACTTTATGGCTTGCTGGGTTAGATAACACCCAGTTCATGATAGGGAGTTCAGGTCACATGGTAACTTGGTGGCCCATGATCAAGCATTCAGTTTCTGCTAAGGTCCAGCAGCAGGCCAAGAGCTATCATTCAAAAGGAGGGTAGTTATCTGTGGATGATGGCGGGGCCTTGCTCCAAAATCCTAAAGGCCTCTACTGTGATTTACCAATGGGGTTCCACCAAAGGCTCCAAACAGCATCCCTATCTGTCAGTGACATCATAAGTACCATTGAATCAGCTAGATCATAGGGCCCAAGTGGCAATGCAGCTTGCATAATAGCCAGGATCTGTTGCAGCCCCTCTTGCATCTAGAAGCTTTTCTAGTCACTCAGTAAATGGGCCAAAGCAACATACCCAAGTGAGGAAAGTGTTGCTTCCAAAATCCAAAAAGGCCCACTAGGCATTGTTTCTTGGTTACAGAAGAGGCCAGATGCAAGAACTTATCCTTCATCTTAGAAGGGACAGCTCAACAGGCCCCAAACTACAGGACTCCTAGAAATTTCACTGAGATAGAAGGCCCTTGAATTTTAGTTGGATTCATATCCCACACTCTGACACACATATGTTTTACCAGTAAGCCCACAGTGGTTGCTACTTCTTACTAGGAACAATCAGCTTAGTGTCATCAATGTAATGGACCAGTATGACATCTTGTGAAAGGGAAAGTCAATCAAGATCTCTGTAAACTAAGTTACAACATAGGGCTAGAAACTTGATATACACCTAAGGCAAGATAGTGAAGGTGTTTTACTGACCGTTATGGACACGTATAGAGAAAAATGCATTTGCCAGATCAATAGCTGCATACCAGGTACACAGAGATGTGTTAATTTGCCCAAGCAATGAAACCACATTTGGTACAACAGCTGCAATTGGAGTCAGCACTTGGTTAAGCTTACAATAATCCACTGTCATTCCCCAAGATCTGTCTGTCTTCTACAGAGGGCAGATAGGAGAGTTGAATGAGAATGGGCGGGGAACCACCACCTCTGCATCTTTCAAGTCCTTCATGGTGGCACTAATCTCTGAAATCCCTCCATAAATGTGATATTATTTTTGATTTACTATTTTCCCAGGTAGACACAGCTCTAATGGCTTCCATTTGGCCTTTTTCATCATAATATCCCTCATTCCACAGATGAGGCAACCAATGTGGAAATTCTGCTCAGTATGCTAAGTATGTCTATTCCAACTATGCATTCTTGAACTGGGGAGGTGACCACAGGATGGGTTTGGGGACTCACTGGACCCACTGTAAGTCAAACCTGAGCTAAAACTCCACTGATCACCTGACCTCTATAAGCTGCTACTCTGACTGGAGGGCCACCATATTTTGGGTCTCCTGAAATCAATGTCAGTTCAGAGCCAGTTGTTAGTAGTTCCCTGAAAGTTCTGATTACTTCTCTTTCCCCAATGCACAGTTATCCTAGTAAAAAGCTGTAGGTATTAACAGTATAAATGTTTGGTAGTATACCCAAGTAAAGGGTAGTGTACCCTTTATTCAAGGGGTTCTGGGTCTGTAAACTGGTTCAAGTCTGGAAATTGAGCAGCCATGATTATGTTTTTAATATTTGAATTAGACTTTTGTTTACTTGACCTGGAAGTTTTCTGCTTATACAGATCAAGTAAGAAGATAGTAAGCTTCCCATCTATTTCACTTCTAGGAACACCAAGATTAATTAGCCAAAGCCAAAGGTCTACATGAGTTATTCTGATTGTTGCTTTGCCTCTGCTATTCCTTCATTATGGTAACTATGCCCACTTTGCCTTTGGCAGTTGAGTTTTGCCACCTTGGAATCCAGTTCTTCCCATTCTTTTCCAATCAGTGACCTCACTTTAACAGTAAACATCCTGTGAGGCTGAGTGCCCCTTTCTTTGTAGGTAAAAATAGTTGCATGATCAGGGCTTGCATTTGGGTTTTGGTAATTTCAACCCTAAGGCTCTTGGGGAGAAGATTCTCCTTCAGGGAACACTTAGAAGTTTCTGGACTATTTATGTATACCTGGAGTTGAGAATTCAAATCTCTGAGCTCATCTTTTTCTTTCATTGCTTTGTCCAGCAATATTAGTAGCAACCAACTAATGTCATTATGTTTCTTGATTTTCCACAAATGTCCTAAAATATCACATACAGAATCACCAAGTGCATAGCCCCTTGTAAGTGGTGAATTAGGACTGTCACGTGCATTTATTTTGTATATCTCTATAAACAGCTCGACAATGGACTATCAGTGCTGTCTGTACTGTTAGAGTCTCTAGCATTTTTAGCTCTAATTAGATTAGAGGGCCAATTCCAGAAACCCCAAAACCAATTAAGAAAATCCCTTAAAATTCTGTTCCTCTGGAAGTACTCCTAGTATCAAACCCTCATCTTATTTCCCTAGTTCTTAAGGCAGTTCTTGATGATATTCCTTGAAATTATGCATAGGGCAGCAAAAGGAAAAAGTAATTCTTAAAATGACTCAACCCAAGGTGAATCTCAGTTGATCCTAAGACCAGGAGAGGAGGAACAAGACTATCTTTGAAAAAACCATCTCAGGTAAGGTGCAGTGGCTCATGCCTGTAATCCCAGCACTTCGGGAGGCCAAGGCAGGAGGATCACTTCAGCCAGGAGCCAATAAACCATGGATAAGGGTGGACTACTGTAATGGCAGTCTTGTTGTTACCAAATGCTACGCTTTAGTATCCCCACTAAAACTCATGTTGGGACCTTAATTCCCAGTGCAGCAATATTGGGAGGTGGAACCTTTAAGAAGTGGAGCCTAATGGGAGGCATCTGGGTCATGGGGACTCCCTCTGACCTTATGGGCAGCGTGCTGCCAATTCTTGCATTAGTGAGTGACCTCTCTCTCACATGAGACAGGATTAGTTTCTGAGAGCGAGCTGTTAGGAAGCGATTACAACTCTCATGTTTTGCCCCTCTATACATGTTCTCTTCCCCCTTGACCTCTGCCATGTTATGACATAGCACAGAAGCCCTCACCAGAAGCCAAGCAGATGCTGGCCCCTGCTCTTGGACTTTCCAGCCACCAGAATCATGAGCCAAATAAACCTCTTTTCTTTATAAATTACCGGGCCTCAGGGATTCTATTATGGCAACACTGAAGAGACTAACACCATGATTTCAGAAAATAAGACTGGCTGAGATGCATGTGTCAAATTAATGCTTAAAAACAACAGTCACAGTACTGCTAAACTCCACTACCTCTCACCATCGGTGAAGAAACTTCTACAGCACTAAGGAGAAGGCCCATTTGGTAGACCCAATTTGGATGACTTGGGATGATGGAGGTAATCCCAAGTAGTAAACAGTAGATCTTAGTTACAATACAGATTTATGGTCACATGCCCTCTGGTAGGCTGTACAGCAGTTAGGGAGTGAGTTCCCTGTGATAGTTGTGAGTACATGCATTGACATGGCTCTCCCCTATGCTATGGCATGAAAATATACATGAGCTCCTTCTTTGAGTAGGGAAAATATTCATATAGGTGTCTTCTATTTAATTAAAAAGAGACTATGAAATAAAGCACTGATAAATAAAAAATGCTTTCTTTATTCACATGCTGAATCCTTTGTGCTAGCAAGAAAAAGAGAGACTATAGAATATGTCTTTCTCATGGATCTAAACAAAGAATATGTCTTTCTCATGCTGATTAATGAAACTGAAATAAAAGCATCACTTATTATGTTTGACTATGTTATATTCTCCATCATAAGGTACAAATCTCTCTTTTGTTTTCCTCATTTTCAATCCAAAGAGATAAGGATTTTTGCCAAATTGTTCTACTAATGGAGCCCATCTTAACCCATCTAAGATGTGTACATCTTTTTTCTGGTTGACATCAAGGTTTGTAAAATAGGTTTTTTGTTGTTTGGTTTTTTTTGAAACGGAGTTTCGCTCTTGTTACCCAGGCTGGAGTGCAATGGCGTGAGCTCAGCTCACCACAACCTCCACCTCCTGGATTCAGGCAATTCTCCTGCTTCAGCCTCCTGAGTAGCTGGGATTACAGGCATGCGCCACCGTGCCCAGCTAATTTTTTGTATTTTTAGTAGAGACGGGGTTTCACCATGTTGACCAGGATGGTCTTGATCTCTTGACCTCGTGATCCACCCACCTCGGCCTCCCAAGTAAAATAAGTTTTATATATTGCCAGCCATCATGTTACACTGTACAGGTGATGGTGACAGGACATAAATTGTACCTGTTGTTAATCTTTTCAGGTGCAAACTAAATTAAATTGAACTTGCAACTCTGTTCTTTCCTAATTTAAACCAAATCCTTTGTTTCATGAATAAAAAGATAATTTAGTAAAATTTCCTGTCTCTCTGTTATAGCTGCTTACAGAGTGAATAAAGGTGTTTTAGACCATCTGCCAACAATATAATCCTGTTCTTTTCCAGCATTTTATCCCTTAAAACTTCTGAAGTTGGATCATAAAGAATCTACAAGTAAGATAAGTTTGGGGCTATACTACTATTTTTAAAACGTAGATAACTTTTTTTTTCAGTTTGTTTCAATTAATAATAGCAACAACTAATTACCATTTACTGATACCCTGCTATGTTTAAGCTATGTGCTTTGCAAACATTTACTTAATGTTTATCGTAACTCTGTAAGGTAGACATTATTTCTGCTTTATAGATGAGGGAACTGAGGCTCAGAGTGGTTACCTGCCACACAGCATGTGATTGATTTTTTATCACCCCAACTACTGCTTACTTGCAACTGAATTTCAGCCTCAACAGCAAAGTCCTAAGTTTAATTATAATGCATTAATCAAACTATTTACTGTAAAAATCTGTCCCAAAATATTACAATTTAAGAAAATGTGGGCAATACTATATAACATACAAAGATAGAAGGATACTCAGGTGAGGTCACATAAAAGCCAATAATGGGCTGGGTGTGGTGGCTCACACCTGTAATCTCAGCAGTTTGGGAGGCTGAGGGAGGAGAACTACTTGAGGCCAGGAGAGTTCAAGACCAGCCTGGGCAACATGGCAAGACCCTGTCTCTACAAAAATTTAAAAATTAGCTGGGTGCAGTGGCGTGCACCTGTAGTCCTAGCTACTCATGAGCATGAGGTGGGAAGATCCCTTAAGGCCAGGAGTTTGAGGCTACAGTGAGCTATGATGGTGCCATTGCACTACAGTCTGAGTGACAGTGTGAGACCTTATCTCTTAAAAAAATTAATAAGAAAAAAATTAAAAGCCAACAATGCCCAATGTTGTCCCCATTTTGAAAGCAGAACATTTCCCCCAAATTCTTCTTCAAAACTTTGCTAGTTTTTGCTTTATTTTTGTAATCAAATAACAATACAAAAACACACAAATGCCTTGCCAGCATCAGGTGCACCACAATCATGAAAGATAAAATAATCCCCAGGCAATTAAATGACCATCAGCTACAGCCCTTTGCATCAGCTACAATGGACCCATTCTGGCTTCACATTCCTAATATGTGTCTCTGCATATTATTCATAAAATATATTCTGAATCCAAAAATTAGATGAAATCACGGGCAACTCAGGAGTCCTAACCTTCCTACTCATCTACCTGTTACACTAGTAGGAAAAAATGGGAGGAAGGAAATCGGATATATCTAATACTTTCCAAAGCAATATTTCCATATGAATGAGTAGGGAAGATGAGGCCTGTTATCAGATCCATATACCAATTATGTCAAGAGGCAAAAGAAAACTGTCAGTACTGAAGTGAAGAAGTCTCAGTACTCCTTAATGGCAAACTGTCCTTGGACACTAGCTCAGAATTAGTGAGCTAATTATTAGAAAAAGAACCCAGTTCCTGAGCTGACCTAGAATTACATAATGGGATAACTTGGGGAAAAGACTCTTCATTAAAAATTTTAAGACAGAATTCAGGAATCCTTCTTCCTATCCTGGCTTTGGTCAAGACAGTGAGATCATATCACTAGATAACTCAGTTGGCTGCACATAAATTAGAACACACAATCATTAAAATATCCAATCTCTAAACCCAGTGTCTTCAAAACTCTATCCCAATTCTACTCTACAGTATAATTCCTTCTGGAGAGCAAATCCTTCAGAGCACATTTCTACAGTCTTATAGAAAATATTTATGGGTCTGTCAAGAATGATGATCTTGAATGAAAGAACGTTGTATAATCAATATTATACAAGCCACTGGTCACACAGAGCTACTGAGCACTTAGAAAGTGGCTAGTGTGAGGAACTGGATTTAAAATTTCAATTAATCTTAATACAAATAGCTACATATGGCTAGAGGCTATGGTATTGGACAGTATATTTCTAGATGCTATAATAGTTCATTTTTAGTGACTAAAAATGAAAAAAAATAGAATATTTTCTTTCTTGAGCCCCAACAAAATAGCCAGGAAATCACATTATTTACTCAAAAAGACCTTTTCTCTAGGCCAGTAATGATGTATATCTACCCAATAAAGGAAGAAAACATAAATCAATGGGAATTCTAGCTTCAGGTTCTCACAGATTCCTTTGCTTACTCTCAGGATTACTCTGTAGGTGTTCTTTTGAAGCTATTACTATCTTACCTTAAATCAAAAAAGTCCTCCTTTCTTCATCCTTGGTGGATGAATCTCTCACTGGACAGATCCAATAACCTGGTGATTGGGCTCTTCCCGTCCTTTAAACTGGGAGGTTGACTTTTTCCAAATGTTTTGACAAACACACCAAAGAAACTTTATAGATCACAATAATCAGAGAATACCTAAATTGTCATGGTCCAACAAGAAAGAAAAAACAGTCACCAGGTTTTGGGACTCAGGAAGATGTATTTGATACTGAAAATGAAGGGATGGGGGGCACTTCCCCCAAACAGTTTTTCCAAGTCCATTCATGAGGAAAATTCCCAACATCAGGAGATTCAAAAGGCTTTTCTATGTGAATTTTCCGATGCTGATTGAGGTAGGCACTTCTGCTGAAGCATTTCTCACAGCTGGTACATTTGTAAGGTTTTTCCCCTACATGGGTCCTCCGGTGCCTGATAAGGTTAAAGCTCTGACTGAAGCATTCACCACAATCAGGACATTTATAAGGTTTCTCTCCTGTATGTGTCCTTTGGTGAATCACCAGGGTGGAACTCTGACTGAAAGTTTTCCAGCACTCAGAACATCTGTAAGGTTTTTCTCCTGTATGTGTCCTCTGGTGTCTAATGAGATGGGAGCTAAGGCCAAAACTCTTTCCACATTCACAACATCTATATGGTTTCTCTCCTAGCTGGATTCTGCAGTCTTCTATCACACTGCAGTTCTGATTCAAACTTTCTTCATATTCAGAACTTTCATAGGATTTCTCTCCTTTGTGCGTTTTCTGGTGTGTAATAAGGTTTGAACTACGACTAAAATTCTTCCCACATTCTGAACATTGATAAGGCTTCTCTCCTGTGTGTATTCTCTGATGTTTTATTAGAGTAGAATTACAACCAAAGCTTTTTCCACACTCAAGACATTTGTAGGGCTTCTCACCTGTGTGTGTCCGCTGGTGGCGAATGAGGCTGGAACTCTGACTAAAACTCTTCCCACAATCAGGGCACTTATAAGGTTTTTCTCCAGTGTGAGTCCTCTGATGTTCTATTAGGACATAACTGTGACTGAAGCCTTTTCCACAGACAGAACATTCATACGGTTTTTCGCCTGTATGTGATCTGTGATGCTGAATAAGGTGAGAGCTGCTGCTGAATCTCTTCCCACACTCGGGACATTTATAGGGTTTCTCTCCCGTGTGAGTTCTCTCATGGATAATAAGATGGGAGGTATTGCTGAAGCTCTTCCCACATTCACCACACTTGTAGGGCTTCTCTCCCGTGTGCATTCTCAGATGCTGAATCAGGTGAGAACTGTTACAAAAGCATTTCGCACACTCAGAGCATTTATAAGGCTTTTCTCCTGAGTGGGTCCTCTGGTGAGTACGCAAGTGAGAACTATTATTGAAGCTTTTCCAACATTCGGAACATTTGTAGGGTCTGTCTACAAAGGATGAATTCTGCTGGACAGAGGCATTGGTATGTTCTCCTAGGTCCCATTCCTGGTGATTGGGTTTTTCCTCCTCTTTAGGTATAGAGTTTCCCCAATTCTCTGACTTACCATCACTCTCATAGGAATCATGACACCAAATCTCATCTTGAACCCATGTCAATGGCATTTCTTTTGCATCGTCATGCTTATAATGTTGTGGTCTGTGTCTTTTAGACCATTCTGAAGGTTTCTCTTTAAGATTATCTGCCTTAGGATTATTGTGGTGAACAGTTTCCAAATTATTCATACTTTCATCTCCTGCAAGAATAAACAAATATCCTAACCATATTCCTAAATCTCTGCCAGAGAAATAAATTCTAAATTGCAGTGGAAGAGAGGAAATAACAATGTGAAACCTCATAAGTAATTACATATAAAAAAGTCTTTAAGGCCGGGCACAGTGGCTCAAGCCTGTAATCCCAGCACTTTGGGAGGCCAAGGCGGGTGGATCACGAGGTCAAGAGATCAAGACCATCCTGGTCAACATGGTGAAACCCCGTCTACTAAAAATACAAACATTAGCTGGGCATGGTGGCACGTGCCTGTAATTCCAGCTACTCGGGAGGCTGAGGCAGGAGAATTGCCTGAACCCAGGAGGCGGAGGTTGCTGTGAGCCGAGATCGCGCCATTGCACTCCAGCCTGGGTAACAAGAGCGAAACTCCATCTAAAAAAAAAAAAAGTTTTTAAAGACAGTTTTACTTCTTTTCCTCTGTTTATCAGAAGCAGGTGGATGTTTTTTTGTACTTAGCAACAATACTGATGAATTATTTGAATCATTATTGGCAAAGGGAACATCAAACTAAAAATAAATGCATTAAATTTTATTCTAGAAGACTTAAGAGAAAAAAACAGGACTGATAAGAACAGGAGTGAAATTGAACAGAATACCATCTCAGGTAAAAACTAGGCAACAGCTTTGCTAAAATCTGAGCAAATACTATACAAATAACAATAGCCACTATTTATTAAGAACAGTGGCTTTGGATGTGGTATCTCAGTAATCCTAAAATATGTGTGAGACAGATACTCATTTTCTTAAAGATGAGAACAATGAGGCTGAAATAATTAACACAACTTATAAGTGACAGCACAAGGAATTAAATTAATGTTTGTCTCATTATAGTGTCTTGTTCTTTCTACATCAAATTTCCTAAGGATTCAGATCATTTTCTTGATCCCTCACCTGTGAAGGGGCTTTCCAAATTCTCCCTCTTTGTGAAGCTGTTATAGTCTGAGACCAACAGTTCTTTTTCTTGCTCCATCACAATGATCACAGCCAAGTTATGGATCAAAAACCCTGTGGATGGAAATAAATTATGTTTGGAGGTATTTGTTCATACTTATTCTTCCTCCTTCCTTCCCAACCATTCCAACATTCCTTCCCAACCATTCCAACATAACAATAGGAAGCACAGAATGTTCATGATCCATACTGAAAATAAGAAACACAACTCTTAGCAACCCTTTTAGAAAATCTTATCTCTAATGCAAGTATTTAGAATTAACGGTTAACCCAATTAAACTTTTCTAAAGAAATAACAGTGCAGAAAATTAAATCTCCACATTAAAGGTTTGAAGATCAAGCTTCAAAGATAGAATACTAATCTTCATTGTCCAAGCGTAGCCTAGAAACACTTTTAGTTTAAAAAACATATAAAGACTTCAAGGAATCAATACACAAGCATAAGAAGCAGCTAAAGAAAAAGAAGCACTCTGTTTAGTTTCAAAAGAATAACTTGGTCTTGACAGAAGGAACCCTTTGAAGTCAATTTCAAAGGAAAGTTAGGATTTATATAACCATTAAAGAGAAATCAGGACAAAGCAGGGGTGGAATAATTAGAGCCAATAACCATGAAATATAAAAAGGAAGCTAAAGAGGGGCCTCCTCCTCCTTGCTCTTATTTTCTAAGTCTATCATATTCACAAAATCCATTTCAGCCTAAACTTTGTCTTCTGGAGGCAACAATCATTAACCTATTTTAAGGGACCAGAAAATGTGATCTACCACAGGAAGGCAGTAACATATGGACTTTTGGCATCCATTTCAGAATATGAAGAATATCATAATTTGGGAGAAAATACGGACCTAAAAGGATATTCAAATGTACATATTTTTAAAACAAAAATAGCATCTGTACTTATATTGTATTTTCACCATTACTGCCTAGTATGTGCCAGGTAGTCAATGAAATAATTTGCATATATTTGTCATTTAATTCTTACAATAGCTCTCTGAGGTGTATGAACAACTACCAACATTTTACAGATGAGTTTAAAAGGTATGAAGAAATTCTCCTAAGGTTACCTAGAAAGTGGTAGAGCAGGATTGAGCTCCAAGTCTGACTAGATGCAGACGTTTTTTAACCCACTTACTTATTATCGTAAACTAGATCAGGAAGCAGAGCTGAACATAATCCCAAATTGCAAATAAACCTCAAAGAGTCCCTTTATTTTAGAATATATTGGCTGGCATTTTAGAAAATAGATCTACATTCCTAAGCCTTGTAACAAAGTGAGTTGACATTCGACAAGTACAGTCATTAGCAAGTAGATTTGTTCTAGAGAAGCATGAAACTGTCTACATTACTAATATCCTCAGTGTTTGAATGGGAGGTGGGGAACCATACACCTGAATGCAAAAAAAGGGAGGGGGTGTTTTTCGAATGGAGTTATATATTTTGCTGTCCTAGTTACGTATTGTCATCGAAGTATTTACAAAAGAAGCATGAAGGAACAGTTCCTTCTGGGTAACACATTACCATCCGACCATTTTCCCTACTAAAATACTATTAAATTTGGCAGCAAAGGAGCCCCAGGAACAGTGGCTCAGCAAAATGGTGGCAAATTCAAGGCCATAAAAGGCTGCCATTAAGATGTCACTCCACGGGGAAGGGCTGTTTTCACTGTTATAGAGCAAACAGGTGATTAAGGTGGGGCCGTGCTTTGATCAGAAAGCCTTCAAAGAAAATGCACTGCCTGAAGCCTAGTTTTAAGAACCGCTAACAGGGACAAGCTGGAGACACTAGGGGGTGAAGTTCCAGGATACCAGACGGTCTCCGGCGGACAAGATGCTTTAAGGGACCTGGCAGGCAAGGATGACGGTGGCCTGCCGGCGGGAGCAGCAGCGGGATCTCTCTCCCGGACGTCCACTGCAGCCTGGTCGGAGCTGTTTCCACTCTAGCCCGCAACCCTCGGCTCCCTTCCCCCAAAGAAGGAACTCACTGTTCTGGGGGCTACACCCAAGGCGCCAGCACCCCCAAAAGTCCAGGAGGAAGGAGCCCCCACCCTGTCTCTGACCCCACCAACCCAGGTTCCTAAACCCTCAAACCCGTCAGACAGAAACAGGAAGTTACCCCATATCCCCTAGCGGCTATGCTGGGGCCGCTCTAGGAAACAGTGATGGCCAACTCTCGTTGATCTTAACCCTTAGGGTCCTGGACCCAGAAGGAGCGTGAGGGTGGATTTCCTTTCCTTGTGCTGTGACCAGCCAACTGTGAACCTCATTCCTCTCACTTCTCAGGCAGCTTACGACAGGGGCCTGATTGGAGCTTATATTTTTCCTTGCCATCAGAGCATCATCAGATTGATTATCATCACGATTAGAATCAAAATCAATCTAGTATTTGTTAAACACCTACTGTTTCTGTTCCCACCGCTGTAAGAGTGGATATATATTTACTTATCTGTGAAAGTTAGAGAGCTAAGGCATCCATTCACATATAAAACAATCCGTTTACTTAACACCCGGAAAAGTAGTTAATCCCTCCTCTTTCATTACAGAGAAAAGAGAAGGCAATCCCTTCATCTCACTTCTACCAAACAGAAATCTACTCAGGTCGGCACCCTGCCATTTTCTTTCTTCCCTCCGGTTACAAGAGAATCCCTCTTTGGCATTTTAATAAGCCCTTTACTGGTACTCACTTTCCTACCCATCTTCTTGGAAACTTTACACTACCAACTAAACTCTCAATCCCTCCACTTCCACCCCCAAATAGTCCCTCCGCTTTTCCTTTCTCTTTATACTCACAATGTTTCCATTTCATCAATTTTCCACTAACCTTAACATTTCTCCTGTAACAACAAGAAAAAATCACTAGCATCACCAGTGACCTCCATGTTGTTAATGCAACTGGTATTTTTTAGTTGTCAGGTCCCTTTTCAGGAGGTTTGACGTGGCTAAGGACTCGTTTTCTAGAACACTTTTGAGGTGATACCACATTCTCCTCCTTTTCCTCCAACATCTCTAGTCAGTTCTGTTAATCTCTTTTCCAAGTCAGTCCCTCAAGGTCATTCTATCCCTCTCCTCTTATTACTGAATGTTCTCTGCCTAGGCAATCTCATTCATACCCCCATTTTCAAATACCACCTAGACAGACAACTCAAAAATTTTCTTCTCCAGCCCAAGCTACATGTCTGAGCTCCTCACTTATAACCATGGTCTGCTTGGCATCTCATACAGCAAGTCTCAATAACAACTCAAAACCAAAATGTCAAAAATCAAAATCATAATCTGTCTTTTCTCTCACTGTTCTTCCCCATATACACATGTAAACACAAAACAAAACAAATTTGTTTCTCTTCCAATATTCTTTCAACCAACCATCCAGCTAGATGGAAACCCAGAAGTCCTTCTTTTAACTTCCCTTTCCTTACCTTCCATATACAATTTATAAACAAGCCTCATCTATTGTGTAATAAATAATTCTCACATGTAGTTGTTTCTCCTAACCACCAGGGCTACCACTAATTCAGGCAACCATCACCCCTCACTTGAAGAATTTCCATGCCCTCCTAACTAACAGTCCTATAGATACTCATCCTTGTTCCCTCTCATTCACTCTTCCTTGTTGAATCCAGAGGGATCTTTTCCAAAAATGAACCAGATTCTTTCATGTTCCTTTACCTAGTTGAAGCTTATTCATCCTTCAGATTTCAGCTTACACATCACTTTCTCACAGAAGCTTTCCAGGCTCTTCTATATGGTCTTCTCCTACCATATTTTTTTTCCCCATTGTAGCCCATGTCATGACTGAAGCTTTATGTTTGTGTGATTGATGTATTATTTTGCCTTTCTATTCAGACAGCAAACTCCATGAGAACAGGGCCTGCCTCCGTTTTGCTTATAATTCTGTCTTACAACTTAGCACAGTGCCTGATTCCTTCATTCATTCATTTAACAAATATTTGTTGAAAGCCTACTGTGTGCCTATTACTGTGTTATCTTAGGCACCGAGGATACACCAGTGCACCGAACAATGTGGGTGAGACCACAAATGAACATCAACAAAAAGTGAACAAAGAAATGTATGTTAAGCAGTGATGAGTATTAGAAAAAGAAGTAAAGCAAGTTAAAGAAACAGACACGCTAGGATGCTGAAGAAAGTGTGCACTATTTCAGGTAAGGAGGTCAGGGAAGTCCTCTCAGTAAGGCGATATTTCAGCAGAAGTATGAAGGAAGGAAGGCATGGGCCTCTTTGTTATTTAAGGGAGGAACAATTAAGACAGGAACAGTAAGAAAAAAGACTCTGAGATGGAAACTCAAGAAACAGTAAGGAGCAGAGCAAGTGAAATGAACAGTACGTGGAGATAACGTCAGAGACATTTCAAGAGGCCAGATCATATAGGCCATAAGTGACAGACACAGCGAGGCATCACGCAGACTCCAAGGAAGTACATGTTGCCCACCTTTGAGAGTGCTTTCTGGAGCACATGCCCTTTCCAAGGCAGCCCACGTCTGGTGACTGATCAAGGCAGAAGTATAAAAGCCTGTCCAAGTTGCCCAAAGCAGGATAACTCTTAAATGCACATTTCAGCTCCTGAGTGTTATTTGTTTGTTTGTTTTTTAAGACAATCTTGCTCTGTCACCTAGGCTGGAGTGCAGTGGCACAGTCATGGCTCACTGCAGCTGCAACTGCCCAGGTTCTAGCAATCCTCCCATCTCAGCCTCTTGAGTAACTGGGACTACAGGCACATGCTACCATGCCCTATAATTTTTAAATTTTTTTGTAGAGAGGGGTCTCAGTTTGTTGCCCAGCCTCGATGTGAACTCTTGGGCTCAAGCATCCTCCTGCCTTGGCCTCCCAAAGTGTTGGGATTATAGGTTTAAGCCATGGTGCCCAGACAACTCTTTGAGTTCTTGATGGCCTTGATGAAGGAATCTGTCCAAATTGCAGGTCTTCCCCCTCTGCTCAATCCTAATTCTTTTCCCACCCTTCCACAGGTTTAGATACCAAGGCCATTTCCTAATCAACACCCTGGACACTAAACTTGGTCTCAGAATCTGCTCTCAACAAACAAACAAATGAACAAAAACCTCCAAAATACATACAAAAAATGAAATGTCCTCTCTCACCCTGGCTCCAAGCCATCCAGTTCCTCTCTCCACTGGGGCAACCAATGTTGTGTGTTTCTTGTGTATTATTCACAGATATGCCAAATGTGAGCAAATACCTACCTAACTACTTACATATATAGATACTGTTGGAAACAGATGCTCGGTGCCACAAAGGAAAAATTAGCACTGAGACCAAGGATCTTTCAGCAAGGCAACTTTCACTTCCTGGACTGCAGAAAGGGTACTCTCACTAGCCATCTTGCCATGAGAGTACAACGAACAAAGGAAAGCAGACATATTTATCCCTTATGCACTGGGGATCATCCTTACTGCTGTGTCTGAGCTCCTTTGGCTGGAGTCAGACCTCACAATCTAAACTAAAACCCGATTGGCTAACAACTTAAAACTTTTCTAAACAGGTAAAGGCAATGGAAAGCTGGGACATCCAGCACAGATATCTTGGTTAAGGTACAAGGATATAGAATGTACTACGTGCCTGTAAGCATGGCCTGTCTAACAACTACATAGGATAGGGCTTCACAAAGAGTTATTAGCAGACTTATGATTTATTCTTTAACAAGAAAGGAAACTTTAAAGAGGAACTTTTCTACTTCCCAAACATACATACATATACACATACATAGGTAATAAATAGATGACAGGTATTCATTCATTTATTTTGCTACACATATGATAGTAAACTATTCACTTTGTTCTAAATTTTAGTTTGTTCACTTAACAACATATCACAGAGAGTTTTCTTTTCTTCCCTTTTTTTTTTTTTTTTTTTTTTAATTTTTGAGGCAGGATCTCACTCCAAGCTGGAGTGCAGTGGTGTGATCTCAACTCACTACAATCTCAGCCTCCAGGGTTCAAGCAATCCTACCACCTCAGCCTCTCAAGCATCCGGGACCACAGGTGTGTGCTACCACACACAGCTAATTTTATTTTTTGTGGAGACAGGATCATACTATGGCCCGGGCTGATCTCCAACTCCCAGGCTTAAGTGATTCACCTACTCCAGACTCCCAAAGTGCTGGGATTATAGTCATGAGCCACTGCACCCAGCAATATAATAGTACAGACATTCATCATAGAGCTCCCTGTATGCTTTTCTTTAACAGTTGCATAGTATTCCATTGTGTAAATATACCAGTATTTATTTAATCTGTTTCTTATGTTGCTTCTGAACTTTTGCAATTATATTGCAATGAATAATTTAACCTTTATTTTTTAAAGCTGTGGTGGATATTGTGAATTGGTTTGCTCAATATCCATTCTAACTTTCTTTCATTATGCTTTCCTGCAGAGAAGAGTTGATGTTATGAACTGAATTGTGTCCACCGAAAATTCTTTTTGTTTTTTTGAGATGGGAGTCTCACTCTTTATCCCCCCAGGGTAGAACAGAATGGTGCCATCTTGGCTCACTGCAGCCTCTGTCTTCTGGATTCAAACAATTCTCATGCCTCAGTCTCCGAGTAGCTGAGATTACAGGTATGCACCACCACAACCTGCTAATTTTTGTATTTTTAGTAGAGACAGGGTTTCATTATGTTGGTCAGGCTGGTCTCTAACTCCTGACCTCAAATGATCTGCCTGCCTCAGCTTCCTAAAGTGCTGGGACTATAGGATTGAGACACCGTGTCTGGCCTTCACCCAAAATTCTTATGTTGAACCTGTAACCCCCAGTGTAGCTGTACTTGGAGACAGGCCCTCAAGGGAGTGTTTGAGGTTAAGTGAAGTCATAGAGTGGGGCTCTAATCTGATAGGACTGGTGTCCTTGCAAGAAGACAAGAGGCAACAGAGACATCCCTGTCTGTGTACACACAGAGGAAAGGCCAGGTGAGAGGCCAGGTGAGAACACAGCAAGAAGGTGGCCATCTGCACACCCGGAAGAGAGGCATCATGGAAACTAACACTGACCATACCTTGCTCATAGACTTCTACCTTCCAGAAGTGTGAGAAAATGAGGCTACACATGGTGACTTACACCTGTAGCCCCCATACTTCAGGAGGCTGAGGCAGGAGGACCACTTGAGCCCAGGAGTTTGAGACCAGTTTAGGCAATAGTTAGTGAGACTCCATCTCTACAAACAAATAAAATTTTAAAAACGCTTTGCATGGTGGCATGCACCTACAGTCCAGCTACTCAGGAGGCTGAGGTTTGCTTGAACCTAGGAGTTCAAGGCTCCAGTGAACCATGATTGCACCACTGCACTCCAGCCTGGATGACACAGTGAGACCCTGTCAAAAAAAAAAAAAACATCCAAAAAGCCCCAGAATTCTGAGAAAATGAATTTCCATCGTTTAAGCCACTCAGTCTGGTATTTTGCTATGGTTGCCTAAACAGATGAATACAGTTGAAAAAGCTAAACATTACATTTCTGAGACTTCTTTGAAGCTATAATAGCAGAGCTGTAATGGCAGCTTTGATTGATACTCCTGGAAGCGCACCCATTTCCTCAGTTCTCCCAGTGATTCGGAAAGTTCTTTAATCCTCATAATATATCTTTTATTCCTTATGTCAGCTCAAGTGAATTCTATTCTCTGTCACTGACTAGAGTTAGTACACAGCTAAATTGCTAGGGAGGCTCTAGATTTGGGGTTGAGGGCACACAGAGAAAGTGTGTGGGTTCCCTGGAGTGGCCAGCTTGCAGACAGAACTTCCAGCTGGAGGATGGCTATGTGGTGTGTGCAATCAGGCTGAGACTGGCGTCATAGATCCAGCTCTGAACTGAATGAAGAGTGACGTTTGCCTTCTTACTATCTACTCTAGCTGTGAGGAAACTGTTATGGGAAGAGCGGGGAAAGGAGTCATTGTTATGGCAGAAATTTGGTAACACTGTCACCTGTGCTAACATGTAGAAAATTAGAAATGCACCTAATCGACTCAAACATCTTGGTCAGGGGTTGGAAAATTCATTCTATAAAAGGCTAGAGAGTAACTATTCCATGCTTGTGGGCTGCATGGTCTCTGCTGCAGCTACTCAACTCCTCCACAGTAACTCAAATGCAGACATATGCAAGACTAGTATACAGGCATGGGTGCATTCCAGTAAAACTTTGTATATGAAAATGAGCAACCGGGAGCTGTGGCTCACACCTGTAATCCCAGCACTTTGGGAGGTGGAGGTGGGCAGATTATTTGAGGTTAGGAGTTTGAGACCAACCTGGCCAACATGGTGAATCCCTGTTTCTACTAAAAATACAAAAATTAGCCAGGTGTGGTAGCACATGCCTGTAATCCCAGCTACTTGGGAGTCTGAGGCGGGAGAATCGCTTGAACCCAGGAGGCGGAGGTTGCAGTGAGCCGAGATTGTGCCCCTTTTCTCCAGCCTAGGCAACAGAGTGAGACTCTGTCTCAAAAAAGAAAGAAAGAAAGAAAATGGGCAGCTTGTCCACCAGCTGACCTCTGTGCTAGCTAAGAGATCTCAAGGTAGAACATTAAGCATGCCACTTGGCTTCTTCTCATTGCCTATGGTAAAATGCAAGAGAAAAGAGGTAAGCTAAAGAACCAAACCCTTGAATATATAGGAGCTAGAAACTGCTACATTGGAAACAATTTTTTTTTTTTTTTGCCACATCCCAGCCTCTCCAGATGGCTAATAATGTTAAAATTAAGAAATGACTTCTGAGAAAAGGTCAAATATTGGGCACTGCTAGGAAAAAATGTTCTAAGTAAGAGTCAGCAAACTACAAAAAACCTGTGCAGGTCTTCAGAACATGTCTTGAAGAACTTCTGTGTTAAACAGTGGGACACCAAAGAGCCTGGACCAGAGCAACCACATAAGAAAGCCGAGGGAGAAAAGGGCTTATCTCATGACATTTGCGGGCATACCTTTTGTCTAACAGAGTGAATGATATATCAACACACCAAAAGCCTCAAGGTTTCTGAAAGTATTCTGTCAGCATGGACTGATAGGCACAGAGACAGTACAAAACAGCAAGAGGTCTTCAGAATCCCAAACTTCTACTGCAGGAAGCAGACTGAGCAAACTACTCAGGCACAAATACGGGTTACTACCATCAAGGTATCTAAATTTTGAGACGCTTCTGTTCTGGCTCAACTCTGACCACCATGAGCCTCCCAGTAGATGCAAAACTGCCTGTGGCTCTTAGAACACAGCTTGCTCTTCTGCACCTCTGTGTCTTACCCTCTGCCACCATGGCACTGCCCCATCACTCCTACTCTTGCCTCCTCCCCTACTTCCCATCTATCTGTATAGCAAATGTCCCCTCCTTCTCTTCTCACCAGAAATATCATCTCACCAATTAGCCTCCATTGACTCTTCCCAGGAATACTTAAACCTTTTCTCCTCCCCAGCTTGCAACCATGTATTCTACATGCCCAAAGGTTCTGAACCAATTGAGACTATCTGGCACCCGTATCAAAATGACCAGCTTTGTCACAGGTAAAGCTGGATTGGAGAGATAGCCTGGGGGCGCAGGCCTCCTACGCCATCCCCATGCATTAGACCAGTTGATTGTCTCATTTCCATGGAAGAAAACCCTGCCAAAGAAATTGTACTGACCATATGCACAAGAAGCAGAGCGCAGGTAGCAAATGCTCTGTGGGTGGGAAGGTCTTAGAGAACTCAAGGGGGCCTAAACCACATAGGCTCAGTCTTTCCTGCCCCATTTCACCCATCATAGAAGTCAGTCTTCATGATCCTATAGATGGGTAAAGGGTAAGGATGGGGCCAATGAAATGAAGGGCAGAGGTTATCTTCTACTATTTCCAAGAAAGCAGTTCTTCTTTTATGGGGCTGTAGAAATGTGGGCAACAGGAAAGAATGACTTTCTTTTACATCTCTAAGCTTCTTTTTTTTTTTGAGACAGAGTCTTGTACTGTCACCTGGGGTTGGAGTGCAATGGTGCAATCTCAGCTCTCTTGCCACCTCCACCTCCCAGGTTCAAGTGATTCTCCTGCCTCAGCCTCCCAAGTAGGTGGGATTACAGCTGCCTGCCACCATGCTTGGCTAATTTTTTGTATTTTTAGTAGAGACAGGATTTTGCCAGGCTGGTCTCAAACTCCTCATCTTGTGATCTGCCTGGCTTGGCCTCCCAAAGTGCTGGGATTATAGGCGTGAGCCACCGTGCCTGGCCTATAAGCTTCTTGAAAAGCCATTTAATAAACATCTTTGGCTGAAATCAAGAATGAATAAATGAGGCCAGACGTGGTGGCACACGCCTGTAATCCTAACACTTTGGAAGGTCGGGGTGGGTGCATCACTTGAGGTCAGGAGTTTGAGACCAGCCTGGCCAACACGGTAAAAACCCATCTCTACTAAAAATACAAAAATTAGCTGGATGTGGTGGCAGGTGCCTGCAATCCCAGCTATTTAGGAGGCTGAGGCAGGAGAATAGCTTGACCCTGGGAGGTGGAGGTTGCAGTGAGCCAAGATCATACCACTGCACTCTAGCCTGGGAGACAGAGTGAGATTCCACTTCAAAAAAAAAAAAAAAAAAAAAGTGAGACTCTGAGACTCTGTCTTAAAAAAATGAATTTGTTCATTAGATTGTCTTATATTATAGTATGTTGTGTGGACATCTGTCATCCAGGCTAGCAGGCGAACAATGTGAACACAGCAATCTTGTCTCATTCTTACAATGACTAAATAAACTCTTAGGGTACGATGCCTGGAGGATATTGAGGGCATGGGAAAGTATGGAAAATTTATCAGGTTCTTATATTTTTACTTTCATTTCCTTTGTTCTTTCATTCACTTATTAAACAGTATTTACTGTCTCTTGCTGTTTACTCCTGGAGAGGGTCATCCTGGACAGGCGTTTGTAGAGACTGCCTTGACTCCTGGTCAGCTGACACAGGGCACTGGAAGAGTGAGTTTTTGCCTTTCCTCAGCCACGGCTGTTTTCACGCATCAGTGTCAATAAGGATAATAGTTGAAACTGTGTTGATATGGGTCTCTTAAGAGTGTTTTCAGTTTCAAGTTATAGACAGTGTGTCTTACACTGCTTTAAACCATAAGAACTTTATTCTTCACTGAAGAAATGTTTAAAGCAAGCAGTCCTGTGACGGATAGAGCAGCTGGGTGATGCTTTCAAGGGCCCAGGCCATTTTCTTCCTTCCTGTGCATCATTCTCAGCATTTTGATGACATCTTCCCTTAGGCTTCTTATTTCTTGACTACAAATGGCTGCAGCAACTCCTCCCATCACATTCTAACACGATAGTGTTCAAAGCAGGAAGGGAAGGGGCAAAGGGGGCTTTATTTTCATGTGCCTCTCTCCTATCGAGGAGAAACATATTTTCAAAACCCCCCAGTAGATTTCCCCTTCGTTTTCACTGGCCAGAACCTGATCACACACCCACTGACTAGACCGATCACTGCCAAGGGGGAATGGAGGTGCCGTGATTGGCTGAGGCCAATTGTGTTTTATCCTCTGGAACTGAGCACATTGCTGCCCAAATCGAATAGGTAAAAAGGGAAGACTGACAGTTGAATTAGTAAACAACCCTCTCCCACAACAGACATGAGCAGAAAATAGCGGGAGAAGCCTCTGGGCTGCAGTATCCACAAGCTCTTTGAAGGGCATGGGCCTGGGATGACCGCCTTATCTAAAACACAAATTCTTTCACCTATGACCTCACTCTTTTGGAGCACAAATGAAACCACCTCCACAGGGTTGACAAAAATGGCATGCTGGGTTCTGGACACAAATATAGTTATTTGTAACGAATGCATTTATCAGCTGCAATTTGGCGCACTTCCTTGTTGCTAAAAGTCACTAGATAGTGACCATTTATATTCCCTTTGTTCCTATAGATAGGATCTCTGACATTAGAATCCTGTCTTTTGTTTCAGGACTGCTGAAGATGTTTTTCAGACCCCAAATTCCAGAAACCAGGTTGAAGATCCTCACAGAGGCACAGAAGCAGCATGAGAACACAGCTTCTTCATTCCCATGCCCCCAGTGATCTCTCCACTTCAGCCCACTCCAAAACCCTAAAAACCCGAACCCTAAGTTCCTTGGGGGCAGATGGATTTAAGGTGTTCTCTCATCTTCTCACTTGGTGACGCTATGATTAAACCTCTTTCTCTGCTGCAACCCAAGGTGTATCGTCTGGCTGTGTGTATCAAGGAAGGGACCTCAAGTAAACCCTCAAGGAAGGGTTTACAACTTCTTCCAAAATCCTGAGCTTCCCCTCAAGGGACATTTAATAGACTACCCTGGATGTGATTACTATGTGTCTCATTTGTGGTGCTTTTTTTAGAAAAGTTATTATAATGTCAAACCCATGGAAAAAGAGGCTGGCAGACAGGGCAGCTGGAAGCCCTGCAGGCTGAATTTGGCCTCCGTGGGAGCCTCTGCTCCATGTGGGCAGATTCCAACTGTGCTTCATTTGCACAGGTGACTGGTTGACCCTGCTTGAGTCAGAACATTCTGCAGAGCTTGCAGCTTCTTCGCTTATCTTGACTACATAAGCTCCCCAGGACTTAACTAATGTAACACTTTCATTGTTGCCCCAGGACTTAACTAATGTAACACTTTCATTGTTCTACAAACCACCTCATCCATGCCTTTTTTCTTCTGATCTGTGTTGTGCATACAACACCTACCAGGACAGCTGATGTTGGGAAAGACTGGTGTGTGAAGAGGAAAATTACAGCATAACCTGGTAAATGCTGCAACAGAAATTAACAAAAATATTACTTTGCCCTCCTAGGGAGCAGACTAACTCTTTTTATTTATTTATTTTTTTTTTGAGACAGAGTTTCACTCTTGTTACCCAGGCTGGAGTGCAATGGCACGATCTTGGCTCACCGCCAACCTCCGACTCCTGGGTTCAGGCAATTCTCCTGCCTCAGATTCCTGAGTAGCTGGGATTACAGGCACGCACTACCATGCCTAGCTAATTTTTTGTATTTTTAGTAGAGACGGGGTTTCACCATGTTGACCAGGATGGTCTCGATCTGTTGACCTTGTCAGACTAACTCTTTACCTTCCAGAGCAAGGGAAACACTTTGGAAAAGAGATCAATTGGCCTTTGAAGGATGAATGAGTTTGGTGGATGTTGGAAACAGTTGCTTGGTGCCACAAAGAAAAATTAGCATTAAGACAAAGGATCTTTCAGCAACCCAATTTTTACTTCCTGGACTGCAGGAAGGGTACTCTCACTAGCCATCTTGCCACAAGAGTACAATGAATAAAGGAAAGCAGACATATTTGTCCCTTATGCATTTGGAGTCGTCTTTACTGCTGTGTCTGATCTCCATTGGTTGGAGCCAGACCTCACAATCTAAAGTAAAACCCAATTGGCTACAACTTAAAACTTTTCTAAATAGGTAAAAGCAATGGCGAGCTGGGACATGCCTGTGAGCACATCCAGCACAGATATCTTGGTTAAGGTACAAGGACATAGAATGTACTACGTGCCTGTAAGCATGGCATGTTTAACAGCTACATGGGATAGGGCTTGACAAACAGTTATTAGCACACTTATTCTTCAACATGAAAGAAAACTTTAAAGAGG